ACGCCCGAGAACTCCCCGCCGCCGTCTCCCAACAAATTCACGCCGCGACACAACCATCTCGAAACGGAGACCTTGAAGAGTTCGCTCGGTCATGCCCACCGCATGATCCAGAATCTCAAGAGCACTATCCATCGCGAAAAGACCGAGAAGATTGACCTGAAGCGCATGCTGCAGGACGCCCGCGATGAACTTGAGACGAAGCGCCGAGAGTCCGCTGCGCCAACCGGTCCGTCCAGCAAACGCCAGAAGACCAAGCCTGACCCTGCACGCAAGGCCGCACGGCCCGATCTGCTGGGTGCTGGTCGAAAGCGAGCGGAGATTGAAATCCATGAATCGGACTGGGAAGACAACGCTACCGACGCCAGTCCCTCTCATAAAGCCGCTCTCAAGGCGTCCCGAGCCCGTATGGGAGGACGGTCATCTGAAGAACCGAGCGATGCGTACCAGACCGCTACCGAAGCCGACGACAACTTTGAAACGGCCACCGAACGAGGAACAGCCACGGAAAGCGAAGCCTTCCAGACTGGCCTAGAAAGCATGGCTGATGATAGCTCGGATAGCGGCGAGCTCACGGAGACAGACGACCGGCTGCAGAGAACCCCACGCGGGCGCGTGTCCTCTTTCACTATGACCAAGACCCGCGACAGGAAGGCTTACGAGAGCACTGCCTCCAACTCAAGTGACGAGGACGTGATCGATGAGGAAGGCTTCCCATCGCCTAGCCAAATTAGTCCTAGGTACAGGGTGAGGAACAAGAGGAGTATCGTGAGGAGGATCCGTCCTTCTGGCGAGGCTCCCATGGCTTCCAATAGCAGGCCCTCCACCGCTCGCGAATCTCCAGCCACAAGCTTCATGCAAAGCTCAGCAAGCCCAGAGGGACAGAGCCTCTTCATGGAGCTTGCTGAGTTGGATGGTGATGATGACCAAGAGGGTGACTTTGGACCTCCGATGCGCTTCGACACGGCATCACAGGCCTCGACTCCGCGCATTCTCGCCGCTTACGATTCCAGACGGCCATCAGAAGCTGTTCTTGATACCATCTCGAAGCCCCTTATGGTTGACTCTGGTATGATGACGGATCCATGGGAGCCCGCTGTGCCTGCTGCAGTCACTACTGTGCCTGTTACCGAGGAAACGGTCAACAACGCACCAGTGTCTTCCTCGAAACCAGCCACATCTGATGCCGGCACTGCGATGGAGCAAGAGCAAGCGCCTGAACTGGTGCACGCTTCAACCCAGTGGATCGTTCCTGAATCTGAGGCAGTTATCGCTTCAACCCAGAGAGAAGTAGAGCAACCATCTGCTCAGTTGCAGTTGGAAGTCTCATCTGTCTCTTCTGAGGAGACTGTTCCATCTCCGCCGAGGCGCCCTCATCTGGACACTGCGTATGCTATTGGAGTCACGACAGAACCAGCTGCATTCGTCATTCCTAACCCGCCAAAGGTGGCATTGTCTTTGATCACCTCCGCTTCTACTGAGCCAATCCTTGCGCGTGTCCCTCAACCCGAACCCGTCTATGTCCCCAATGTGGCGATGTCGACACTTTCATCTCAACATACCCTGCCTGTTGGGGCAGCCCTCCCTGAACCTGCGCCAGTGGTCGTCTTTGCTGAACATGGCACCAACACCGAGAGTGTGGAGCTCGCCGTCTCACCACTCTACTCTCTTGACACCGAGCCTGTCGCGGCCATTCCCAAACCTACTCCGGTGGTCGAGCCTGTGATTGTTGAGAAGCGCGTCGAAGTCAAACGGGAGCTTCCACCGCTGACTCTATCGTCGATAGTCGCTCAGCAGACGGAGCCTGTCCTGGCAGTAATTGAGCGGAGCGTAGACCCAGAGCCCGAGAATATCGTGGAGAAAGCTCAGGAAGTCGAGCTGCCAGAGCTGGGTGTATCGTCAATCTTCTCGCAACAGACCGAGCCCGTTGTGGCTACTCTGGACGCACCGGCTGAGCCGGAATTGGCAGTTGCGGGTGAGCGAGAGATTGCCGAGCCCAAGCTTCCAGATTTGAATCTTTCTGTCATTGCATCGGAAAGCACGGAACCAGCTACACCACAGTTGCACGAGGCACCAGTGGTTCAAGCTCCTGAAATCTCACTGTCTGGGGTGCGCGCGGTGGAAACGATCCCCGTCAAACATGTCCCGACGGCTCTTGTTGTGCCCCCGGTTCAGCTGACCGATGAAAATGCGCCACCGGAGCACAGCATGCAAATGGTCAAGGGTCTCCCTGCTTCCGAATTGCCATTGCTTCTTGTCAATGATGATAATCCAAGCAACAATGCGGCTAGTGGTACAAACGGAACGCCAGACTCCACTCTGCCTCTAAGCACCATTTCTGGCAATGCTGTCCCACGCCACACACGACAGCAATCATCGAGTCGGGTGGAACGGGCTGACCAGGGTGCCCAAACAATCCTGTCGTCGAAGCAGATTGACCAGATTCTCATGGATCGTGTCACCACCCGGCCACTATCTCCTCCGGACAGTGACAAGGCCAAGGAGCAGAACACCTCACCGTTTGCCACACCCCGAGCACGCACTCGTCCCACTCATCAGTCCTCTCAATCCTCTCTCCCATCCCATCAGCTCAGGCCGGGCAGTTCGCTTAGCCATACCTCAAGCATCCAGAGCCATCCGCCTTTGCCCACCGACCACAAGGAGGCTATCATGGCGGCCGAGAAACGATCATTGGACCAACGGCCATCTTCTCCGAACTTGATGGGCCCGCCCCTTGCCCCGGCCTCCGCTCACCGAACCAATGTGAGCCAGCGGCCGCGAACTCCCAACGAGTCGGGACTCCAAGTCAACTCGATGTCTACCACGACCTCCCGCGTCAAACTCAGAAGCGAGAGTCACAGTCACATCTCACGGAGGTCATCGGTGTCATCCTTTGCTTCTGAGATCGATGAGCGATTTGCTGCGCAGCCCATCGGCCCTCAGGGTTATGCCGCTGGTACGGACCCGAGGATGATCCAGGCTATCACGCAAACGATGATTGGCGAATTCCTTTGGAAGTACACTCGCAAGACTGTCACTGGGGAGGTCTCCAGCACTCGACACCGACGCTACTTCTGGGTTCACCCCTATACACGTACGCTGTATTGGAGTGCGCAAGATCCCCAGACCGCTGGCACACGTGAATTGAAGACCAAGAGTGTTCCTATCGAGGCTGTCAGGGTCGTTCCTGATGACAATCCTTATCCTCCTGGTCTGCACTGCAGGAGTCTGGAGGTGGTTAGCCCAGGCCGCCGGGTTCGGTTCACAGCAACCACCAGCCAGCGGCACGAGACGTGGTTCAATGCACTGTCGTACCTCCTGTTGCGCAATTCGGCAGAGAATGGCGAAGAGCATCAAAGCAACGCTTCTTTGGAAGACATCGATGAGTTCAATCCCGAGTTCCGCTCACGCTCTCGCCAGACCTCGAGACTCTCCTTCTCCTCTTCGCGCAGTCGAAATGCACGGAACTGGCCGAAGGAGCGGGCCGGCTCCACCATCTCATCGCGCCGCACATTGACGCCGGGTCGAGGCTCTCCTTCGCTTGCTTCGCCCTCGTCCTTTACCGAGCAGAGGAACGGGTCTAGCTCCCGCCTCAGCACGATCCTGAACACGACGATCAAGGGGTCGTTTGGCCGCAAGGGTCCTCGTTATGCCAGCTCGAGTGTCCATGAGGGAAGCATTCACACCCGTGACAGCCAAGATGACTTTCGGCACACGATGGAGAGGCAAGAAAGCCAGGGTGACCGACTCGAGAATGTGCGAGCTTGTTGTGATGGTATGTATACCCCTTGACTTGTCATGACTGTTCACCAGCTAACTTGACCAGGCAAACACGATGTCAGTGCCTTGTCTAGGACAAGCAAATATAGCCCGCGGGTGAACCGGATTCATTCCCATCATTGAACCTCCACCTTTTGGAGTTGAGTTGCGTCGCGCGTCGATTGGCCGGGCTATCCATTGGCCTGAATTTTCGTTCTGCACGAATCTCTTTCATTGCATCGCCATTGTCATCGTACTTTGAACCCCACGGGAGTACCTTTATAATGTCTGGAGTTTGAATAAGTGCACACTGAGCGTCTGGAACTTGCAAAATTTGGTCGTCAGGGGCGAACTTGTCTCGTCTTGTTTTTTCCCCTCCCCGGGCTCCCCTCTTTGTCTCTCTATATTTACTCTATTTTAATCCCCACGCGGGCGGCACTGCAGCCCCGTTCATCCCTCCTTCACCTCCTCCACTCTCGGTGCCCGGACGGCTTCTTGATATTCTTGTCATTCTTTTTTACCGTGTTTTTCCTTTTGGTTTATTCATTGCGCTGCGCTTTCTTCCGTCGCATGAAAACTACCCACCACCTTACTTTTAACCAAACCAACTTACAAACTTAACCTAACCACCTACATTTACCACATCGCACTATTGACAGTGACATTTTTTTTTTCTTTTGTGGATTAATCCGTTGCTTGACTGGCTTGAGGCAATTGACACTGACACTCCTTGAAAGAAAGCATTCTACTGCTTGTATTTCCCTGCTGGGCTGACTGATTGACTGTATACTCGGAAATACTTCCTGCTACTAAATGAATTGCCACATGCGCACAGACACGAATAGATCGTGGTTGACTGAAGTTGTGTTCTTGTAGGTTTGTAATGTGTGATTGATGTGTGTGTACTTCGAGTGGGTGAGGTATGTATATCTAGCGGAATGGCTTACATTCGGCCCCGAGCTGCAGTGCACAGGCATATAACAGGGAGAATTGTCTCTCCCACTCAGGTAACGGATAAGCTATGGTCCAGGTAAGTAATGCAGCTATGGTATGTTCGTGTTTCAAGGTATTGTGGTATGGCTGGTTGGATGTATACACAGATATAATCTATCATCGTAATCAATGCAAAAGGGTATCATAGGTCATCAAACCATCGAAAAAAACAAAAAAAGAAATTTAAAAATAGTATAAGAGTAAACAACGCCCTCCTGCAGAAGAAGAGAATGTCTTCATCCACCAACTATATCCATCCACTCCCATCCTGCAGAGGACAGGACAGGGCAGGGCATGCGGCATATATAGCCGTACAGCTCCGCTTCTATTACCCACCCAGCCCCCATCTCATCCTCTCCCATCAACCCCCCAACAACTTAATGAATTGGATGGGGGTCAACTAAACAGGCTTCGCCCGCCCCGCTGGCCAGAAATCAAAGAGATCCAGGGCCTCGCGGGTCCAGGGCCCTTGGTCAAAGGGGTCATCGCCGGCGGGGTCTGGGAGGGTTGGATGGTTGGGTCTGTGGACGGTGGTGGTGGTTAGGGCGGTGGGGTCGGAGTAGGACTTGCGGAGGCTGGTGTGCGTTGGGATGTTCGATCTTGGGTTGGGCTTGGGGTTGAGCGGGTTTATGTTTGGTTTTGTGGTTGTGGGAGTGTGGTTTCTTGGGTTGGGCGGGACGCGTGGTGGTGCGGTGATTAGGTCGTTGAGGATGGTTTGGGTTGAGGTCGAGGGGGTGAAGTCGTGGGGTTTTGGTGGAGTGGCGGCGGTGGTTGTGGGTGGTTGTGCGGGGGGTGGAGGGTTGTTGTTGTTTTTGGCTGGTGCTGGTGCTGGTGCGGATGAAGCTGGTTTGGCGACTTTTCCACCGCCACCGGGGAGTAGGGCCGAGTACATGAGTTTCTTGCGGGGTTTGCTGGTCGAGAGTCGGAGAAGGACGGGTGGCTCTTCTGGCGCTGAGTTGCTCTCTTCGCGTGACGACGGTAGCTGTGGAGGATTGCTGTTCTGATTGCGCAATGCTTGTCGTTGAGGAGGAATGGTACTCCCCTCTTCGCGAGACATGCTCCTCGTAGTAGCAGCTTGTACACTTGTCCTCTGGTCGGCTCTTTGTCGTCCAAGATCGTGGCTCTGCAGCCTTGTGGATGTAGCAGTCGCGGTAGCAGTAGCACCTGGATTCGTCACCAGCGCAGTCGACGAACCCGTCAGGTCAACGACCGCCGGCCGCGGTCGAGGCTGAACCGGCTGAGCCAGTACACGACGAGAGGGGATCTGCTGCTGCGCGAACAATCCTCCTTCCACAGCACCCGAACCCGAACCCAAACCACCATCAACCCTCTGCCGTTTCGCAGCACGCGCAGCCGACAGCTCTCCGCCCCCGCGATCCGGACCTTGCATAACTCGCGTCGCAGCTGTCCCCGAAGTCCCCGAGCCCGTTCCCCCCAAAGCCGGCGTTGTCTTCTTTATCCCCAGCAAATCATTCAAAGACCGCATAGACTGCTGCTGCTGCTGTTGTGACCCCGCCAACGAGCCCTGCGTACTCGCAGCACCAAACCCTCTCTTCCCATTCCCTCCACCCCCCACCCCATTCGAATGCGAAGTCGGATGTGAATGCGACAGCACAGCCCCCAGATCCGTCTCCGAGCGCCCCACCGCCTCACAGACCTGCACCAAGACGCCGCGATCTAGCTCGAGCTCGTCGCCGTCCTGCACGGCCGCGTCCTGGCGCCAGTGCAGATCTCCGATGAAGTTGCCGCTCGTGTCGTAGGCCATGATGCGTTTGTTGAAGGTGTGGTAGCGCAGGTACCCGTCCTGCCAGCGTTTGGCCTTGCGACGCGTGTCGTGCGTGAAGAGGCAGCGGTGTTTGATGACCGGGGCGGTGTTTTGGGTGAGTGGGGTTGTGAATGGGGAGGTGGTGGAGGATAGGCCGGAGGAGGAGGGGGGGAACCCCGAGGGGGTCGGGGTGGAGGGGTAGGTCATTTTGTATGCTGAGGAAATAGGTAGGTGGGTTGGTTGGTTGATTGTGAGCTTGGTGTGCGTGGTGCTGCTGTGTTGCTGCTCTCAAGGTGGTGGTGGGGGAGGGGGAAGGGTCTGTCCAGGGTTGGGGACCCTGTTCTGGGGGACCATCGGATTTGTTGTTCTCGAGGTGAGGTGGAGGTTGCGGGTTGAGGGAGATGCTGTATATGCCGTATATGCTGTAGAACGGTTGGTGATGGATGCGAGTGAAGGAACTGGATAAGGTGGTGGTGGTTGGAGGAAAGTTGGAGAAGCGGACGCGGAGAAAAGATAAGTTTAAGCGGGAAGATCGCGGCCGAGACGCGCCTGAGGCTGTCAGTGCCGTGCCCGAGCTGAGTATGAACTCCTGTTTACTGTCCGTCTCTCACTGCGTGTTCAACCCACTTCAGCGCCAAATAGCGTTAGAGCATCTTGACTGTTACATATGATGATCAAAGCAATATCCAAGAAATAAGAGCATCACGAATCAAGCGACTCCTACAATGCATGTGATTACTACTACTTTTAACTTATACTCTCCTCGACCACTGCCCAATCACTCCACATAATTAGCCGGGAAACTCCCCTTTACTCCCCTCAGCTCCCCCTCCCACCAGTCGTCCGTGCTCTCCGTCTTCTTCAGAACACGAATCCGATCGCCCTCCCGGAACGACAAATCCCCCGCCCCCTGGCCCCCAAAATCATACAGCGCCGTCACGAAGAGCGCATTCTGGGAATTCAGGCGTGGCGGCGGAGGTGGAGGCGGCTTCTTTTTGCCCGCTACGGAAGACACTGCCGCACGGGATGGCGAGGGAGATGGCTGGCGGTTGCTGCTGTTCGGGCGGTTGAACTGATTCGCCCTGGACGCAACGGAGGATAAGCCAGGAGAGATACCTGCCGCCGCCGCAGGCGACAGGGAAGATGTCGATGCAACTGGGGTTGAGGACGGAAGTTGGATGTTACTGCCGGACCGACTGAAGTAGTCCGCACGGGCCGCAACGGAAGATAGCCCGGGAGACCCCGCTGCCGCAGCCGATGCTGGAGAGGGTGACGTATGCTGATTGTTGCTGCTATTTCGACTGAAGTAGTCTGCTCGTGAAGCGACGGAAGACACGCCCGGCGAAGGGGAACGGATATACTCGGCCGCAGAGACGTACGATTCAGCTGCGGGAGACGAGGCAGAGGTCTGGGCCACTGATGCTTGCGGGGAGAGATGGTGACTCGAGCTCGAGGGTAGATTGAGGGATGACGTTGAGGCGGCCGGCATGCTCGACAGCTGCGGTTTCGGTCGAGGTATGGGTTTCGGCTTTGTTTCGAGATTCGGTCGGGGCTTGGTATCGTAGGCGGGCGGTGGTGGCATGGGAGGAAGCTTTGTCTGAGCAGCCGGAGGCGCTGGAGGCGGGAGTTTGCGCTGCACCGCGGCGGGATTTGGGGAAACGGGCCGTGGGGGTTTTGGGGGCGGCGTTTCTTCGTGGGCGCCAGGTGAGCGGCAGTAACTAGATATGAGGTTCGCAGGGCGACTGAGATAATTATGACCGTTGCGTTGATGTTCGTCCACCGGGGACAGGCGAACGGTCTTGCCGTTGGCGATGCTAGCGAAACTTTCGACTTCCTGCTGGACGGGCAGGTGGGCGCGCTCCCAGTCCTCGACGATATGCTCCATTGGCGGCGCGGGGACCGGGAATTGTTCATCCTGGCTGTACTCCAGCACCACGGTGTAGTAATGCGCCAACATATTGTTTTGGAGCTCAATCTGAGTGGCCAGCAAACGGGGGAGCAGGGAGAAGGCAGCGGCGATCAGCGGCGGGAGACTGTGCCGGAGGTGCTCATCCGCAGCGTTATAGTCCTGCTCCTGTCAGACCACGTCAATGCGAGGCGAGGAATGGTGGAGACCTACCTCTGTTGCTTTAGCAAGGTCACCCTCAGCCTTGACGAGGGCTGCATTGTCGCGATCCGACCGTTTCGTTTTTTTGGTGTAATTATCCACGCGACTCTGGTAGCGTTCATAGTCGAGCTGGAACAACCCCAATCAGCATGACCCAGTTGAGTGAAAAGTGGCTGAGAAACACACCTTACGATCATCCCGCTTCTTGATCGTCTTCTTCATCGGAATCAGGTATTCCCTGGCTTGGGTTGCTGGCTTGATCATCCGCTCGTCCACGGCGGTGATATCGGCCAGCAGCTCTCTCCGGAGCTCCTCGTATTGTTCCCGAAGCTTATTTGTCCGAGCCAGGGTTTCCCGTGGCGTCGGGGCCGCTTTTGGACCGGTGGAGGAGTCGGAGGAACCGAGGATCGGGGCATAGAGGGCGTTGAATTCAGCGAGCATGCGATTTTGGTGGATGAGAAGCGAGGACCAGGCATCGCGCCATGCGCTGGTGAATTCGATGATCTGAGGGGAGCGAGTGACGGCGGGTGGCCGAAAGTTAGTTCCTGTGCTGCTGCGGGGGAGAGAGCTTGCGTGTTTACATACTCGGCCCAGAAGCTTGTCAGCTTCCTCGAAGTCTTTGAGCAGAATCGCGACCTGGCTTTCGTCGGCGGACCGCTTCATGAAGCGGCCAAATTGCCTTTGCATGGACTGCATCGTGCCGCGTGGCCCTTCGGGGGGAAAAGAGGGGAGCGAAACGAGGGGAACGGGGAACGGGGAACGGGGAACGGGGAACGAAGGGGAGGTTCACTGGAGGGCCATCTAGAAAGGGAACAACAGTCTTAAGGAAATAATAGAATGCAGTAAAAAGAAATCTTTCCCTCCTATGTCATCAAAAGAAGCAAAGGAGAGGGAGAAAGAAAAGAAAAAGAAAAAGAAAAAGAAAAAAGGATGCCAGTTAGACGCAAGAAAGAGGGAGGAGGGAGTAAGAAGATGACGCAGCCACAAGTGGAGGAGGAAGTGGTGGTAAGTTTACTTCCTACCTAGTAGTAGTTAAGTTACTCCTTTAGTTAATGTTTCAGCCTGGCTGGGCTGGCCGCCATTGTTGTCCCTTTCAGTCCCTCTCAGTCCCTTTCAGCCTGCTTGGCCCGCCGCTAAGCAACTACTAAACACCAACACCTCCCCTGACTCTTCCAATTGACATTGACTCCTGTTTCTTCCTGAACACAGAGAAAAACAGATATAGCAGATAAGGATATTCTGAACCCATGGCACCAACATATACGGCGTGTTTAATTATCCATCGCTCATAGCACTAACTATCCATAGCCACCCTGAAGAGCATGCATACATACATCTATGGAGGAACAAAAGCCACGGCTCGTAAACAATTCATCAGCACAAGGTATAAGTGTCTTTTGCAGAACAATATCTCCAGGACCAAAACCTCTAGATGAAGGCACTCACAGCACCCCCATCAGTCGCTTCCACCTCAGGCTGGCGTCGTCGGCTCTCCAAAAACATCTCCACCATACGCTTGCTCGATATTGGCGAGCATGAATTCGGTGATGGAGTATCCTGAACCTTGATGTCATGATAGTCGCTCTCGAGTTTCATGTTCTCATTGGTCAGCTGTCGGTGGTCGCGATATCCTCGACCCGTCCGATTATGCAGGGACTTGGAATCTCGCGCTGCAGGGGGACACCTGGCCGGATGTCTGCCGTACGTGGTACTCGCCACCTTCTGAGATGATACCCCGGATTTGTCTCTTCGCGGTGTGGGTGACTCAGGCATCCGGAAGCGGTTGGTTGGAATTGTCTGCATGGGCGACAATGCAGTACTTTCCCTGCGAGAATCGATTTGACTCTGGAAGGGGCCATACCTACCCGCATGGTAGGTAGAGCTTGGAGATATCGGTCTGGAGGGCAGTGGCGGGGGTACCAGTCCGTCGTTCTGATCTTTCTTTGTGGTTACTACTGTTTGAACACTTGACGACCGGCTGAAGGGACGCGAAAAGTTGCTAGTCGAAGTGACCTTGCGATCCGACCACATATCATCGTCGATGAAAACAGCTCCTTGAGCTCTCTCGATCCAGCGAGTAGAAGCTTGACCGAACATATCGTCCTCATCGCTTTGTATTTGTGCATTCTCGCGATAGTGAGATTGGATGGGGTTGAGATTCTCAATCTTCGCAATCTCCGTGTGCATCCAGTGCTTCCAGTCCGCACTTGGCCGGGCCGATGCTCGACGTGTTTGAATTCTCGGATAGAACTTCGGGGAGCAGTAGGTGGCTCGGTGAGTGTCGTAGATCGTAGCCGTTCCTGGCTCGTCGGGGAATTGGGAGGAAACCTCGCCGTTGCTTGGATCGAGCGACTTGCCGCCGGTGGAGCGAGAATATACACTGGGAGAGTCGGAAGCTGCGTCCGGACTTTGTTGGTCGAGGGTGCCCAGGTGTCCAGTGGCTACCTCTATAGGCGGCTTGCTAGCCCTTGAGAGTGCAATGCCCTTGTTACCAGAGATCAAGGAGGTGCTCAAACGATTCTTGTCAGGACAGGAGGACTCTGGGAGGCATTGAGTAGGATACTGTGACCGCCGCGGCGGAGTCACCGTACCGGCATCTGCAGTGATGAAGGACTTGGATGATGGGATGGATTCATCACTCGGAATCATCCGAACGGTCTGCCCATTATGACGCACAGCTACTGAGGCAGCAGGCGTCGGGACGATGCGATGCTCTTTGACATGACCAAAGGCAATGCTTTCGCTTGCATCCGGTGCCATGCCCTCGCCGATCCTTCTCATCAAAGCGGAATACAATTGTTGGCTGTCAATCTTGCTGGATGGCCTGACAGGGCTACTGTGGGAGATGGGGCTGTTTTCATAGGACGGAGCCCCTGCAAGGGTCTGTTCCGAATGGACTTTCTCTTCAATTACCGACAAATGGCTTCGACCACCAATGTTGCCGGTCACGATAGTATTGGCAACGGTCGAGTCTGCCCAGCTTGTTACGCGAGAGCGGCTTGTAGCCAAGCTTTCCGAGCTTTCAGCAACCTCGGCTGCTGGATACTGCTTCGTGTGTACATCGGTTTCAATATAAGTCGTGAGTGGGGTGTGGGGGCTGTGCGTTAAACAGCTAGTGCTCAGTTCGTTGGCACTCGTCTGTGTTTTGTCCTGGCGGGATGGAGTAACCCCCTGCGCCTCGACCTCGCCCGCAGATGGTCTTGCAAGACCCAAGACCTTCTTGATTCTTTTCTTGATGGACGAAGAGAGAGATCTCGCTTTTCCATAAGAGTGAGCGCTTCTGGGCTGAGGAGCCGAAGGCGTGCCGGCAGCAGCCGCGGCTGATGTGGTCGGACGAAGCGTTTTCCTGAATGCTCTATGCTCCCGACGAGTCTTAGGAACAGACAGCCGCAGCTGTTCCGTCTGAGGGGAGTCGTCGGCCGACTGCTGCTGAAACTGACTGCGCGCCAGGTCAATTGCCGTGTCATGACTCTGCACATGGCGCAGCGGACCAGCCGACGGCTTTTCTCCGCGGAGAAAAGACATTGAACGCCGCAAGGTGCCATAAGTGCGTGTCATTCGCGAGGTTTGATCGCCCTCACAAGTCGTAGTATCGTTGAAGGGGGAGCAAAGTCCGTGAGACATGCGTGAGCAACGTTGTCCAGTGGCAAACATGGACCGCGACTTGCGCAGACGTCTATAAGACGAGGGCAGAAAATAGTCTTGGCTATCAAACCCTTGGAACTCGCTGATGGAAGGCAGCGTCGCAGACGTGTAGTCCTCATCGTGTGTGCTGGAGTCCGTGGTGACTGAGGGGCGAGAAGATGCGCTGTCCACGGGGACATTGCTTGCGTTTTGCCGTGATCTAGTATATCGGTGTCTTCTCGAGGGTACTGCCATGCTTTCAGGGCCGCCCAGAGCGTCATAAGAGCACTTGGAGCGCAACACCGCAAGAGAGGCAGCTGTCGTGGCGTGTTGTCGCGCTACAACAGGATCGGAGGTGTCGCTGGAGACGGAGCTGCGGTGGCTTCGCCGGACGGAGCGCGCAGATTTGGATCTTCGCAAGCGATCCATTGTTCTCACGACGGAGGATTGCTGATTCCAACTGGAAAAACTGCGAAAGTACCTATATCAAGGACTTGTGATACTCGCTAATCGATATGTGGCTTGGAAGAGTGACGCTCACGGCGGGTGGAGACTGTATGCGCGTGGGTGCCATCTCGCTAAGGAAGGGACGTTTGAGCGATTGCATTTTGGAGATGAGGCGCGTTAATTGCGCCTTCCTTAAACCTTCCACGACCTTCCTGAAGCTCTTGCGAAGCACACATGGTCTAGAGGCGTGAATCGTGGTGCTGTCCATATGGTTGCGATATGAAGAAGTTGTGAAGTCAGACTCGGGAGCTTGCGATGTACCGTACCCTCATACTCTGTGGCCCATTGTTTTGCTTCTAACTTATATCTGATAGTCTGATAGACAATGGTTGCAGCAATTGAGCTATGGGCTAAGATGCACTACCGACGACTCAAGAAGGTGTTTCCTCAGAGACCAGTAACCACATAATCACCAAGAGACCTCTATTTACTGCCGAGCATCAATTGACCGGCCACAACGACATGAAAGCTTATCTGATCACCGCATATAGAGCAAAAAGCGCAAGTCATCCAAGTCATTATACCAATTCTCAACCCGCCAAGCCAGACAACGACCGCAAACACCAGTATCAACCCTCGCGCCCATCCTAATCAAGAAAAGTCTAGAACGACAGGGATGAACCCCACCGCCGCCTCGACCGGTCTCGACCCTGTCCTCCACTCAGCTCTCACATGATAACGACCCAGTAACCCACTGGACCTATAAGTTTACCAATATTCCATACAATTATACCCCATCAATCAATCCACCCCCCTCAGCTGTCAAATCCCACCGTCCAAGCTCCAAGCTCGAACATCATAGCACCGCTCTTGATCCTTGCCCCGTGTAGCCCACATATACCCCCAAACAACCAAACCCCGCCAACAAGCCGGGCCCGGAAAGACTCGAACCAGTAAACCCGGCAGTGCCCACTTACTTAGACCCAGAAACCCGCGAGCTGGACTTCAGAGCTTAGGTAGTTACAATGAGTATTATCTCCCCGCCCAATTTCCCGCATCTCAAAAGATGTACCGTACTCCCCAAAGCAACACCCATCACCACACCACACCACACCCTACAGTAAGCATCTCTAAAACCAACCCAACACCCCCAATCTAGACCCCTCCAATCCAGCCACAACCCCGAAGCGCCGCGCAGCGCAGCGCCGCGCATTGCGTCGCCCCCGAGGCGAACGCAGAGCAGATCATCTGCAGCCAGCCATCCAGCCATCCAGCCATCCAGCCAACACAGACCTGTCTGTCAGGTCACCAGTCAACCAGTCAACCAGCCAGTCCACCCGCAAAGCGGGAAGACCAAGGCAGGCAGGTCTAGACGCCGATCGTGGCTGCATAAGCGACACACCAGCCTTTTGCCGGAAGATAGCACATACCATGTACATACAGCAATAAGACGTAAGGATAAGGATGATCTGAGCGCCACCGGCCACCACAAGTCGATGTCAATGTCAATGACGAGTGGGGGAGGGGGGTTGCGATGTTTCTTCTCGTGTTATGCTTACTTTGCTGCAAGGGCTGTCATCTACTCATAATACTGGTCGTTCTGCTGCGTCTCGCGGGTGGAAGATGACATGCACTGGACTGGATGTTTAAGTTACAGTACAGTAGGTGGGTCATGCACAGTACATGTAGTTCTCTGAGGGTACCTGGTAGTGAGCTGCGTGCATGTCTGCCGCTCTGACTCTGTGCAGCGGTGAGGGAGGGTGCTTTGGTGGTTGCCAGGTATGAGCCGAGGCTTTCTTTTCTCATCCCAGCCGGCATGGAAGTGCATCCATCACTTCGTCCGGTCCGTCCAACCCACCTGCATCAGCTTGATCGTGTTCCAAAAGGGCCGTGGCCCTTTACCCCGCATGAGTTGACGTCAAGGGGACCACGAAGCAGGAAAATTGACAGCGACGTAGACATCCACATTGCCAGTAGGTCTAATGGAGTATTCGCCGTTTGATTGAATGATGACGATCAGAAGAGGAGGAACGAAGGACGACAGGCTTGTCACACCACTTACCAGCATACTCATCGAATGTGCCAGACCACCGGGAGGGAGCGGGTACGGTCCCAAGTGAGGGGGTGGGAAGACGGGGGAGGGCAGTTAGTGGGGACCGGGTAGCAGATGGTGGATCAATGCCGTTGACTTACTTGACCGGGTGAGTAGGGACTTCGAAGATATTTCCTGACGTTTAGCGGCAGGCTGGGTAACCCGGCTGTAGTGTACTGTACACATCCAGAAAATGAATCAGTCGGTCAGTAAGTAGTACTAGTCATCTATACCGTGTCGGGAGACTGAGGCGATGCTGTACTGTTGGTTGGGTCATCCGTGTTGATGTTGTTATTAAAATAACTGTTAGTAGTATATATAACAGGCTGACACGAAGGCAGTGCAGGCTACCTACAGATAGGAATCCCAAGCCAGTGAGTACGGAGTACGGAAATCCTGATTCGATTAATTCCGTGCTGACACGAATTTTCTCTCTTGTACGGCTAGTCTCTTGCACGGGTGATCGGAAGACCAAGACCAGGCAAGGTAAGGCAAAGCAGAAGACAAGCTGCAACGGTCCGGGCAATGCCGAGCGGGGCGGGGTCACAAGAAGGGAGCTGAGGGGAGGAGGAGCCCGGGAATTCGTGCGTTGCGCGCGCACGCCCACTCACCCAAAAACGAATGACAGCTGACGGTGACGGATAATAAGTTACGGCGCACGGATGGTCCTCGGGACTGGTCCTTACTAATGGTTGATTCATGATGACTTCGACTCCCAGGCTACGACGACGACAATACCACCGTATTACTCTGCAGGGTTCCTGGCTCGAAGGACCGGTCACATGGACAGTCCAAAGGTACAGTACTTCCAAGCAAGTGGTGAGATGCTGCTGCTGCTGCTGCTGCAGGCATCACGGGCTCCAAGACGGAAGGGATCAGCTGCTCACAACAGACCAGCGTAGAAACATGCAGAAGCAAAAGTAAGAGAGGGGGAAAACAGGGTTCAAAGCAGATCCCGAGAGGGTCATCGATCTACCGAGGAATGGTGTCACCATACATCACCCATCACCCAACCCGTCCGTCTGCTCACTCGGTGTCCGTTTCAGGCAGCTAGTAGGGACCAGCTAATAGGTGCGAATTTCGGGCTTTCTTTGTTAAAGACGGCTACCTACTTTCGAGACACGAATCATGATCATAGCTAAGAGAAAAAAAAAAAAGAAATAGGGTATATTCAAGTATGACAAGTAGAAAAAAGGAAGTACCTTGGATCGTACAGGTAGCCGAATTGGGTATGGGTAAATCGGCCAACGCATATTACAACAAAGAAAGCAGCAGAGACATGACAAAGAGAAGAATTACAAGACGATGTCAGGATGAACTGATGAAGTCGTGATGATGACCACGCACAAAAGAAGGACCTGGGGATGAAGGGGGGAGTCAAGGATAGTGAGAAGGAAGAAGAGAGAAGAAAAAGTAAAAGAAAAAAAAAAAAATTCCACCTGCGCCCACTGCCCGCCCGCAGCAGAGATTTCCAGTTGCGTGCGCGCCAAGTTGACTTCTCTTCTTTGGCGCCATCCAGAAGATCGACTGATCATCGTGAAGACCGAGAGGTACTCAGATCCCTGTCGTGTCTTTGCTGTAGACCAGCGATAGACCATTCCGGGACTCCCAAATCACAGTCAACCCGCATAAACCACCCAGTAAAACAACCCAAAGGAACCCCTGTAGACCCAATGCTGTGACTCCGGTTTGCCGATGCGAAACACGATGACAAGAATCGCGTCGCAGATGTCCATGCGCATTCCAACTTTCGGAAGGGTCCGTCGGGAATGGCGATACCACGTTGGCGAGTGATGGCGGGCGATGGCGGGCGATGGCGAGCGCGTAGCCAAGCAAAGAAAAAAGAGGCGTCCGACCGTTGCGATCGGTCGAGATGCGACAAAGCCGCTCTCACGCCGCTCTCAGCCCGAAGATGATCGATCCAAACTCCCAGAAATGCATTTCAGTCCGAGCACATGATTAAGATGCAAAAGAAAAGCGAAGCAAAAGTGGACGAGGGCACAAGGGCCTCCGGGGATCGGTCCCAGCCGGCAGGACCCCCGCCATTCAATCGATAGAGATCCGGGAGATAATCCGTTGCGCCCCTGCCCGTCGCAATGTTGCCATCAGGTCATTCATCATGCGCAGCGGTCGATCATCTCCTTGTATGGTGAGTCGCTCAGGATCTCCGACGGCAGGGCTCGACGGTAATCTCTGGGTTGGGCGAAGGGAGAAGTTGACCGAGGGTGACGGAGCTTCAATTGCTGTAGGTCCATGAGTCAGTATAAGGTGGGAGTAGAAGGTGGGAGTCGGAGGTGGGAGTAGGAGGTGGGAGTAGGAGGTGGGCAGTGGGCAAAGTAAGCTTCCGGCGGGGACGAACATACCACACAGTCGGGGCATTTGCCGCCATTAATGTTCACACGGCCACGGCAGCCACGAGGATAGTTGGCACAGGAGAACATGGTGAATATCGGACGTCGAGTCGAGTGAGTGTTGTATGAAAGCAGGTGTTAGAAGTTGCGGGATGAGAGTACTAGTCACGGTTGACTGGAAGGCCGGAGCTGAATGAATCCCGTCAAGGGAGCTTTTTCTAGGGCTGGGGATTTGGCGACAACTTCGAAGCGGAACCAGGCCAAGTTAAAAGGAAACCCCAGAAAAAAAAATTCCAGAAGATCCGAAAAAAAAAATAGTCCAGAAAAGTAAGGGCAGTTATAGATAATAATAATCTTAGGACCTTAGGACCCAAAAGGAAATTAGACCCAATTCCACGCCACGGGGCAATTACGTCAAGATCGCAAGGCCGTTGTCCTGCAGCGACACCAGCAAGGGGGGTGTTCGATTGTGAGTGGTTTGGTGGAAAAAGGAATCGCAAGCGCCGCGCCGGGGGTCCGTTGAGGTTCTAGCGCTGAGGTTGGGCTGCGCCACTAAAGTGGGTGGTGGTGGTGGGATGGGGCGAAAGAGAGACAAAATAATAAAAATAATAATAAACCCAAAGAAAAAATAAGCAAAATTCAAAATGGACGTGAAGACCACTGAAAATGCAACCGTAAAGGAATGAAGGAAGGGATGAAAGAAGGAGACCAAAATTGAACGATCAACGATCAATAATTATCAGTGTGAAGAAACTGAATCGACTTGGAGGGCAGAAAGAAGAAACGGAAAATAAAGGTAGTTAATTGCAGAGATAGGGATCTCAATGATTTATATCCGTTGTTTGATGGAGCACGGGAGATCTAGTGTCAAGATGCGAAACAAGCCAGCGAGTGTTTGGGACTAGGAGAACTTGGACTGTAGGCGAGAGAGACTGAGTACGAGAGTGGTGAGGAACGGGGAAAAAGGGCAGTCCCGGCGTCGTATGGTTAGTTAGGCATTAATGACAATCAAATCACCGCAATTGCAAGAACAATATAAAGCATGCTCTGCGAATGGTCCTCGCAGTCCCGGCCAGGGAGATTAAAATTTGGGTTCCATGCCATCTAACGGGCCACGGGACGGGGAGAGGGGGCTCAGATGGAGCCCGGATTGTATAGAACGATGATTCTGATGCAGTCAGTCGTCGAATGAGAGGCACCAGTTGCACTGCTGTACGAATCGACCTTCAATGACTTCTTGGTACCTGAAATGGTCCCGGTGACAAGTGTGTGTGGCAATGACGGGGCAGGCCAGGTGCAGGTGCAGTCAGGCGAATCAGCATTGTTGACCCAAGGCAGTCGTAACAATCCTTCGCTTGAGATCCTGGGCATCACTGATGGCATCGTTATTGGTAGTTTGGTGGCAGCCAAAGTCTCAACAGTGGATTCCGTGTTTCTCGGCTGGATGTTCGAAAATGATCCAGAAGGGAAGACAAGAGAGGAGAGACGGGAGAGAATCCCAAGAGCCCCAAGAAAATTAAAAAAAAAAAAAAAAAAGGGAAAAAGAAACCAAACAAAAACTCCCCCATTCAGTAAATTATCATCTGTTTCCCCTCCCATAAAAGTTCCAAGACGTGCCTCACATTCTGCCCCCATGTAACAGCTTTGACTTAACGTCTCCGCACTGCTGGCAAAATCAATGACTCGCAGGTGATTTTTGCTTTTGGCCCCTGACTGACATTCCCTCAACTGCCTGGTCTACTAGCCGGGAAAAGGGACAAGCAAGCAGAGACATGATTGCAGGGCGGCGTGGGCCCTGCCCTGTCAGAATAATTAATTTTCTCTCCTCAAGTTAACCTGCAGCGATGATGTTAATAATGCTTTGTGGGTGTGGTCAATACTCGATAGACTCCCAAATTCTACTGCTAGGCTAAAGTACTGTATAGTATGTAGTAATTGGATGACGGGGACATCGACCAGCCGTCATGCATCATCGGTCAAGGAGTTTCGGATTGATGAGGGTTATGAGAAGCGTAGCTTCAGAGTCTGGATCTTGGGCCGAACCGTCGCACCAAGGTCGAAGTTTCCACAGTTTCTGGAACGTCGACTAAGCTTCCCTTCTCCTTTTTCTTTTCTTTTCTTTCCCCCCCCCTCTTTTTACCCTTTTTCCATTTGCCAGCCTTTGCTTTCCCACCGTCCACACTTTTTTCCCTTTCCCGTTTTGTCTCTCTCATTTTTGCCCCCTTGGGTCTAGTCCCTTTGAGACGGGGGGGTTTGCAAGTCTGGGCAGCACCAAGTCGGCTTTCGGAAAACACGGGATATGTCAATCCATTGACGAAAGGCCTGCCTGTCTTGTCCTTCTGGTCGAAGATCCCTGCATGACATTAATGACGGGTTACTTTGGCTGAGCGAGTCAGAAGGCAGGGTGGATTGACAGAGATGGTACCGAGCTTTGTCCTTTTCGTCTTTTCATCATCTCATCACTAAATTTCCATTGAGCATTGAATCGGACACTCACGTCGGCAGATCATCTGTTCCACCCGCTCACACACAACAAGGATTCTCGTCCTTTCCCTTTCGGCCTTTCCGTTTGGCTAGAGCCCAGCTGGAGCCCAGGCCAAGAAGAAGGTAGAGGTAGGCAACCAAGCAAAGAAGAATTGTACACTAAATACGGAGTGGTAATGCTGATGCTGACTGCATACAGTCCATCTTCTTTGACCACGGGTAAGCAAGACTAGGCCGTAAGTAACCGCGGTCCCAGTCGGTCGGTCAGCGACTGGTGATGATGGTTGGCTGAAGGTGGAACAGTCAGCATCCGCCGCCGCCGTCATTTCCAGCAAAACCCTCAGCTTGTAAGCCGTAAATCCGTCTAATCCTGGTCGATTGGCATGAATGACTGCATGGCTGCATGAATGCATGAGGCTAATAGTCCATAAGGTACTCCAAGCCTCCAAGCCTCCCAAGCCTCTCAAGCCTCGAAGGAAACTGTTCAACGAGAGTGCAGGGATCAGTCTGCAACTGATTGGTTAGTTCATCTCTGAGCCTCATCTTTTTTTTTTTCCGAGGCAGAGCACATCCTACGGTAAGTAAGATGGATGACACCTGGAAAGGTCAAATCCTTAATCCTAATCCTAAGGTAAGGCATTCCGGCGAGAAGGTCCAGAACTTTCGGCGAGCAACAATCCACGGGCGATCAAAGGTGATTACACATATGAGTCTTAGCTGGCAAGGTCACTTGACCCAGCGTGGTGATCATGTGCAACCACCTCTTTGAGGGACAATTCTCCGTAGCAGTGTTCCATGGGCTGGATGCTTGTGCAGTGCTACAGTACCTGGACGGTGATGGTAGTCCATGCTTCGGCTGGATGTCACAATCGCAATCCCTCATTCCCGACCAGTTCCAGAACAATCAATTTCTGGACCTCGGAGGGCCTCCACCCTCCCGATTTGAATTTTGACAAACAAGATATCATATCTACATACCTTGCCACATCATCCCGGCATTCCGCATCTCTCCCTTTTTCTTTCCTCTATGTGAGCGAGTGATCTTAAGCTCTCACGCAATTCGGCAAGCCTAACCGTTCGAGATCAGGGTCGCTCAGGGCACAGGGTAAGTGACAGGGTACAGGGTACAGGGTACATGGTACATAGCTGCATTGTTATCAGGAACATAACATCCTTTGTCCATGTCACCTCACTCTCCACCACCCGACTCTTCGAGTTTTGACAAGATCGCCGTCGTCGTACGATGTAAATCGATTAATATCAAATGAAATCAGTTAATCAATCAACCGATCCCCCCCCCCCCCAGCGCAATCGCTTCGCGAAGGGGAAATGAACAAGGAAAAAAAAATCATGGCTAATTAATCTCGACTCCCAACGGCCCAGCTCATTAAGATTTCCGTTTCAGGATAATGCAGATAGGGTCAATTTCCGCATCCCGACTTCCGTCCTCCGTCTAAATTGTTGCTGTTCACAGTTACTATGAGTGGCTACTACGGAGGACATAGATTGTAGTCGAGTCGAGTCAACTTAAGCGACCGGGATGACTCTTGAGCCTTCAGGTTGGGCCCCGTCAGTTCCCCTTCCTGGCTTGCTGCTGGCCCGAATCGGTTTCACCAGTGGAGGGCAAAAGAGCGGGGACCCAGATAGACAAGACAAGACAGACAGACAGGGCAGACAGACCCTTGTTGTCAATTCGGGCTCCATTCCTTTTTGTTCTGGTCTTTTTTTCCGCCCTTCGACGGGCGCTGAGCATGTCTTTTTTTTTCCCCGTTGACTACTATCACGGGTGGTAATGTCTCTATGTACATTGCCGCGTGTTTGGCCTTGCTGTCCTCATATGAGTATAACCCCTCCCATAGTACTACGGAGTACGGAGGACCCGACCCAGAAGACAAGGCGAAAGCAAGCGCATGCTTTCGACCCCTCGCAACATCTAGTTTGCTTCTCCATAACTCGATACACTAGCGAAGAGCGAGAGCTCGAGCTTATCGAGGATTTTAAGTCTCTCGAACTCTTTACATGTGGCAGGCAGTCTTTTCTACCGCGCGCGGGTATATCCACAATCAAAACTCCATCTTCGAGACTAAAGATTCAGGCCCCATCAGAGGAGAAAAAAAAACTATCTCCCGAGTTCCTAAAACCCCGGCCGAACTTTTTTTTGGTAGTTCTGTCCCTGTCTTGAATGCCCCCTCTCACCCTCTCCCTCCCTGTCTCGCTTTTTCTTACTCCTTTCCGTCTTGGTGGGTGGTCATGTGATATACATTGTAGATGTCGGAGGGAGCTTGGGGATAGATAGATGACTAGTAAGTTAAGTGGCATCTCTGGTCGGTGAACGGACTACAGGTAACAATGAGTGAGGCTGGTCCAACACGGAAAACCGTTTTTTCTCGACTCTCTTACTCAGATCTTAGGGACCTACTAACTAGCGGCAGTCTATTCATTGCACCGATCCTTCCTGGTCGTTTGAGCCGTTATCCATGACATCCAATCCTTGTAGCAGCAGCAGTTGTCGCTGCTTCCCTTTGTATGAAGGAAAACTAACGGGTTGGGCGGAATCCGCCCGGTCTAGATCACCCGTGCAAATCATTCTGTTCACCTGACCTTCCCGGAACTTATACTTCTGGTCTAGAAGCTATTGCGCTTCTAGTCCCGATGCAGGCTGCTGGTGAACGGTGCATCAGGATCTTCATGGGTGCGTGACCTTCGGCGATCTTGTCCGGTTGCACTACTGCTCGGTCGGGAGGAAGAGGAGGGAGGAACTAGACTAGACTGATTGTGTTTTACTTGTCTGTCTGTCTCGTGTTGGGGCGGGCAGAGTTGAACTAGCTGAGACTCTTGTGCCAAAAAAGAAAAAAATAGGTCGCCGAATTCGCCGGACGCGGAGTCCACTGTTTGAGCGTGAAACCCGTAACGAACGGTCGCAGGGGGGGGTGTTTATTTTGAGGTGAACGACTCAGATTCAAATCACGTTTTCCACCGTTCAAACCCGTTCGTGTCGGCAATTATTCATCTCGCTGGATCGAAGATCAATCTCCCCCCCCCCCCTTCTCTCCCCTCCGATCGACATGGGGCAGGGCTCCGCGTTGGAGGGGAAAAATAAGGGGAGGTTTCGAGTCGCAGATTTTCTCTTCTGACACTAAGGCTGCAACGCGACGCCTCGTCAGGCGTTCAACAGGGAGCGAAGCACGAGCCATGCACCCAGAAGCCCAACCACCGTGGCCACCAACACCCCGTTGCCCTCCCAGGTCAGCCCGAGATACGCGACACAGCCCACCACCAGCTCCTTCCGCCGCGCCGCATCTCGTCTACGCGCCCAGTCTGGGTCGATCGGGAACGGGGCCGCCGGCCGTTGGGCCAGCGCATCTGCTGGTCGCATTGGCCGGGTCGGGACGGAGACCGCGAGCGCGACGGCACGATGGTCAGAGGTTGGAAACAACGGCAGCGCATCGTAGCGCAACGGCCGGACGGGCTGTCCAGCCTGGTCCAGGTACAGCACACGGTCACACCAGCTGGGCCAGCGGGTCCCCGTCCACTGCCAATCCTGCGACAATGCGTGATCACCGCCCACCGCTTTACTCACGGCGTGGCGTGCCGCCAGGCTGTACTTGTACGTCGGAGGAAAGCTGATCGGCGCCTCCGACAGTCCCTGAAAGCACCGCGACTGGGCCCTCTCCCGACTCAGCTGATCCTCCTGGAGCAGATGCGAGTAATGGCGCGGGTCCGACGTCTCTACATCCACCCGGGGGAATCTGCTCGTCCGATCGCCCGGTTTCGGCGGTCGGTCGGCCGTCCGGTAATTGAGGTCTCCTGCCAGAAAGAGGTAACTCGTAGGGACGTAGATGCCCCGGCGATCGTGCTGCTGCTGCTGCTGTTGTTGCCCGACCGGCGAAGCCACTTCTGCAGAGCGCTCTTGGAGCAGGGGTGCGCTTTCCGATGCGTTTTCTTCGGTCTCGACAGGTTCCCGACCCGCGACGGCGGCACGACTATCCTGACGTTCAAAGACCAGCCGTTCGACCAGACTGCGCCAATCCGCATTCCTGCGCTCAACCGCCCATTCCATTGGCGCGAGATGCGCTGCCACGAATGTCAGCTCTACGGGTTGTTGTGTTTCTTCAGCTCCTCCTTCCCCGTCCCGCCGGGATGATGATGATGATGATGGTGGTGGCAGGTATCCGAGTCGCGCCCCCACGGCACCCTTGTTGCCCATCTCCTGGAACCCAAAGCCTATCCGGGCCGTCTCGAGCCAGGCTATTTGCTCTGCTACGTCGGACCGGGCAAACACCATCAATCCCGTCATCCCGGAGTTGTCCGTCACGATATTGACGTAATGCACATCATCCCAGCGCTGCGCGACCGCGCGATTCACAACCTGGCTCAGCGTGTCGAAGTACGGTGTCAGGAATGAACCCCCGAGGAAGGCGTACGCGATCGGCGCGATCTCTTGTAGCGAGAGTACGATAAGGTCGGGGGGAGGGACAGATGAGGAGGAGGCGTTGAGATTGTCGGTGAGCGGAAGGGAGTCGAAGAAGTGGTGGGAGAATCGATCGACGTCCACGAGATTTCGAGCGCAGTTGAAGGTGAGAATGTAGAGGTTAAGTGCGTCCATGGCTGGTCCGAAATGTGGAATGTTAGTGTTGGTGTTGGTGTTGACTTAACGTTGTCGTGATGGAGGTTGCGTATGATTGACAGACACCATGAGAGGGAAGTAGAGGGTGAATGTGGGGAGTTGCTGCTACGTAGTTGACTGTTGCACCGCACAGCTGCATGTGACGATCGGGGGAGGAATTGGGAGTGGAGCCGACGGCGGCAGATGAGGTCATCCCTCTTTGTTCAGCTTCACCCTTTCCACAAACTCACTCTACTCCCCCCTCCCTCCCGGTCAGGATCTCAAGACCCAGCACAATTTAGATTAGGTGCTGACGAAGATGGCTTCATTCTTTTGCCAAACAGTCCCTCCACCCAAGACATTTTTGTTCCTGGATCACACTTCCCGTATGAAAGGAACGCAGATCGCGCTATATTTATCGCACTGTCCCACAATCTACATAATGCAAGGGAACCATGGAAATATGTGAACAAGGTACGTGGCAGTCTGCAAGGTCACGCTCTAGAACGCTTCTAGACTCTTCCGACTCGATGGCATGCAGAATGTCAGTGTCCTGGGTCTGGAATGCGGGCTCCCCTTTTTATAGAACCTGCATGTTGTGGGTGTCATCTACCGCACGCGCTGCGATACCCAGCAGCAAAGGAAGTCACAATTTCCCTTTCACCGCGCTACCCTCCAGTTCGACCAATAACATACCTTCTGCTACCTCGTCCTCGTCGTCTTCCATCTCATAAACCCAGTGCGCACGGCCCGCGCGGGGGCTGCGAATCTCCACCTCCATTTTCATTAGCTTGACAAAGGCCACGACCTGGTCTTTGGCTATCTGATCGCCGGTCGCCACTAAGATCTCGATCAGCCTGCCGGAAAGCGGGAGGACAATGTGTCGTGGGTTGCGGGTGTCCCCGCGTCGCTGGGTAGACGAGACCAAGGCGGACGCTGCAGTTGTGGTGGCTGCGAGCTGGAGGCGATATGCTGCTGACGAGGTGGCGGTGGTGTACTCGACTTCGGCGGCCAAGGAGGAGGGGAAGTCGTTCTGGAGTACGCGCGTCAACCGGAGATGATGACGCAGGGCGTCCGTGTCCTGGGGTTGCTTCTGGGGAGAGTGGAGAGGCTCGAGGACGACAGACCATGCGTCTCCCCCGCGAAGGAGTGGATTCGACGCTGAGTTTCCGACAAGCGACGAGAAATTGGCATTTGAATCGGCTTTTTCGCGGTGACCTGTTCCCGCATGGCTCCCCATGTGGAGGACTTCCGTTAGGCGCGACTCCAGCCATTGATTGTCGATTCTGCGCGACAGAAAGTCGTCGTGGCCGGTCACCCCGCACAGCAGATCTAGATTGGTGCGGATGCCGCTGATCCTTGTGTCTGCTAGCACTCGTCGAGCTTTCAGCACCGTAGCATCCCAGCTGGTTGCGGTCACGATGATCTTGGCGAGTAGATTATCGAACTGGGTGCCAACTGTCACTGGTCCCCCACTAGTTGGGTTCACGTGGGTATCGACTCTGACCCCGTTGCCACCAGGACACATGAACTCCGTCACTTTGCCGGAGCTGAGTGAGAAGCGGTCATGGGGATCTTCGGCACATAGCCGTAGCTGCATGGAATACAGACGAGGAGCTACCAGTGATGTGGGCTCTAGACCAGTCTGTGCAAGTGTGTTCCCTTGCGCCAGTCGCAGCTGTATCTGGACGAGGTCGATCCCGTGAATCGCTTCTGTAATGGTATGCTCGACTTGTAGACGTGGATTGATTTCAAGAAAGTAGAATTGCCCTTGTTTCTCATTGACCAGAAACTCCACAGTTCCTAGCGAACGGTAACGAATGGCCTTCGCCATCCTCAGTGCCGCATCCAGCACTTGCTGCACCAGAGTTCGGTCAAGAATTAGAGACGGGGCCATCTCGATTATCTTCTGGAACCGTCGCTGCACGCTGCAATCGCGCTCCCCGAGCTGACAGACGTCGAGTCCGTCACCTACTACTTGCACCTCGATATGGCGATATCCGTCCACTGCGGCCTTCTCTGCGAAAACCGTCCGCGAAGGTGACTCTGCCATCGCTGCGTCGACGGCACGCTCCAGCTCACCATCGTCACGGACCAGACGGATCCCTCGCCCCCCACCACCGTCGACGGCTTTGATCATCACGGGATATTGGACCTCTCGTGCGAAATCCCGGATCAGGGCGATGTCAGCTGCTGGGGTCGGCGTGGCTGGCAAGACAGGCACACCGCACTTGACAGCAAGTTCCTTTGCTTGGAGCTTGTCGCCAGTCCGCGCCAGCGTCTCCCAGCCTGGCCCGACAACTGTGACTCCAACATCGTGCATGCGGCGGGCGAAGTCAGCGCTCTCGCTCAGGAACCCGTAGCCTGGGTGCACGGCTTCGACGGCATGCTCTTTCGCGAGACGGATCAGCAGCGGAATGTCCAGATATGCTGTGGGCGATTCCACCAAAACCTCCTGATCGGGACGACCCAGGTCGCAGTGAGAGCGATCCTGTTCTGTGTAAAGAGCAAGCACTTGGATTGGCGGTGACAGCTCACGGGCTGCGTGGATGATGTGCACCGCGATTTCGCCCCTGTTCGGTTGAGTAATCTGGTTTTCTGAGTTGAGATGAATCCATACCTGTTGGCAACAAGCAGTCGTGTGAACGGTCGGGGTCGTGACATTTTGGATGATCAATTGTGCTTCTGCAGTTGGTCTGGCTTAAGTGGTTGTTTATGTTGATGCGGTTTATCCTCGGACCTCGGGGCTGGGGCTGACTTAATCTTACCCCTCATAGCTGGCGGGTGATTATCTCCGCAGCGATATACCAGCCACAAACTCAGAACCCTTCCCGATCAATCCATCAAAATGCCGGATGACAGTAACGATAGCGACACGAGGGACACCCAACCATCCTCGGCGACGGCTTCAAAGCGTTTGCGCCAGGTCGCGTCGCATTTACCGGCCGACTACTCGGATGTGCTCGCTCAGATTAACGCCCTTCGCAGTATCGCTGCCACGCCCGATGCCTCGCGACGAGGCTACATCCGCCAGAAGCAGGCCGGCAAATTATGGGTGCGCGAGCGACTGGACGCTCTGCTCGATCCGGGCAGCTTCCAGGAGATAGGCTCTCTGTCCGGCACCGTGACGTGGAAGCAAACCGGCCCCATGCGCGAGAAGCCCGTGGCATTCGTACCGAGTAACAATGTCCAAGGGATGGGGCGGTTGCGCGGCCGCCGTGTGCTGCTCACGGCCGACGACTTCACCCTTCGCAGCGGACATGCGGATGGTGCCTCGCACGAGAAGACCATTTACATCGAGAAGCTCGCGCTTGCATTGAGGCTACCGATAGTCAAGCTGGTCGACGGGAGCTCCGGGGGCGGCAGTGTCACGCTCATTCGGTCCGCAGGGTACAGCTATCTGCCCTATGTCTCGATGTACAAATACGTCGTAGAGCAGTTGAACCAGGGGATCCCGAATCTCGGGGCGGTTGTCGGTCCAGCCGTAAGCCACTCTCCGGAAAGTGACCGCAAGTTGAGCCAACGACACTGACCTCCTCGCAGATTGGCCTTGGAGCCGCGCGTGTCGTATCGTGCCATTTCTCCGCCATGGCCGCAGACGTAGGCTCGCTGTTCAACGCCGGCCCGGAGGTAGTCAAAGGCGCCACCTTCGAAGAGGGCCTGGATTTCCAGACGCTGGGCGGCCCCACAGTGCATTGCACCAACGGAACCATCGACAACGTCGCTGCCAACGAAGCCGAATGCTACGAGCAGCTGCGCACGGTGCTGAGCTACCTGCCCAACTCCGGCCGCGAGGCGCCCCCCGTGATCGAATCCGAGGACCCGGCCGATCGGGAAGACAAGGCCCTGCGCCGGATCATCCCCCGCCGCCAGACCAGGATGTACAACCCCTGGACGATCATACGCAGTGTGGTCGACCGCGGGTCGTGGTTTGAGATCGGGCCCCTGTGGGGCCGCACAGCGATCGGGGGGCTGGCAAGGCTGGACGGGCGTCCCGTGGGGGTGATCTCGCTGAATTGCGAGGTGAACGGGGGTGCTCTGGACGCGGCGGGGAGTCAGAAGCTGACCCGTTTGCTGAAGTTGTGCGATGTGATGAATCTGCCGGTTTTGCAGTTCATCGATGTTCGTGAGTTCCCCTTGTGCATCTACAGACCTTTGGTTTTGTGAAGTCGACTTTGGTCCTTGCTAATACATTTCCATGGACAAAAGCCGGCTACGCCATCGGCACCATCGCCGAACGTACCGCCACGATGCGCTGGGGCGTGGAGCTGGGCAAGACCTACTTCACCACCACGACGCCGCTGTTCAACGTCATCGTCCGCCGCGCCTACGGGGTGGCCGGGGGTCTGATGCTCGGGGCCCGCGACCCCGTCATGCAGGTGGCCTGGCCCTCCGGGCAGTGGGGGTCCTTGCCGCTGGAAGGGGGCATCGAGGTGGCCCACCGCCAGGAACTGCGCGAGGCGGACCAGCGCGGCGAGAAAGCGGCGCATTACCGAAAGTTGGAGGAGGAGTACCGCCGGCTGATGAATCCGGTGCGCACGGCCAATGCGTTCGGGGTGGAGGAGATCATCGATCCCAAGGATACGCGCAAGGTGTGCTGCGCGTGGGCGCGGCAGGTGTATGGGACGCTGATGGCGGAGCGGTTGGCTGATCGGGCGACGGGCAAGGTTCGGCCGGTGTTTGCTTGATGTGATGTGCTTGTATTTTACCAGCGCTACAATCTGCAGCATTAATTCCCAATTCTACAGCCCTTGCGCTCGCTAGTCTCACTCTGGTTTATACACAATCGCCAAGCCATTCATGGATGACTCCACGGGAGCCTATCCTCCCCTCAGAAGTACCAGATGCGACATCCTTCACCTCCTGTCCCTGCTCATGCTCATCGTCCGAACTCGCCAGATCCACCCACTCGTGCTGATAATTGGCCCTCTCGCTCGCCGAATAACCCCTCGAGCGCAGCCAACCGAAGATCCCACGCGTAGCCACCTCCGACAGCGCCTCTGAACCCAGCGCCTCAGGATCAAGCAGCACGAATCGACGCTGGTCTAGTACATCACACCCCCCAGACTCAACCCTACAAATCCCAACAAGCCCTACACCAGCATCCTCAATCTCCCTGCCGTCGACAAGCCCCCACCTCCACCCCCGATACTCCAAACGGTGACACCCACAGGAAGCATGCATCCGCACCTGCAACTCAGCCTCACCCAGCACCGTCACCCCCAAAGGTTTCCACGGATGAACCGGCGCTCTACTCCACCCCCCTCCCTCCCCCTCTCCCTTGTGACTCGTCAAAAACAGCAACCGACACTCATCCTCCCGCCGTATGGCAACTCCATCGCTCACCTCTGTCCTCGCCGTGAGAAACTAGACATCCCGCCCAGTCCACGCAACAGCATCCAAATCCAGCGCCGCCATCCCATTCCGCACATCCCGGAGAATGGATCCAGCAACGTTTACAATAAATGCACCGAGCCATAAGCCCCCAAGTTGGGGCGCTCCATGCCCGAGGACGCGCAGCAGCGCGGGCATGTTACTCGCGTGAAGGAGCGGATCGATGATCGCGAAGGCGGGGTTGAGCCACGCGCTCACGAGATTGCATTCGATGTCGCGATTGAAGAATGTGCTGTGCAGGAGGGAGCGGATGCCACATGGGTTTGTGCTGAGGGTCATGTCATATGGGAGGAGGGCGTGGGGCGTGATGGGGTCGGGGTTTTCGTTGGCTTGGGTTTGTGTGGGAGTGGGTAGTGGCGGTGGGGAAAGGGGAAGGAGTTGGCGGGGGATTGGGAGGGAGGAATGGGATGTAGAGGGCTGCTGCTAGGGCTGCTGAGGATTGGGCGTGGAGGCGGTGGTGGGTGATGAAGTGGGTGAGGTATTCTAGGGCTGAGTGGGTTTAGGTACGCGGGGTTGGTGGTCTGTGATAGCTATGCGGGATGGTTTTGCGAGGTTGACGGACCAGGGGGAGAGGTAGGGCCGGTGGTTGTACTCTGCTGTTCTTGGGCTGGTGCCACTGGTTCCGGAGAGGATGGATCTCCACCAGTTTGTTTCGTCGGTGTCGGTATCGTAGCCAAGCTCGATTGCAGCGGTATAGTGATCGTTGGGTTGCCCGTCGGATGGATGCTCGTCAGAAGGAGAGAATGGAACTGTACACCCGGGCACCCCCTCCATGATCTCCGCCCACCGCGCAGACAGGATATACGCCCAGGCCAGGAACAAGACGGCTATGTAGTTGCCTTCGTCCTGGCCCAGAGCACCTTGTATGCCCGGCCACTGTGTCAAAGGTGCAGAGTCGGACAGATGCACAGCGAGTGAGCTCTGCACGCCCACTACAAGCTGGGCGGACATGGCTTTAGGGGACAGGGGACATTGTTCGGGGTTGGTGGAAGTCCGCCAGATTGAGCGACAGCTCGTGACTAGACCGTACCGGCCTTCTCGAGATTCATTTTCTATTAGATTAAGAGGAATCTGAGTATCTTCAGGGCAAAGGCCGCATCCGAGGAAGGAAGGCGTTCGCTGCAGAAGGCCCTTTAAATTGAGACATTCCTGCGGGAGGAGGGAGGGGAGATTTGGGGGGCTGATATAGGAGGACCATTGCTGATAGCTTTCGCGGAGGATTCAGTTGAAGTCTGCTTTGTTGGGACGGAGGGGTTCTTCCATGATAGAGGGAGCGGGTTGTGTAAGAGATTGGTGGTGAGAAGTAACGTTATGGGAAGCATGCGGAGTATGCGGAGTATGCGAAGTATGCGTATACAGGGATCAAACCGAGCCTTCGGCTAGTTAGCCCTTGTGAGTCACCTGATTAATAGATAAACATGACCTTGATGTATAGTTATTACTCTTCTCTTCTGAGTATCAACCCACTTTGAGTCTGAGATAGTGGAGCGTTGTGATCTTACCTATTGTTGTTCTCTCTTTTCGTGCGTTGTAAGTTATAAGTTATAACTTAGGGAGTAAACAACCAAGGGTGGGTCAGGTGATGTCACATGATGCTTAGTCAGATCACGCTAAGTTAATAAGTTGTTCCTGTTCCTGTTCATGGCTCCACTGCTCGAGCTATTTTGCGGGCCAACGGTAACCGGGAACAACTTCTGCGATTCTATTTCTGGCCTCGAAATAACCGTACTAGGTACAGACCAGTGAATGTTCCTTAGATAATTAGTCACTACCGTCATACCCTTATAGCAATCTTCCTATTTCTGTCTCTACCTATGAAGACCAGAAGCTTCCTTCTTCGTACGAGTAACTTGAGAATCGCATCTGACTGACAGTTGACTTTCAATCCATCATTCCCCACCTCTGCTCTTATCGGCCTCAAATCTCCTCTAAGGACGGCCATTCCAGGCTAGCCAAGCTCTTCAGAGCAGCAGCACTAAATACCGCGATGGAGACTGACGCGTCACCGAGCAAAGATGAGCTTCGCGCCCTACTGCAACAGGCAAGGGAGGCTGCAACAAAGGAGAAAGAGCGCGCAGAACAGGAGAAAGAGCGTGCAGAAAAAGTGGAAAAGCAAAATCAGAATACTACGTTTGCAGAATACCTCCACGCTTGCCATGACTTCATTACGGTGCCCATGACCATCCAGACCAACCGATCGCTCACTACCAAAGGTTCTATCACCGACCCGACCGGCCGTATATGCCCGACCTTTCTTCGACCGTTTGATTTTCGCAAAGCACAACAAGATGTCTTCGACGAGCTCTACAAAAGCTTTCATTCTCCATCTGATTTACGACTGTTTCCTTCGAGGCCTATTATTGAATACACAGGGAAGCAGGCATGCAGATATCCATTAGCAAGTGAAGCAGACCTGGCGCAATATAAAAAGGCAGAACTTGAAAATCCTGTTATGGAGATCTTTGATAAGCTGCTTCAGCTTCCAGAAGACCGACGTCCATTTCTCCTTGATGAAGGGATCATATTCGAAAACCATTCCAACACGGTCACAGAGAATCCAGATCAGATGACTCCCGCGCGACCTCCAACGAGTAAGGAGCAAATGAAACCTGCGCGACCTCCAGCGGATCGACACTGTGTGTATCAGAAATCCGGCGATACGCGAAGCTTGGCTTATATTATTGAATATAAAGCTGCGCACAAGCTTACTGATGCCTTCCTCCGAGCTGGCCTTCGACCGATGAACCTGGTGGAGGAAGTTGTTCAGCGGGTTACAATACCAACAGATCTTGATGAGAAACTTTGTTACGACGCTGCTTTCTTGTCATGTGCCGCCGTTACACAAACCTATGAGTATATGATGAAATCAGGCCTCGAATATGGCCTACTAACAAACGGTCATATGAAAGTTATCCTTCGGATCCCCGAGAACAATCCCGATGCACTAGAGTATGACCTCCTTGAACCGAGCCGGGATGCTGAGGCGAAGCCCACTGATGGCTGTGGTTTCCGTTTCCCTTATACGGCTATTGGCTACCAGTTAAGCTTGACTCTCATGGCAATTCGATCACCACAACGAAGCCAAGCATGGCGGAATGAAATCATTGCCGCATCAAGCAGATGCGAAATCGATTTCGAACGTGCGCTTCGTTCGATTCCAGAATCAGAACGCAAGACAAGTCCACCAGGCTCAGAATACCGGGAGCCAATTTATCCCATCAACAATCGGTCACCATATCTCTTACGCCTACGTGTTCGAGGTGATTCTCGTCCAGTGCAGCCCTATAGGAGCCCATCACCAGATTCTTCAGGTGAATCGGATTCAGGCCAGAAACACCCCCTATCCTCTCCGACTCAGGACCGTGGTAAACGCCAGCGGACATCGAACGCTTCACACCAAAGCCATCGAGTGCCTGGTCAGACATCAAAGTATAATTTCTGCACACAGTTATGTCTGCGGGGACTTGTACATCAGTCAGAACTTGATGATAAATGCCCCAATGTGGATCTTCACCGGAGAAAATCAGATGACCGGCGACACACTATATCCCGTGATACCTTGATCAAGCTTGTTGAACAGCAACTAAATGCGGACTTGGACTCCTGCACTCCTCTCGGAAAAGAGGGCGTACACGGCTCTATCTTTGCCATCCAATTACAATCACATGGTTATGCCATGATTGGGAAAGGTACCGACCATCACTCAGATCGTGAAAGTATCATGTACAGAAAACTTGAATCCCTACAAAGATTTGCTGTCCCCATCTACCTCGGCGATGTCTACTTGCAAAGTACCTATTATACTGACTCCGGACGAGAGATTATCCACCTTTCACTCATGGCGTGGGGCGGCCGCGCACTACAAGAGTCAGATCGCCCACGTTTACAGCACTACATGAATGATACAGAAGCTGAGGTCCGCGAAGCTGGTGTTCTGCACCTTGACTTGCACATGTCCAACTTTCTATGGAACGAAGAGGCAGCGCGAGTCATGCTCATTGATTTCAGCAGAGCAGAAATTTCTCGAAAACGCAAAGGATCGGTTGACCTCTCTGCAAAGCAACACCGCAAGCAACGTCTATTCACCGACCATGTACACACTGTCCCCCGCTATGCATGCTAGTAGGGTTTGAATGGTGATGTTTTGCCATTAGTGTACGACTTTGCCGTAGTGGTTTGGGACCTGATTTCGTGGTACAGGTATACACCTGCTCGTTCCCAAGTCGCGACATTGAAACAAGCGTTGTTGTAGCTGTGTATAAAAGACTTCGACTCGAGATAGTCTACTGTCTATTACGCGAGCTATTTCGGCGCCTTGGACTCAGTTTCTTGCATGTTGAACGCTTGTGATAATCATGTTCCTTCGTAGGTGTTGTAGTAGTACCCTTTATCTAGCGATCAGCAACCTCACTACTAGGTACCTACCACAGGCCTACTACCTAAAAGGAAAGAGTAAGGTGAGGCCCCACCCCTAGTGAGAAGTCCATGGTTCTACGAAGGCCATGGAAATCCTAATATAAGCTATATCTAAGCAGCAACGGTTGTAATCTGGATAGGAGACAATCTAAGCCTTGTCCCCTATACCAATCATCCAGCCCCATAACAATGTCAATTCAATATTAGCCAACCATTGATCAAAATTTGCGGAGAAATTGGCCGCCAATCCGCTAGACTGCGTGTGCTACTCTGGAATTAATCTCTTGACTCAAGTACGGCTGCCGACTGTGCAGACGGGAAGCCCTGTTGTCCACACCCGATCTACACGCCAATTCAAGCAAGACCCACACAGCAAGACGAAGCGAAGGATATGTCTTCTTCTTCTTCTTCTTCTTCTTCTTCTTCTTCTTCTTCTACTAATCAGCTACTACTAAGCATGCGCTCCGAAACAACGACCTTATCAAGCATGTCCGAGGTGCTTATCAAGCACCGCCTGTGAAGTAGGCTTCGGCCTTAATCTCGAGCCCGCGTCGGGACTGAAATCTATCCCGAAGGTTGACCGGTTGCCCTCGTCGGAGGCTAGACCATTGGATGAGTGCCGGGATAGCCCTAGATATACTTCGCAGCTATCTATATAGATGGTCAGGACGCCTGCCCTAGTTTGTGTCTCTGTTCCAAGACAAAGTGACTACAGTTTATCTGAGTACTGTCACTCACCCCATTGTTCTATACCTAACCTGTTACCTTAGAACCTTAGAAAAATGGCCACCGTCGGAAAAGTCGCTATTATCGGAGTACGCTATCCCCACACCAACCGGGTTCATCCCCTCTACCCTCATCTTGCCCCTAACCGTATCTCCCAGGCCACCGGCACCCTGGGCTCGCGCATCGCCAGCGCTCTAGCAGCCGCAGGCCACGAAGTCACCGCGCTGCAGCGCCCAGAATCCAACAAAGCGGCCCCCGAAGGGTTGAGGGCCATCAAGGTCGACTACCACAACCAAGCCGAATTGATCGCCACCTTTACCGGCCAGGATGTCGTTATCAGGTCCGTTCATATCAAATCTCCGGTTCCCTTTAAATCTGCACCAACTAAAACCTCTCAGCGCCGTCCCCTTCCCCCAACTCACCACCGAGAAACCCATCATCGACGCCTGCATCGCCGCCGGCATCAAACGTTTCATCCCCTCCGAGTTCACCACCATGCTCGAGTCCCCACTCGCCATCACTCTCCCCATCGCGAGGGAGAAGGTCCTCATCCGGCAGTACCTCACCTCCGCCCTGCCCGACCCCGCAGGAACCACCACGTGGACCTCCGTCAACAACGGCGCCTTCTTCGACATGGCCCTGAAGTACGGGGTGCTGGGTCCCAACCCGATCACCGGGAAAGCCGTCTTCCACGACGGCGGCGACAAGCCGATTGCCGTCTCGCTGCTCGCGGATATTGCAGCCGCGCTGGTCCGGCTCCTCGAGGACGGCACGTTCGAGGCCGCGGCCAACCAGCCGGTGTATATCTGCTCCGCCGCGGTGACGGAGCGGCAGCTGACGCAGCTGGTTGCGGAGGTGCTGGGGACGGATTTCGGGGCGCCGGAGGAGGTGTCCGTCAAGGAGCTGATCGCGGAGTCAGACAAGAAGTTGATGCAGGGGGATCAGTCGGTGGTGGTTAATTATTATTTTCAGATGATGTATGGGGAGGGGTATCGGGGTGGGGATTTCATGGAGTTCAATTGGAATGAACGGTTGGGGTTGAGGGTTATGGGGGAGGAGGAGTTGAAGGAGGCTATCCGGGGGATTTTGAGGGAGTAGGCAGGTGGATGATGTACAGTACAGGAGTTGCATGGTGGTGGCGTTGGGTCTGGTGTTGCGGTGGTAGCTTGCAAATGTGATGCAGTGCATATACGGTGCGTAATTCTAGATTCTATAAATACTGGGTTTATTCCTCGGATGCCGGCATACTCTCGTCCGAATAGCGAGCAGTGAGAGTTCAAGTTAACAAAAGCTGACCCCCCCGTCTAGCGAGAACCTCCTCCCAATCTCCCCCGCCACTTGGTAGTGAACTTATCCCTGCATCCCTCAGACGATGCGCCCACACCTCCTCCAGGGTAGCCTGTGCTAGCGCAATATTCTCGAACCGCCGACGCGCGAACATCAGCTCAAGGCGCTGGCGGATCACCGGCATCGCGGCAGGCGCCGTCACCTCTCCGCCGGCCAGGAAGAGCGGGAACAACAGCGCGGATTCAACTTGCTCGGCCCAGGGGATTTCCTGGATGTGGGCCAGGGTCTCGGCCACGGCGGCTGCCATCTTGACATCTAGCGTGTTGTCTTGATATTCACTCTGAAGAGCATCACCGCGTGAGAAGCTGTTGCTGTGGCAGCGGAGAAAGCTCCGCATCCGCCGGTACAGATAGATCCGTGCGGCGCCGCGGTAGGCGTATGCCAACGCGACCAGCGACGGGGAGGCGGTGCTGGGGCACCGCCAGGCCAGCAGTTTTTGCTCGATCTCAGTGCATGACACATACACTTCCTGGTCATGGTTATGATTGGACAACGCCGCCAGTGTGCCACTATCCCCACCCGGAGGAGGAGGATCTAGAAAACTAATCTCCGCGATCAGCGCCAGGATTCCTGCCGCCACGCCCAGATACGTATCCACCACCCCGTCCGTGATGCCGTGGAGGTAATCAGCGCGCAGTAGCGGCTTCGTGCCCAGCGTAACACTGCCTAGGATATCGTGGTAGGCGAAATTGCGGAGGATCCACTGGCCTTCCGGGGTGGATTTGAGGGCGTCGGGGCCGGCGACTCCGCTGCAGGTTGTGGCGGCGGCGGAGAGGATGATGCTCTTTGCGCCGAGAAGGTGGGCATACCATCCGGTCTGGTTGCCGAGACATACTTCCGAGGTCAGGAGGACAAGGCAGGTGGCTACTTGAGTGCAGGCGTCATCGTTGTGCGGTGAGGGATCGGATAGAGCTGATGCCAAATGGCCGAGGGCGGTGGATCGCGCTTCTAGCGCGGTGATGCGGTAGCGCTCGTCTGCTGCGGCGGCTAGATGGCCTGACGCCCAGGAGATTAACGCACCCGACAGAGCGGGCGAGTCGACGGACATCGGTACGAATTCTGTGCGGTAGGCTTTGGTCAGTGGCGGTGTGGTTGATAAAGTCTGGCGAGGGAGCAGCTCGCACCGGAGAGAAAGGAGTTGTACTGCTGGGTGACTGCTAACACCTGGGCGATAACGTCGATGTAGTATTTCATTGCGTACTGCCTCATGGAGGATCGATTCGACTCTTGGATGGCGAAGGGGTGGTGGTTGTGGAAGAAATCCACTGTTCGGACGGAGGGCGCGGTGCTCGATTCACCGGTCTGAGCCCGCGGGTCAGGGGCAACTTGACGTTTGGGCTCTCTCACACATTTGAGGTTGAGGCGGATGCATGCTCCGCACTCCGGGAAAGTGTTCTCGGTGCATTTCTTGTGTCTATGCGAGGATGAGTATCGATGGTGAGTTAGAATGAGGGGAGGGGGAGTCCTGCGTGCATACCTGTAACGGCATGTCAGACAACCCGTTCGGTCGTGCTTGGAACCATTGCGTCGTCTTATTCTAGAGGTAACTGTGTCATACATGGTTGCTTGATACTGAGTATCAGAGTCTAGGTAGAGTAAGGAGGAGTGTTGTGTTGGTGCCGGATGGAGGGATTGATAGGAGGCGGGGTTACTACAATGATGGCTATTCCTAACTCGGAAGTGGGTCGGATAGCCGGATACTGTAATTGTATACATACGCAGCCCTAGACCCGAATGCATTATGCAATACTCCCTACAGTAAGGTCCGACGATCTATGTCACGGCACACGAATCACCACTTTCCCCGTATGGCTTGAATTCCACAGATACTCATAGGCCACCCTGGCCTGCTCGAACCCAAACACCCGGTCAATGACCGGCCGGATCGCATGCGCCTCGAAGCACGCGAGCATCTCCTGCAGCTGTTCGCGCGATCCCACCACCACGCCCCGCACGATGCAGACCCGATCCAGCGCCAGGAACGCTGCATCCGGACCGCGGAGCTCCTTGCCCTTGCCCAGGGGATCGGGGTTGGTAATGTGTCCGATGCAGTGAATCAGCCCGTGGAGCGCGATCGCGTCGAATGACTGCTGCAGGGTTAGGGTGCCGCCGACCTCAATAAGATGGTCGACCCCGTTCCCACGCGTGAGCCGCATGACCTCAGCCGCCCAGTCGGGGTGCGTCCGGTAGTTGATGAGATGCGTCGCGCCGAGGGCCCGGGCCTTGGCCAGTTTCTCCTCCGACGAAGAGGTGACGATCGTGGTGGCGCCCGCTGCATGCGCGATCTGCAGGCCGAAGGTGGCCACCCCTCCTGTGCCTTGTAGAAGGACAGTCTGGCCTGCGCGGAGGGGCACCAGCCCGTACAGCGCGTTCCAGGCCGTCAGCGCGGCGCAGGGCAGGCACGACGCCTCCTCGAAGCTCAGGTAGTCCGGGATCCGGACCACCCCTAGCGCAGGGAAGATGAAGTACTCGCCGAGCAGGCCTTGGATCTCACCCCCGAGCTGCGAGAGGAGGCCTGCCTTGGTCAGTCGCCCGGCGTGGTGGTCCTGCGTGAAGTTGGCCAGGACGCGGTCGCCCACGTTCCATTGTGTGACGCCTTCGCCAATTGCCTCGATGATACCTATTTACGCAGATGTTAGGGCCGCACTGTGCAAGGAAGACAAAAGAAGAGGATCTATCACACCTGCGCCGTCGCTTCCAGGCACAAGAGCATCGGGTCCGGGAAAGGGATAGGTCCCCATGGCAATAATTGCATCGCGCCAATTCAGGGATACGGCCTTGATGCGGACGAGAATCTGACCGAACTTTGGGAATGTTTTAGGCACTTCACGCACCACGAAGCTAGCGAAGCCCTTCTTCTCGGGAAGATAGTATTGTTTGAAGGTGGGATTGGTAGCCATGCTGGGTTATAAGTGATAAGACGTGAGTGTTCTTCTTTCTTCTGCGAGATAAGACCACGAATTTATAGACTTTGAGATTCCCTCCTCTTGGCATATCGAAGTTAAATACCTTACTAGTGGGGTGAAAACGCCAAGTTCAGAGACGCTGAACACGCCGGATACGCCAAGCACGCCAGCCAATCAATATTCTGTTCTTGTAGATACCTGCGTCAATTGGCCATTCGCGGAGCAGTGGGTACCTACTACTAGTATTTACCTCCAAGGTCTTTTGCTTACCAACCAGGGACATTTTACTTCTTCAAGAGTCTTCAAACTGACGACTGCGACTGTCCAGCACGACTTGCAGAAGTTTACTAGTGGACTGAAGATTATCATTAGTCAAGCATGTTTGAATTCATCACTGATTAGTGGCATAGAACAACTCCTCTCAAATTCTTTCTCCTTGATTCCTCCCTAGTGCATTCGGGATATCCACTTCGCTCCAACATGGAAGACCGTTTCTTTTCCCGGTGATGACGGGCGGGTTAGACTGGCCCTACTTAAGGCCGACAATTAGAGACCATATATTTTTCCCCACCATGGCAGCTCAAAAGGTTACTCGTACCGGGAAGCAAGACAGGTCGGCCAGACGGTCTGCATGCTTTAGACGCTCAAAGGATTAGGGCCAAGATCACGGCAGCGCAGGCGGACTGACAAGTCCCAAAGGCGCTGTTGCAGGCGAGAATTGTCGCTGGGACCGTGGCTCCGAGCGAGACCCCCCATGTGTATCCTGTATCCTGCCGCTGAGTAGCATGCCATCACGACGGCGGCGCAACCGGCCTGACAAACCCCGTAGGCCGCTGGTCCCGCGGAGGCATAGCTGGCTGCAAGAGCGAGGACGCCCAGAGCTGGATAGGAGATGTTCATCGTAGTGGCTGTTCGTACCGTGCGCGTGGTGTGATGGTGGTCGGGGCCGGGAATCAGTCCTTCAGTTGGTTTGGATTCAGAAAGAATTGGAGGTTGAGTTTTCAGGAGAGACACTGCGAGCAATGGAGTTGTATTTATACCAGAGGTCAACCACATGCCAGCTTTGAGAATGACACTGCAGTGTTCCTTCATTGAATCATGTTATGCGTTGGTCTTTCAGATCCATTCATCACGGTGTTGGGCCCTTTCTTCGTACATTTCCGGCAACATCACAGATCTCTTCTTGAAAGGAAAAGCCAGTATAAACACATAAAACAGGAGTTGGCGCTCACGGCAGTCAGCTGTGACAATACCATGCACAATACGAACAATGGTTGGGTGCACTTCCGACGCACGACTATCGATTTGCGTTCTATAGTTCGGGAGGCTGAAAGATCCTTTTATGCCAGCTTGACATCCCATAACTATGCAGTAAGCCACGTGATTGGTCAATTGATGAAACACAGATCCTAGTTTCAGGATACTTAATTTTGTACCACATGACTGGCTACATAGTAGGCTCTGGCTTAGGGCAGCCTTCCGCATGACCGACAAAGAGGTTCGAGCAGACGGTGTGAGAATGTCTCACTCGCGTCATCTTCATTCTCCAAGGCCATGCGCTCTCCTCATTGTTCCATGTTAACTATGCCATCTTCTTCCAATCTAGCCATGTTCACCATCGAACCATGACGACGGGTGCTTGCCAGTAGCTCGATGAGGCCAATACCGATCGCAATATCAGTCATCCAGAACAAACCTCAAAGAAATGAAAACAGCCACGGCTGTTCTTTCTAGCCATGTCGCCATAATAAGGCTCCACAGGAATGGTTGCAGACCCTTCTTCAAGACCTTTCCGAGTCATTCTGTACGAATTCTCATTGTCATCATGCCGCCGTCATCCCCCCATCAACCATGTGCACACCTCCGGTCGTGAACCCCGAGCTCTCATCCAGCAAATAAGTCACCAACCCTACCACCTCCTTTGTCGACCCTACCTTTTTCATAGGAATAGCGTTGACCAGCGTCTTCATCAGACTCTCCGAGACCGCATTCCGCAACATAGGTGTATCAATCGGACCCCTGCAACCACCATCAGCGATCCCGCTTTACCTCCCCCCCAGCCAAACCCCAGGAAGAAAAGAAAAACTCACGGGCAAACCGCATTAACCCGCACCCCATACGGCGCCGCATCCATCGCGGCGGAGCGCATGATCCCCAGCACCGCATGCTTACTCGTCGTGTATGCCGACAGGTTCGGCGCCCCCGTGACCGACGCATTACTACCGAAGACCACGACGGACCCTGTGGAAATCTCCTGTCGACCGACCGCATCTACCAGGTACTTCAGCGCCGCGCGGACGAGATTCAGCGTACCCTGCACGTTGACCCGCTGGGCGAAATCCCAATCCTCGTCTGTCACGTTCCAGATGGGTTGCTGGCCGGATTCGCGCGGGTGCGCGCCCGCTGTGTTGATTGCGCCGTCCAGGCGGCCGAAGTGGGTGACGGTGGCGGCGAGCCAGGACTCAACGGCGGAGCGGTCGCAGATGTCAGCGGGGCGGGCCAGGATGTTTGTCTTGCCGATGAGGGGCTCTAGTTCAGTGACGAGGGCGTCGAGACCCGATTGGGAGAGGTCGGTTATCGCAAGGCGGGCGCCGAGGTGGGCGAGGTGGATGGCGATGGCGTGGCCGATGCCGGAGGCGGCGCCGGTGATGGCGTAGACTTTGCCCTGATGGGTGGACATGCTCGCTGCCATGTTGTGTTAATTCTTGTGGTTGGGGATAGGGTTGAGGAAGAGCGATCTTAACTTGCTCTCTGGTAACAAGCAAGAGACGAAGATTTAAGGTGCATGGTGGGTAATGTATGTACTGTACGTGCATGTCTGCGGAACGATGACGCGGGAGGCGGCTGGGACATGCTGACCTTAACTCCGAATGCAGGGTCGAAATGTGTGGATCAGTGGGGAGTGGTGCATGTGTAGCGCCTATCAAAAACAGGCGTGGGTGCTTGGCTCCGCATTGAACTAGAACCTCTTACCTATCAATACGTACTGGTACAGTAAAGCCAGCAGGAATCAACCAATCAGAAACCATTGTCTTAGAAATGGCACAAAGTGCATAGGAGGGCTCTCATTGAGCACAACAGGGCGACGAAACTCAAGTAGCACAACTAGGCCATAGTTCTCTACATCAAGTAGAATCTGTCTCACAGCATCACGAAGTCTATACATCAATTGTTCTCTTCGGATGAACTCTCATATACTACTCTTGCTTGGGTTCACGTCAGAAAGATAAATGCTTTCCCCCATGATACCCTGTGTGAACTTTTGACCTCTCGAGTTTACCATATCTATAATAACGGATCACGCTACAAAATTCAATCTAAGAAAAGTCTTTTTGATACTGTTCAACATGAACTATACCTACCGCAACGACGATCCACAAGTCGAAACCTCTACTTCAAAAAAAAAAGACACTTTCACAGCCTCACTGGGTATAATCCGTACTATGCGCAATCGCTTCCATGTTATCCATATTCTCCTTCAGCCCATCAACCTTACCCCGCAACACCGCATAACAATCCGACCCCAGCGGCATGCGGAGATACGAAGCTGCCCGGGCGCAGAGACCCTGCTGCTCGACGGCGTCGAGGATCCGCGCGGCCGCCTCCTCCGGATCACCCCGCTGCGTCCCGTCGACCGTGTCGTAACGCTGCATCGCTCCGCCCAGCGCTGTGCCCTCATACGCCGAGTTCAATCCCGCCGCGGGTTTCACGTACGCGGAGAGAAACCCGGTGCGGAAGCCGCCAGGCTGCACGATGAGCACCCGAATGCCGAATTCGGCCAGCTCGGCTGCCAAGCTCTCCGAAAGACCTGTGAAGAGATTGATTAGTTTAGTCCGAGAAGCCCCTCTGGGATCATGGCTAACCTTCAAGACCGAACTTGCTGGCGGAATATAACGCTGTAGCGGGACGACCGATCAGGCCCGCGACGCTGGAGATGTTGACGATGCACCCGGTCTTCTTCTCGCGCATGGAGGGGAGGCAGCCCTGGATGACGCGGATCGGGCCGTAGAGGTTTGTGTCGATCTGCTGGTGGATTTCGGTCTCGCTGCAGGTAGTACCCTGATTCAGCACACTCCATCCCGAAAGACAAGCATTCACCCAGGGCTCATGTGTGTTTCAGACTTACTTCATATCTTCAATACTGCCCAGGATGGAGTACCCGGCGTTGTTCACCACGACGTCAAAACCTCCATGCTCGCGGGAGAGGCGCGCAATATGCTCTTTTGTTTGGGGGTCCGTCACGTCGAGTTGTGCCCATACGCCTCCTAGTTCCTCAAAATGAGGGTAGCTTTGTTGCGCCTTGGATATAGTCCGCACCGCACCGACGACCTTGTGGCCTGCTCGGAGGACATGGTGAGCTAGCGCGGCTCCAAGACCGGACGATGCGCCGGTGATTAACCAAGCTTTGCTCATGATGCTATGTCTGAGATTCTGCAAGCTCTTTTAGTTCCCAAGGAGACCTATGATCAACTCCGTAGCGGATGGCACGCTTTTAAACATGCTCTCGGTTGTACAGGTAAGCTCCGGCAGGTAAACCACTCATGATCTCATGCGCCCGGGAAATGAAACCGAGGCCCCACTCTCGGCAAGCCGGAACCATCCTTGTAGTGCGTGCCCCACTAATTTGCTAGGCCAAGGCGGAGATATCCATGGACTTAGCGACAGGGTCCTCATCAGTCGGCGTTAAGCTGTCATCATCACCGACCCACTGTGCGTCGGCTGAATCTCGCTCTTACTCGGTATGTCACGGCTAGTAGGAAATGCTAGGCAGACTCTGTGCCGCAACTCCTATATAGACCAGCCACAGCACAATCGACTATCCACAGATCCTCCAATCTCATACCACCCTCCCCTACCTAGGAAATAGAAGAAACTTCCACCACCATCAACAGCAAACCAACCCCTATCAAGCCCTCGAAAATGTCCTCACCACCCCCCAATACCCGCCGCATCATCACAACCCACACCCCCTCCCGCACCGCCACCATCGCCATCAACGCCCCCAAAGCACCCACCGCCCTCGACGACGGCACCTACCTCAACCCCCTCTGGTCCTCCACCGAGATCCCCGCCACGATCGACCAGGACCCAACCAAGATCGAACCCAACTCAACCGCCGCAACAACCGGCGGCTCCGTCTTCTGCACCTACGATCTGCCCCCGCGGTACGAGGGCCCGATGCACCGCTCCATCACCCTCGATTATGTCACCGTCACCCGCGGCGTGGTCACGCTGAGCACGGATGACGGGTCCACGGTGACGCTGCAGGCGGGCGATACGGTCGTGCAGAGGGGGACCATGCACAAGTGGGGGAATCCGTCGGATGAGTGGGCGAGGTTGACTTCCGTGATGGTGCAGGCGAGACCGGTGGTGGTGGAGGGGGAGGCGATGGGGGCGGTCTGGCCGTTTTAGGTCCTTCGATTTTCTGGTGGATGGGATGGGGTGGTCAACTTGATGAGGAATTCGGGTTGTGGTGGGTTTATGTGGAAGGTGTACTGGGATCCATTTTGTCTGCATCCGGGGTCGTTGGTCGGGATTAGGGCGTTGTTGTTATTGTTTCTTTTTGTTTCTTTTTTTTTTTTTCTTTCATCAAAGAACCCAGCTCCAGGAACTCACGAATATGGCCAAATCTTGGCGAGTATCTCCCTCTGCTCCGCATCCTCCCCCAATGCGATAAACTCGTCCCTGAAATGCTGGCTCAATCTCTGAGCGACTTCATACCGCTCGCGCGGAACCATGCCGCCCAGAGGGAGGAGCCCTTGTTCTTGAATCTGGCGCAAGACCAATGAAACACCCTCGATAAGCTCCATCTCCTCGTCATGTTGTTGGAGCTCTTGAATAGTGAAATCGATCGGACATTTAATTGAACTGGTGCATATATCGTCCCAGCGAGCGACTACTGCGATCAGTGAGTGGCGGAGGGAGAACAGGTCATCTCGCTGCCAGCAAGCCGGCACCAGCCGGGTAGGTTTCATTCTGAGTGTGTGACACGGTTCAGTAAGTGCCTCCCATCGCCTGGGATTCAGACTCTTGAGCTTGGCGAAGTAAAACTGTCGGAGTGAGTCGTCGCCTTCGCCTGTCCCCGCTGTCGTTGGCTCCAGCATCTGCGGAATCAGCGGGTGTAGATCAACTGGCGAAGCGGCCGCATGCTGCCAGTCGATCACGGCTGTGATGTTGTTGGTTGCTGGGTCCACGAAGATGTTGTCCAGGTGTAGATCAGGATGCGACAGCTGGTCTGGGGATTCGTGACCATGAGGTTCCTGGAGCAGGTAGGGCACGAGCTTTGTATACCGCTCCAGCAAAGCGACGTACTCATCTGCTGTCTCTAGCTGCTCCTCTGATCGCCGGACGTTCATTCTTGGTTTGGCGGGCGTCTGCGCCCATCGGATCTCGTTCTGCGCGATGGCGCTGGCATACTCCGCCATATTTTTGACTATGGCTTTGAGTGTCAGAAGACTGAAAATGCGACATAGTTACATAAGAGGAACCTACACGGCCCCCTGTGGAGGTTCATTGGTACTCTTCCCATGTGGCCGTGCCAGTACCGTGGATGGGTCAACGGACCGAGGGCAAATGCGGGCCTACTTCCACCGTCTGGGCTCTGTATTGGAACGAAACTGGGATGTTCTGGTCGTGACTCGAGGTCTGACTGGAAGTATATGCACCCATGCCGCGGGAAAGTAAGAGACAAAAGCCTCCGCTCGATGTCGACGACTTGGTCGATGATGTGCGCACGAGCCAAGGATGGCAGATTGCTCCACAGCAACCCTAACGGTTGCCCAGTCGCTTTCTCCTCCAGAATGTACTCGGCCCCAACTGGATTTGTCTCATCTACAGACCACGCGTAGATTCGAGGGACGGGGAGAGCGAGATGGTCTCGGAGCTGAATGAAAATTCGACATTAGCAATCAAATCTGTAGATAGGGCAAATAGACACCCACAAACTGACGCGTGGCCACCTCCGATGCGGTAGTGTAGAATCTCGGTCCGGCGTTGGGATTGGGTAGCCGGGCCACCACGTCCTGGCCATTGTCCATCGACAGGATCAAGGCCTTATTGTATTGCCCTTCGATGCATTTGAGGACCTTGGTACCTGTCATGCGGTATCAGTCATACCGTGGGCCCATTGTAGCAGATGGCTTACAGTTGGAAGCATCACTACCGGCTACTTCGCTGGCGGCATCGATCAGTGCCGGCAGCCGGAACTTGCGATACCGTGCCGCCAGTTGCTCGGCATCTTTGGTGCTGTGGGGTCGTTAATAGAAAGTTTATTTCCTGGGAGAAGGAAAAATGGACAGCCAGCGATAGCGTTGGTACTGATGTAGCTCGGCCTCTTCGATACGAACCTCTGCTCAAAGAAATTTGATTAATAATACATTGTGCTCGGATAGCTGCGCGGAAATTACCTTCGCCTTTCTCGAGTGCTCTCCACAGTGGTGGCGTCGTATAGGGACGGATGAATTGACTCTTCCCGGTAAGAGAGGGGGCTCTGATCAATTTCCAGCGCATGAGAAAAGACGGGTGGTGAAAAGCATAGTTGGGTAGCGGGGTGTGCATAGCGGGTGGAACGTCCTACATATAAATAGCTGTCATTCTTTGCGTGGGGCAGACACTGCAGGGGTCAAGTGTAAGGAAGGAATGTGGGGCAGGATCTGCATCCGGGACGGGAAAGCTTTCTCCAGCTATCTGATATGTCATGTATGTAGAATACGCATATTTGATCCTGGCCATGGCAGACGTGACCTGGTTCAATCTGGAACGATATTTGGCCGTATTTGTCAGAGAGACAATATGAGCGCAGTGCTGTGCGTACCACGGGAGCATTTGCTAACGGTATGAGGGCAACCAGCGAGACACCGAAGTCGCACTTCTTGGCTAGACCTCTGCAGTCGCCTGGCTGACATTTGCCATCCCAGAAAAACTTCGCAGGAGGACTATCCGAGTAGAAATCAGGCTCGATACATGAAGTGACTCATTGTCTGAACAAGGCTAGACTGCGCATGTAATGTTAGCCCTAATTCACATAGCCGCCTGCCCCTCCTCTCAAGGCTGCCTCCAAACTGACTTTCCTTCTTCCTCTACTATTGCGTTGAATATGTCTCTCCCCCAAAACGCTTTCGATGCGACGGTCCTACACGACTTTTGCCATATAGAGGAGTTACCTCACATCCCCACTTCCAACCAATGTCAAGCGACGATCGCTCTGCTCCAGCCCCTTAGAAACACCGACATCCTCGAATCATGTCGGCGAGCCCGGGCGATCTGCGGCTCCAACTCCGCACCAAATAGCTGCCGTGACGCTAAACACGAATTCCTCAATTTTGATTCCCCCAGCAAAGCATGGAGACAGGAAATGATGAAGCGTCCCACTTACACGCGGCTGGTCTTCGATCGGACGCTCCCGCCACGGGGCATCGATAAGTCGCCGGAACTTTACTAGAACCACAGAATGCCAGAGAAGGTCAGTCTTGCTATTAGGGACAGTGACGTTATTACTCTGGCCAGAACTATCGCTTTAACTACAGTGATGCGGGCCAAAGTTGAAATAGTATCATTTGATGCACTGTTCGACCCGAAGGAAGGGGTGAGTGTTCGGAGTGTGAAGGTATTGAAGAGCCAGCTTGTTGCTCTCGGTCAGGCTAGAGAGACTGTCGAGGTGAATAGGCTCAAGAATAGCAAGGCAGGGGCTGCGATCGAGAGATAGGACAAAGGCCAGGGGCAAATATGATTCGCTTATCTTGTCCAGTTCGACTATGATTATAAATACTGTGATGGGATGGGAAATGCATACAGAAGGGCTATGGAGGTGTGAAGTGAGATGCCGGTTGGTGTTAGTCGATCTCACTTGTGCCCTCATTCACTATTTTATCCCTAAGAAGACCAGATCATTTGCAAACCACAACCATTATTTGCTGTCGTAATAGCCGTTAACCTGCGTCCAGGCTACTATTGTTATCCCCGAGCTTCATGCTCATAATACCTCAGTGTCTTGGTCGTGTATCATCAGCACCGGTAAAGCGAATTCCTCTCTTCGCCTGCTCAACTGGGCACGGGTCACATCCTAGCAAGTCTGAAAACACATTGAATCTTTAGTGGGGTGCCCAGAGCTGGAGCACCTTTCTTAAACTACAAATATCTCTATAACAACCACAGTACCTGGACTCGCATTTCCATTCTGGGTATACGCCCTTTCAGCGGCCGAAAGCACGGCATGTCAAGTGATGTTCGACCGGTCAGGCCAACAGGAACCAATTACTGATTCCCTACTCCAGCCTCTATTCGAGCGAAATGCAAATAAGCATGCGAGAATTGCAAGAAACCATGCAGGTAGCGTGATATAACATACCAGATCTTCGCGGGTGCGGTCGCTTGTAGAGCAGATAAGACGTGATCAGCTCCATGCCCAGACCGAGAATCTCCCCTACAAACTCCATGGACTCTGATTCGGACGACCACCCATCGCGCGAGTTCTCAAAGTAATCGGGAATCAGGGACAGCGAGAGGTGCAAAGCGACGATAGCACCTAGCTCGATTAAAATGATCGCCCGCACGCCGTAGAGATAGACTTGACTCCATATCACGAGGGATGCTCTGACTCCGTGATACAGACCCTTGAACAAGGGGTCCCAGGTTGAGGACGGGGAGAGGGAAAGGAAATATGGCTTGATGAAAGAGGTCATTGGTATTGTCAATAAAAGAAAGCTTCTGTGGCGATGGTCAGGGGAGAGAGGTCGGTTCCAGGCGCCAACTGACGAACTGCATGTATGGTAGGGTAGAGGATTTTCAATTCAGCCGATCGGACCCCTGAACAGGATTGTAGAACTTTTGATTTCTGTCGAGAGCTTAGCTCGTGTAAGTTTGATCAATTGGGCGAGGGTGTGGGGGTCTCAAAACATTCAGGGAGAAACCTAACAAATGGGCAGTTCGACTCCGAACAAAACGGGGCGACCACTCCGCCCCACTCCTTGCGGGGGTCGCTCGGCTCGGCTCAGGTGTGATCATGTATTGTTATGATCACTTTCAACCATCAGTGTCCAATTACTATAAACTGTATAGTTATACACCAAGCAGGTACACGTTCGTCTTCATGTGCCTCGCGAACGCCAAACACTCGACGTCATGGCGGGAGAGACCGAATACTCAGATGTGATATATTCCTACCTGAGATCACCTTTCAGGTCCAGTAAAGGCACCAAAAATTAGCTCTTGTCACTTCTACTAAGGATAGAGGAAGGAAGACAATGCAATTGTTTCGGGGAAGCGGGGCGGGTGAAATACAGACACAAAGGCACAATGGGTCCTAGGCAAAACTTAGAAGTATAAAGTAAACTTTATATCAGATGTGCTTTAGGCGTGGCTTTGTTGATTGAATTCGCAATAGTTCTGCAAGAGCTAGAAGCAATGTAGCGCCTGCTTCTAGCCTTATTTTGTTTGTCATTCCCGCATGCTCTTTTGATCTTTGGCATAAAATCAAAGGGGCACGTTGGCTTGTTTGTCGGGCGTTCATTTGTCCTTACTCGGTTTGTAGAGATGGTTGTGCGGCTTCAACACCAAGAATCGATCGGCGTTTCTTTGATGGCTAGCTGCCTTAGTCCTTGCGTACACTTCAAACAGTCGAGAATTTCGATAGTATCAATATCACCGTCAATCCCCAAGAGTCGGAGTATCCATCAGCTCCATCACAGGTGCAAAAACCAAGTGGAAGCAAAATCTATCTTCCAGCAACCAAGCACATCGCTCAGAACAGTCATTCTCTCACCCTTACCACCTTCAATTGTTCCGAGCCCGCACGACAGACTGTCTACGGAAGTTTGCAAAAAGGAGTGTGGAAGCCCCCTGCTCTGCGGGCTCTGCTCGCACCCCCCCCCCCCCCCCCCCCCCCCCTTCCAGAAGAAGGCAAAGAAACAGCTCTTGGACAAATTCGGCCACGACCACGAGGAGTTCTCAATCGGCTGGGACGGCCACCACCCGTGCCAGTTCATCCGGTACGAGGAGGACTAGAAGCCGAGCATCTCGGAGCGCGCGCACGAGCTCTACCACAAGATCCGCGGCAATTATCAGGGCATGCCCCCGCTGCAGCCGGGCCACATCCGGGTGCGCTTCCAGTGCGGCGAGCGGGTCGCCATGGTGGACTGGCCCGCCCCCCAGGCCGAGGCCTACTACGCGCGCTTCGGCCAGTTGCCAGCTTACCGGTGGGCTTCCTCGTTGCCCTGCGAGCAGTTGGTCGTCAAGAAGTCGGACCGGAACAAGGACACCATGGAACTCCGCACGCGCGAGGGCATAGTGCGTGAGACGGCCAAAAAGTTCTGGCGGAAGGCGCCCTGTACCCACCCGGCTGGGTACTGTGATCGCAAGCGCCTCCGACAGATCTAACTAGACTGAAGCTCTCCCACAAGGTTTCTGAGGGGAGCCAAGGCAATCTACGGCTTGGTTCCTCAGTTCCTCGTGCTTTCCTCTAGGTGGCCTACTATACAGGCCGAGAATGGTTGGAAATGAAGATCAAGTATATCTAAAACTTTTTTTTGACTAGAAAGTAGACGTAAATCAAAGAACATACCAAGAAGAATCAACATTAAAGGGAGCAGGCTAAATAAATCATGTCGGGTCTTTCTTCGCGCGAAGAAAACAGTAGCAGTTGTTGAGTGGCAAGTAGAAGACTCGGTTGCTTTTCTGTAATAGAGCTGAGGGAAAATGGAAATCCCGATTACATAGGCCGACAAAAAACAACAAAACTAACGAAAAGTGGAAACAGATTTCACATACAAAAAGCACGACCATGACAGGGAGGAACATGACTAATCAATCACAGATCGTACCCAGGTACAGCCGGCCAAGTAACATCATACAAAGCGTCTATTATGGAAGATTCTAGTACTGGGATCGAGACGTTATACTGCGAACAACATCAACCCACCACACTGCATGTTGAATGCCAACGTCTATTCCCTCGCGGCCGCGAGACATAAGTATCTCTTCAAGATGCAGCCATCGTAGCGATGTCAGACTGCCCATGTACTTCCAAAAGCTCCTTCGCATGCTGCGTAAAGGACAGCAGCCGCTGGCGGCGGTGATACAGGTCGTCTAGATCTCCATGGACGCTGGCTTCGGCATCATTCTGACCATTGATGAGGATCAACATGAAGAAGGTCTCGATGATGCTGGGCGGTACGTTCGAGATCAACTGTCCGGTTAGACTCCATTTCATCGCGCTAGACGTGACCACACAGCCAATGGTGAGGAGAAAGCCTGCCATAACCATGAGAACATGGGAGGTAACCGCATCCATCCGGCGGGATACTCTCTGGCTCAGGGACGGGCGCTGGGCGCTGCTGCCTGCGCGGTTATCGGTAGCAAGGGAGAGTTCCGTAAGCAGAGCGGCATCTGCACTCAAAACCATCGTCATCTGGCGCTTGATGTATCGATTCGCTTTGCTTTGGACGTTGCGAAGAACGAAGCTGTCAAAGAGACCCACTAGTCCGGCGTACGTCCCAATCAGGAGCCACCAGTTACTGTCATAGTGGAGGACAGGGCCGACCGCAGCCCAGGCGATGACCACCAGCACGAGAAAGACGAGGCCGACCAAGGTTCCAACGATGTCCGCGTAGTAGAAGATCACCACCTGCAAGATATTCTCCTTGGGTGGGGGGTCAGCCACCATAGGGTTTGGTAGATCATCCTTGGTCAAGCAGCGAAGCTTCATCTCGAGGGTCGAGTCGAGTCGGAAGATGGCATCCAGAGAGGTGCTGCTATAATCCGCGTAGCGTTCTCGGAGGCAGGCGAGGAACGCAAATACCAGGATCATCAGCGCGGATGTCGCGTCGTTGATGTAGAGTTGCCACCGGTCGGACCAGCTGCAATGCGGACCGAAGCCCAGCCAAATCACGACACAGACCCAAAAGAGAAGAGAGCTGAGTACGTGCCCAAAGGCCTGGGCGGAGTGCATGATACCCCGAGCCAAAGGCCCCTGAGAGTGCAAGCTGTAATCCTTTGGCTCGAAAGTCTCCACGTTGCACTTCTCGGCGACTTGATGGATCCCGTCCTGTCCTAGCTTCCTCTTGATGTTGGCGAGCATGCGTTGATGACTGTGACTGCGGGACCGGAGCTCGACAATGGCGTCGCGCTGCTCGGAATACTGGCGCAGGAGCTGACGCATAATGAAAGAGTCAAAGACATAACAGAGAATAGCCTGAACATCAGAGATGGAAGCAATCCAGATGCTCAGGTTTCCAAATCGAATGCCCAACAGAGCCCACGTCAACAGACCGGCTAGAATCACGAAGAAGACCGGTACAGATCCGGAAATCCGGACCATGACATTGAGGCAGCGATCAACAAGCCTTGGGCTCCGTCTGACCCGGAATCCAGTGACCTCGTTGGACGGATTGTCGCTCATGTCCATCTTTGCGTCCATACCACTTCCCAGCCACTGAGTCTCAGCGATCCCCTCCACCTCGCATCGAAGGACCGGTGTAAAGTAGTTCATTCTGTCTTCGTTGGGTAATTACGGCGGGTAACTGAGGTTTGCCGATTCGCAGAAGAATTGCAGTAGAGCCAGCACGCATGGGATAGAGGAGACGATAGACACGAGCGAGTTCATAGAGCGAGGATCAGCCATTCGGAGTTGATAGAAGAAATAGCGGGTATTATGATTGCAGGATTGCAGCGAGTAGGTGTTTGAAAGCATGAGAGAAAATTATAGACCAGGTATGGAAGAGATGATAGCAGGACAGGAAAGAAGTATATAGATCATTGGGAGAGAGAAAGAAGGGGAAGAGGAAAAGAGGAAAACTTGAGGGTCGGAAGAGATACCGCTTTGGGTCGGCCTCAAGTACACTTCCGTCCCGGTCGGAGGGTTTATTTTCCCTCCGCAGCTGAAATCAAGCTTCCTTGGCAGGGCTGGAAGTGATCCGAGTCCGAATCCCTGGGTCGGGTCCGAGTCTTTGGATGCGCCAATTTCTTGATTGGATGGAATCAATGTAGTTGCCTGGACAAGTCCCACAAAGGATCTTTCCCATAAAAACACTTATAAGATCAGTGCTGTTCATCCAAGCACCCCTTCTGACCTAGATAAAATGTTTGGAACAAGTCAGGCATTCTTTGCTCCGTCTTGTAATCCATATTGAGAGCCAAACTACTCCCAGAGAGCCTTAGCGCATGCTGAAGAGCTCGTCGCGTCCACTGGGCAGACTCGACGCCCACCTGCGCCAGGACCCTCGGGTTGCCCTGGAGGGCGGAGGCAGCAACATTTAGCGGCCACACTATCGCCCGCCCGCGCATCGAGAGTCCTTCTTCCACGGCTTTGCTGCCATCACCGCTACCACTGATTACTGCGTGAGTGCTGCGGCAGATGTGTCGAATCATATCCACAATGGTCTGCTCCGCATCTTCCGCGTAGCCGTTGCACAGTAGGATATTTTGGCAGAGCATGATGCGCGTGGCAAAACAGAAAGTGCGGGGCACGGCATTCCAGCTGTTCTCATAGACGTAGACCCGGGATGGGGCGCCGGGCCATTGCAGGATTGCGGGATCATCGGCCCTGACCTCCCGCTCGGAGAAGTGAGAGCTCGGGGGTAGTTGGGCTTCCCATGCATCCAATGCATCATCGGCCGCGAGTAAAGTGTCGACCATGTTAGACATGGCGTGGTGGTCAAAGGTAACAATGTACGAGTCGATCTCGGCTTGCCACTGGGCGAGCCGATACATGGTACAGAACAGATGGGCAGCCGTGAATCCCGGGTCCATCACCGCGGTCCACCATTTTAATGGGAGCTGCGGCCGTGATCGTTGGTTTAAGCAATTGATTACCATTAGCAGGTACTGATATTTGAGGAGATAGGGATCAATGCTGGCTGCCGAGGTGGGCGAAGTGATTTGCTGCCGCACCATGGAGATAGCTCCGTGCTGGTGGGCCGCATGCCAGGATTGCGCCGGTTCAGGGCTCGGAAGGATTGAGTCAAAGAGCCCCATCAGCGCAACCGAGACGACGGTCTCGGTGCTCGAAACCCCGTGACTTCGCTGCAGCTGGAGCCGAATCTGGGTAATAGCCTGCAGGTACTCGGTCCGCGCCATGATCTCCAGCTGTGGGACAGGCTGCTGCTGTTGACGCGAATGGTGGGCCAGAGCCAGGGCACGGATCGCCTGGCGGGTGGGGGAGGAGGGAACTCTGACTGATTGGCGGTAGAGTGTGGGTAGCATCTGGAAGAATTCGATCCAGGGGTTGGAGACCTTGGCGCTGCAGTCAAAATCCCGATAGAATGCCGCGATAACCCGGTCGTGAAGATCCACCAGTGTGCGGCTGGGGGCGCTGGGTTCACGCAGCAGCCTTGCCGCCTGGGTACGCGTTCGCCAGAGAGCAGCAGTGCGGGCTGCTGCTTTACTGTTCTCATCGCGAAAATCGAGCTCCAGGGCATCAGGATAGCTACACTCAGTGCCCCGACGGACGCAGCGACTACACTGCGGCTGCCCTTCATTGCACTTGATTATTCTCATCAGTGTCTCCATTCCCGAAAATCACGAAGCGGGAACCATAGAGAAGGCAATGATCCTACCTTCACTTTCGAGCGACGGCACATGAGACAGCCTTTGCTCCGAGGGCTGCGCGTTGTGACACCTGTCTTCGTCTTGTTCTGCATTTTGGCCTGGTGAAAACCTTCTCATACAATTTGTGGTAATGACCGCCAACAGACTTGACCCTGAAACCCTGTCACCTAACCAGACTAACCTGGGCACATGGCCAAGGCAGGGGCAGGGGTTTTATGGTTCATAATCTGCACGTCCGCAACGCCCCGCTGTGGAGAACAGAACGTGGTCCGGCGAGTTTTATGGCCTCAACGTTCTTCAGGAAAGGCTGTCGGCCGAATTTCAGGCCAATAGCAAGGCTTGCGGATATTGCCGTCGCGTCCCCTTCCGCAAATTGTCTAGTGGCGGGCCACTCAAGCCACAGACTGTGGGTAGGTAGACTGTGGGTCGGAATGAATAGGGGAGGCCTTGGCCATGCTTAAGTTCTGGTGTGCGTTGAGCCGCTATCGGCGATAAGCCAGTACGTCCGGACCCTCCCTCCGCGCACTGTGACTCAATTCATAATTTAATTGCTGCTCTGGTATGAGTCAAGACCGAAATGGCGTGTACGGCGCACGGAATTTGACCGCACTCTCTTATGGAACATCAAGGATCAATCAATCAATCACCACCTTGGAAGGAAGGCATGCTAACCCCGAGGGCAAAGACGAGAAGTCCGCCACAACAAAAACACGACATGCCCACCCGCCTGTCAACTCATCTATACGTTAAACTACTATACATTTCTGCAGAGGACCGGTTCATGTACATGGATAATAAGATGAAGAAATCATGTACAACGAGCTTGGCCACGATGGCATGGAATGCGATTAAAGTCGGCCTAATATTCTCACTATTAATATGTAGGAGGTAATTACATGTAATTTACTGTACTCCGCATACTCCGCAGCGTATTGTAGATCACGGATAAACAGCCGGGCCGGTATTTTGTCGAACGAAGGGCCGGGGTCTTTTCCGACTGGCTTCCAGAGTTCCAACATGACTTTAAGTAGGTATTCATTACTTCCTGGTCGCTCTTAGAAGCCGCGATCCAAGGCCTGATAGACAGAGTTCCACCACTGGGCACATTCCGCGGAAAGCCCACCTTGCACAGTACATACCTACATACCTAGTTGGTACTGGCCCAGAGCTCCAGGCTGCCCGCCTTCACAGCTCACCACCCCACCATGTCGGCCACTATCAACTCCATAGTCATCGACACCGATCAATTCTTTCCCAGCATCTTACAATCCTATGAAAAGGGTCCAGATCACTATGCCATCTTAGGTGCCCACTACTGACGACAACACAGAAGAACTAACCCCTTGGGTTTTCAAACATGCTGACTCTGCCGATCTCTTCTGTGTTGATCGCTGGCCCGAAGAAGAGTCAAAGGAGTTCCAAGAAACCTTCCACCTCTTCAACTCGTATGTCTCCGAGGCTAACCTCTTCGACGCCTCCCTCGCCGAGCCCGACCCCCTTCAAGCCTACTATCCCGAAAGCCAACCCTATGTATCCTGATCGCATCGAGCCGGGCTTGCTGGAAGATGTGGTGGGGAGAGAGGAGACTGTAACTCTTCCGCGAAAGAGCTGGAAGTATTCTACGCGGGCAGACTTTGCCCATCTGATGACCCTACAGGTCCTCGTGTTGAGAGAGCTGATGGAGAGTCTTTATCGGAAAATAGGTATGAGAGGTTCTGGACCTCGACTCTAGTAAGTTTCGAACTGCCGCGGGGAAAGCGCGTTAGACTAAAGCACAGAAGCTTTCCTGTGGCCACGCACAGGCAGTCATATCATATCGGCGGTCAGAAGTATGCAGCCAGGCCTGATGGCGCTGTCATGATTCGTACTCAGGACCGAAACCTTCCTATTTTATCTTTCACGAGCGTAGATCGACTCACTTTCAAGCAGAGCCTTCACTACGCTTTCTAAACTATCGCTCCAGTGGTTTCATGATCAGACGTGGGGAGAGTTTCTGGGACAGACTCTGAGTATCATGCTAGGCCAGCTTGCATGCAATGTTAAACTAGGCCTACGCGATCAAGAGATGTTTGTTCTTGGTTTCTACAAACGGCCAATCTTTTTTGCTCGCGGGTTCTTTACAAAAGATCAGATATTGCGCGTCCATTCAAAGGGGTGCTCGGCTGATGAAACCTTCACTATAGCCTTTACACGAGGATATGACCTGTCCTCCAAGAAGGACTGGGATGAGGCTGTAGGGAAACTGGTTGGGTTGCTCAGATATTTTCTCAGTGGGAATGCACAAATAGGTGGAATGCAGGCTTTCTTGGACAAATAATGACGATCCAATCAAGTTCTGTATGATTCATCAGTCCGATCAACCCTGCTCCCTCGGTCAGCTCTTAACCTAGTCAGGTAGTTCATTTATGTTGGAAAAGGCGCCTTCAGCATGATCTGGAGGGGATGCGGTCACGGGTTGCTGGGTCGGCGCGGATTCAAGCTCGAAAGTGCCATCGCCATACGACAAAATACGCTCGTTGAATTTCTCATGTCTCTACTTTTCATGTGATTCATCTTAGCTATAGAGAATAATCGTGTAGTCGGACATCTCATCAAAAAGCTTTCGCCATACTGTTGAGATGTAAAACGGATGTGTAGTCTAACTCATAGCGCGAGGTGGCCGCAAAAGGGGATAGGAAGAGAAGATTTGTGGGATCGATGTGCTAAGTAGGCCGGCAATCATCACTTTGTAGTGCCATATAGAACAAAGAAATACTTAAGAAAGACTTTTGTGGCACACATCATCACTAGCAGGGTTGAAGTGGTTGTCCCACTTCAAGCTAACCTCACATGTATGAATTTGATATCTTAGTACTTCGACTATAGATATTGTACTGAAAGTGATTCAGAAGTGCTTGATAGTAGGCTTAAGCAATAGAAGCCTTTATGATAAGGACAAATTTCCTTATAGTGAGGATTATCTTTTTGTGATCTAACACGAATCTTCTGATAGACTTGCCAATTCACTGCAGTAGCAAAATACATGTATATTTTACACATTTCTGTGCATCAACAGCAGCAGTTTGAATCCAAACCAAGTACAGAGGATCAAGCCGAAAACTAACGTTAGGTGATTGATAATTGAAAAATAGATTTCTTCTGCACATCCTGGCCACTCGAGTTGATATTACATTTCTTATCCCAGAAGACGTGGGCTACGCGACGTGGATTACACTATAAACAACCACAAAAAAACCCCAGAACAGATTGTCTAAGGTTGAAACCCGCGGACAAAGGCTGTTGGTTTGTTGGGAGCAAGATTGGTTTTGCGATTAGCGTAGATATTAGCGTAGATATTAGCGTACTCGCGATCGCGGTCGAGAAGCAGGCATCCTTCATGCTGACATGAAGTGGACTTCCTGGAATATGGTCTTGAATCTAGTTCAACAACCGATTGCTGCGATGGCAGCTCCATTTCTAGTTACTGCTTTTACCCGGAACGGATTTTCCAACCACTTTTCAGGGGTCATGTAACTTAGGAGCTGGAATTGGAGTCGGGGCTGTGATCTTGCGCTAGTGCTGAAAGGTGATTCGGATTGGTAGATCACCGACGCCTCTCATGTCTCCACTGCCACATCACTGCAGTAGCGCTGTATGATGGGTTCAATGAGATCTCCAATTTGCTTGAAGACAGCAGTCCAATCATCGTGATCCACAACGACAGCTGCATGCCCCTCAGATTGAGCTCCGCACTCGCTACTTCCGACATGGGAGGCCCGGAAATTCATGCGCGTCAACTCAATACCTCAACTCTAAGTGTCCCCGTCGTCAGTCATGCGGAACCCAACATCCCACGATGCCAGGCTCTCGTCTGGGAGCTGTCGGAAATTATTCTTGGGGCTTTTTTCCAGCAAGGATAAGGAAGATCGGACCACGGACCAGCCACAAACAGCTGCGCAGTTTGTCAACCATGCCCAGGGTGACTCTCCGAGCCCCCCAGCTGCAAATGATAACTTTACGACACTGGTTCCATCGATTTCAGATCAACCAGTCGACATTTCCGGGGATGAGGCCCCCAGTAAAAAGCCTACAGACCTGAGAGGCCTTTGGCGAGAGGCATATGAGCAACTCACGTGCGACCCAAGCACCGCCAAGCTCATTAAAGCTTATCAGCTCGCACTATTAGAAGGCAAGAGAGAGGACGAGGATGCTGGGGAAGAGGATTTCGACATCAGTCCACGTCTTTGCTCGTGGTTGAGCGAAGATTCGAGGACATCCAGAATTCTCGAACCAGATTCCATCTCGGAGGAAAAGAAATCGTTGTCAAAGCTCAGGTCGACCGCGCCGTGAAGTTACTCATCTCGGTGCAAGGCCTCGTCACTACGGCAGTGGGCTCAGAGCCCTTGCGTGGGCAGGAGCATTGGTCCTCCTAGTCGGACCCATCACCCGATCCCTCACGCAGGATGCAGAAGCTTCGAATGGATTTGAATCCGTTACAAAGCTTCTAACCCTTTACGCGGTCGTGGAACAGAATTGGGCTCGGAGATATTCTACGGCAGAAACGACCTTTCGGTCGAAACAACAGGAGGCCCTGGCCCAATCCATCAGAGTCCAGATCATCAAAGTATACGCCAATATCCTTCTCTTTCAAATTCGCCTCGCGCGGCACTATTCTCGTTCCAGTATCTTTAGAGTTTTGGAAGATCTGGGGGCCCCGGAAGACTGGAAGGGGATGCTCCAGACGATCGTGGGCCTCGACGCAGGAATCCGACGCGACATCGGAGCAATGGATAGCGCTACGTTACTGGACTTGGACCAGCGGTTCGAGGCGACCTCACGCGAGTTGAAGAAAGAACTTGAGGTATTGAGATATCTTGATCCAGCTCCCAACCTTTCACTGACCGAATCATCCAGACCATTGTGGATAACCAGATCTTCGACAGGCTGAAGATTGCACCAGAAGCAGGAATTGGGGCCGAGAAAAATGACACCAAGGATAAATGCTTTGCAGGGACTCAGATTGGCATCCTGAAGAAGATTCATGGCTGGATTCAGTCCCCTGGGCCAGAACACATCTTCTGGCTCTATGGGGTAGCCGGTGGGGGCAAGTCTACCATCTCACGAACCATTGCGGAGCGATGTCGTGACCGAATATTCCTCCCGGAAACCATTTGCCTTGGTGCCAGCTTTTTCTTCGACAAAAATGAGAGACAGCAGAGCAATGCCACCTATCTCTTTCCCACTCTTTGCCAATCGCTTGCGAATTGTCTACCCGAGCTCAAGTCCGAGATTCGTAAGTCGCTTGAAGAGCATCCGGAGTCGAGCAATGAACATGCCTCAGTCCGGATGCAGTGGAAGAATTTGATTCTTAAGCCCTTGTTGAGCTTGGAAAAGAACAATCACCTCTTGCCTCTCACGTTGATTGTGGTCATAGATGCACTTGATGAGTGTCAATCTACGCACAACGAAGATCCTGTCTACGCCATATTAGAACTGATCAACGAAGCGCATCAACTGCGCTCGATTCGTTTGAAGTTTCTCCTCACCAGCCGCCCACAAAGCCACATATTCTCAAGCTTTGACCACGTGGTGACTGGATCTCATGGTTGCAAACAGGCTCTTCAAGGGGCAGAAACGCCTATTGACCAGGAAATGTCTCATCGTGATATCAAGATGGTCCTCAAACACAAACTTGGCGAAATATCCCAGCGGCACCACTTTGGCTCAGAATGGCCGGAGGAAGAGAAATTGGATGCGCTTTTCAAGAAAGCTGACGGGCTGTGGATATATGCATCTACAGCGTGGGGTTTTATATGTGACAAGAAAGCTAAAAAGGAGTGGATCAAACCACGGTTGGATCTGCTTCTGACGAACGACCGCCACCCTCGTGAAAGACTGGATGGGATGTATACGGAGGTCCTACGGGATGTCCTTAGTTTTGCAACGCCTGAGGAACGAATAGGTACCCGCCGGACTTTTCAGGCAATCTTTGGGGCCATTGTCGTGCTTCACCGGCCTCTGTCTGTCACTACGCTGAGCAATCTTCTCTCCAAGAATACGGCCGAGGTTAGGGGGATGTTGGAAAGCCTAAGCTCAGTCATCCACGTAGCCGCCAGCAATGATTCTCCCATCCGTCTCGCACACCTGTCGTTCCCTGAATTTCTCACAAGCAAGGAGAGGTGTCTAGAACCAACTTTTCAGATCTCGAGGAAGGAAAAGCATAGCCACCTCCTCCGCCACTGCCTCGAGGCTCTAACCAAGACCCTCCGACAAGATATTTGTCATCTCGGAGACTCTTCTACTCTGCAGGATAGCATTGACCCTGGGATCGTGAAGCAGGAGATTCCTTCGCACGTTGAGTATGCTTGCGTCTACTGGGTGGAGCATCTACGGTTAAGCAAGAGCTCCGACCTTGTGAGCGACAATGGACCAGTCCACGAATTCTTGAAAACGTATCTTCTGCATTGGCTTGAGGCATTAGGTGTTATGGGCAAAGTATCCGAGGGCACCGGCGCTGTCCTCAAGCTTCTGGAATATCTGAAGACTCTGCCTGTAAGTGGTAAAGACACGTTCATTCTACCCTCAGTACTGTCTAGACCCTACATGGGATACCCAGGAAGAAGTATCTTAACTTGGTATATAGCCTGACGGAAGCTCCGAGCTTCGTGCTTTTGTCTACGATATTACACGTTTTGTGCGCCACACGCGGTCAATTATTGAGAAGGCGCCATTGCAGGTCTATCGATCTGCTCTCATTTACAGCCCCGAAGACAGCCTTGTTCGGAAGCAGTAATCGCATGTGACCCCCAAATGGATCATTGAGCCACCCACTATGAGGAAAGTCTGGAGTCCTCTACTACAGACTCTGAAAGGTTATGGAGGACGTGGAATAGATTTTTCACCCGACGGTAAGCTGGTCGCGTCTTCGGAAGTGGCCATTTGAAATGCATCCACAGGAACACTTCTTCATACTTTAGAGCCAATGGGGACCGGCGGCGCGGTCAGCTTTTCTTCGGGAGAGGGAAAAGATATCATCTCCTTATCCAAGGCAGGACACGTGAGAGTATGGGATGTGGCCTCGGGACGCTTGATCAGAGAAATCCGAAATCCCGTGGAAAGCATTTCCTCTTGTCTTCCACAGTTTTCCCCTGACCGCACTCGTTGCGCCGGTTATCTTATGTTCGAAATGGTTCTATACTTTCTAGACATCGAAAGAGGAACCGTGATCAAGTGGGTGGAAGTCGACTCTGGACTTTCAACGATGGCCTTTTCAGCACGCGGTGAGTTTTTAGCAACTCTGAGTGAATCCGGAAAGGTGCAACTCTGGAGCACCGCCACTGGCACATTGATCCATTCTTTTGATTGTTGCATTGAAGACCCCCGTGACCTCTGTTATGACGGATCCGTGGCCTTCTCCCATAACGATGAGGTGATAGCCGCTGCACGGGACCACAAAATTCTCATATGGTGTCTAAAAACACATCGAATGCTCCAGCGCATTCCTACCTGCTTGATCCAGGATATCGCCTTTTCGTCAGAAAGCAGGTGGATGATCACTTCGGGGGAGGGGGGTGGAGAGGGTGGCAAAGGAGAAGTCACCTGGTGGAATTGGTCTTCTGGCCAGCCTGTCAGGACAGTAAGTTCTGGCGGTCTACTGCTTCGACTCTCCAACAACGGCAAGCTGTTGGCATCGGTGAGCGACACACTCGCCACCACAGACCTCCTAAGCCATGTGATTGATGTCTGGGATGTCACAAGTGGAGCTTTGGTACAGAGACATCTAAGGTGCGTCGATGGTGTCTCTGACCTGGCCTTCTCAAATGATGGGACTCTCCTGGCATCCATGACCCCACCTGACACGGTTTGCTTGTGGGATCTCACTGGGCCCTCAGCGAGCGAGCAGATGGAACATTTCCCTGGAAACTCCGTCCGCCGACTAAATCTACTTCCTGGCCACAAGACTCTCGTCGTCAGTGGGACAATTATGATGTGGCTCTGGGACTTCAGGACGAAAACACCGACGAAGAGGGTTGGAAAGAACATTGACAGCTCCGAAGATTTAGATATCTGGTTTTCTCCGGGTGGGCAATCATTCGCAGCAAATTGTGTGGATGGGGCAGTTCATATACACAACACGCAGACCGGAGCCCGGGTACACAGCCTGACGAGGGAAAAGTATCGCAACTGGCCGGTTACCTTCAGCCCAGACAGCAATCTTTGCGCCTGCGCAGTCTACAGCACAGAGTCTCCGGGCGAAAGTAATATTCACCTTATCAAAGTCTGGGGGAGCAATACTGGCGAGCTGCGGCCACCGTTAAAAGGGCATGGTAAGAGGGTCTGTTGTCTATCATTCTCGCCAGATGGTGAATTCTTGGCCGGAGCGACACTTTTCGAGAAGTGCGTTTTAATCTGGAATTTAGCATCGAAAGGTCTCGGAATCAAGCTTGCAGTACCCTTTACGCCCGCTACCCCTAATGACAGTGTTTTCCTTGCTCAAGACAAACGCCTTGTGGAACCCCTTCCTGACGACGACAGCGACTCGCAATGTTCTGAAAATTCTTCTGAAAGCCGCAAAGACGATATTATTCACATTGTTTGGTCATTGGATGGGGCATATCTAGCATGCATAAGTCGGTATGGCAGAATTTGGATTTGGAAAACGGATACTTGGGCCTTGATCTGGAGCACCACAACAGGAGTTGGACGAAAGGCGGATCGCGCTCTTGCCTTCTCCCCGGATGCCCGCTTGCTGGCTTCCACCTACAGCAATGAATACAAGTCATCCACGGGCAGAACAGACCTCTGGGACGTGCAGACGGGTAAGCTGATTGGTACCCGGACGGTGGCAGCCTGCCCACAAACCCTGCGTTTCTCGGCCGACGGCGCAACCCTGGACACGAACTTCGGTCGGGTGGATGTTCGATCCTTCTATTCCGGATCGAGATATGCCTCTTCTCGCGATCTATTTCTGGATGATGCATGGGTGGTGGCTGGCAATGAAAGGATTCTTTTGCCCTTTGAGTACCGGGCTACGTGTGCCCTAGCCAGCGACGATCTTCTGATCATGGGCCATGCCTCGGGTCAAGTGACCTTTCTTCGAGTCAAGGCGCCCGAGGACTAAAGCTAGGTATTATGGACTTAGACGGCTGGGCGTTAAAACTGCTTTTGTAAATCCTACTAAAGCGTTTCTTCCTCCGAATTAGCCCTGTTTGTGTCACAGTACGTTGGCTTTTGGAATATCCAGTATGGAAACACTGGTCTTGCAGAAACTCCTCAGTATTCAACTATCTGTCGACGTGCTGAAACCAACCCTTGATTTGATTTGATCTTAATCTGGTCAACCAGCGGCTTCGTTTTGCCGACGGAGAGTTTTCAGATCAGAATTCTCGTGTTGTGGGCGGGATGCAAGACTTGTGGAGAAAAGAACTTGCCGCCGTCCTGTAAAAGTATGAGCAAATGATAGCTCGGGCAGCTCTCACCCAAAGTATATGGCTGCTCCCCATGACCACATGCCCGTCACTGTACCCCAACGTAGAACGGAGATACGCGATGCCGGGTTCTTCCAGAGTGGTCCTCCCACAGTTTGCAATCTCGATATCTCGGATAAGTGAATCATTCCGATCATCTCCCGATGATTCATATCCATACGTGTGATTTTACCATCCAAGGTAAAATCTAGACTGCGGTACTAAGGTTTTTAAAGCCCGCGCACAGCGTTCTGCCAACCCACAAGGACAATCTCGGAATTTAGAGTAGAGCCAATTGCGAAACTCTGGTTTTGATACAGAAGCCACTCCTGGACGCACAACAGGGAAGACAGCCAGTACCCCGGGATAGATGACATATTGAAATTGACCTAGGGTTTGGGAAAGGGCCTTAGCGCGCTAGAGGACATATGGCGGGTCATCAATATTCCCGGCCTCCCTGCCCCCGCGCATTCCTCTCCAACCTCTGATTCGCTTCAATCCATTAAGCCTCCCCGGGGTGTCCTTCTTCTTTTTTCTTCATTTTAACCTCTATATGTACATACCTGAATCAATACTCGTTTTCCGTTGAGGGACCGACCTCGACTCAAGGGCAATGGCAGGATTTACCGGACCGAAGCCTATGCGACGAACTCGCGGTGCTCTTCGGTCTGCTTATCCTCCACCTGAAGCTGTCCACTGTTGCCTCCGGCTAGTGCAAGCTCTGCATGATGCTTGCGAAGCTTCCGTGCTGCTCGGACGGGGTGCAGAATGTTGCGGCTGTCGAGGAAGATGTTGTCGATGGCCTCGAGATGAAGGCCCTCTGTCTCGGGGAAGAGAAAGTAGACCACTATCATCCGATTTAGCCTCGTTTTGTGTACGACACTAGCAGTACCGAAGACGATGCGCTCAAGGGGGCGGAGGAAACACAAAAGGAGGAAGGAGCGGAAGAACGAGCCACAACAAAATCAACGAAGAGTGGGACGTACTCGGCACAAGGAGGACAAGGTTAATCGCCGCATAGACCAGAAAGTACTTCCAGCCCAGAGAGCTGAAGCCACTTGGGGTAACCTCGACGACGAGGAAGTTGAACGTCCACGAGGAGGCGGTCGACATGCCGGTGATCTGGGTTCGGACGGCAAGAGGCGCGATCTCTGAACAGTAGAGGTACGTCAACCCGATGCATCCGGTGACGTAGAAGAACACGTAGATGAAGATGAAAACCACGGCGGTGTCCATGGCTGCCTTGTTGCTACTGTTCTGAGACATACAGCCCGCCATGACCGCCATGCAAATGCCCATTCCTACGAAGGAGAGGATCAGTAGCTTCCGGCGGCCGGCTTTGTCGACGGTGAGGGCGCCGAAGGGGCTGATTAGGATTTTCCTTTGTGTGTGGAGAATCGTTAGCTTTTATTTGAGGTTTCCAAGAGCTTCTTCTTGTCGTTTTCGGTTATGATACATACCAGGTAAACAGCACGGCTGACATGAGCAGCGCTAGCTTGGAATCCATGCCGAGAAATTCCTTGAAGATGGTACTTTGATAGAAAGTGATGGCGTTCTGCCCGCACATTTGCTGCGCCATTTGCGTGGCAATGGCAATGAAAGCCCGATTACCGAAGCGTGAGGGCCCGTTTCGAAAGATGTCCTGAAAGGAGCCCTGGCCAGTTTCTTGCAGGGATGACTCGATCTCCTCCACTTGGTGGACCACTGCATCACTCGTGGGAGACTCATCGAGAAGGATGGCTAGCACTTCGCGGGCCTCGTCGATCCGACCTACTTTAATGAGCCATCTTGGCTATCACCTATTGTTAGCTGGTATTCTTAGGGGTTGACAGCTAAGCATAGGCTTACCGATTCCGGCCAAAAGGGGGTGAAGATTAGAGATATCAGACAGAGGAGGCACGGAAGAGCGAGCGGCAGGCGCCAGACGACGGAGCCCTCAGCGAAGGCGAGGCCATATTCCAGCCAACCCGCCACGGCCAGACCGATGGCCAGGAACCCGCTTTGAAGCATCACAATAAAGCCTCGAAGCTTGGGGGTAGTGGTCTCGCTTTGCCTATTTCTCGCACCCAACATGCTCTCTTCAGCGAACTGGTAGACAAACAAGGGATTTACGACATAAATGGGGTTCCTACCAATTCGGCCCTGTAGCCGTCACCGCGCCGAATCCCAGCCCGGTGATGAACCGCCCAACAATCAGGTGTGCCAGCACAAAGGCCGTACTCTGAAGAATCGAGCCAACAATCGTGATCGCCAACCCCAGGATGAAGGTTCGTTTCCTGCCCAGGCGATCACCGACCCCGATACAGGCGATGGCACTGAAAAGACATCCCAGGTTGAAGAGAGCCACCACCGTGCCCTCGATCCTGGAGTTCTCGGCGTTCGTGGCTCCAGTGGTGTTCACCGTGTCGAGCTGGGGGGAAGGTATCCACCCATGACTGTCGGTTGACGATGCCGCTGGACACCGCGTTCAGGTACCCGAAGCAGATGTAGGCGGGGATGATGACCGTCGCGATGTGGCCTATGGTAACTTTGTTCCCCCTTAGCCCGAATGCGTGGCCCATTCTGCTGGGTTTAGGTTGGAGATTGGGGACTAGAAGGTGCGGATATGGATTCACGATCAGGGTGGTTGGGAGGTCGTGGTAGGGGTAGAAAAGTCTTGTTCAGGGGTCAAAAACAGCAAGAAGAAATATCTTTCTATATTCAAGCATAACGATGAAGAAAAACAACCATAATTTCAGAAAGGAGATATGGGGGGAAAGCCTGGGGTCAGACATCACTCCCCCCGGGGGTGGAGAGGAGTGCTGTCACGTTCAGCATGGAGGAAGGCATATTTGATCCACTTTTGTCTCACCCCGCGCCTCATCCAATGCCCTTGGGACAGCTGTATGCGGACGTATTTGTGGAGTTGTATTACTCTTTGAATTGGACCCAGAAACCAGGGTGCGCGGAAACTTTCGATCCCGGGGGACTCGGTTCGGTGTAGAAGCTGATCTGGGCAAAGCTTAACTCCAGCTTCAGGAGGTGGGCTAGAATCTTATAGGTAACGCCAAATAACTGAGAAATGCTCATCCAAGGACTGAATGAGCGTACGAATAATGAGTCTATTTGGCAACAAGAATGGTACGCTCATACAATACCAACGGCGTAGGAAAAATGTTGTCGAGGCTATGTCGTCATGTCAATGGGGATCAGCTTCCAAGTTCGGCTAAACGAAGGGTGTGAGCCAACAGGATAACCGCCTTTATGGCGCCGAGTGTCGCTCGCTTGTAAGCTAGGCTGGGGTTATGGTGTGGACTGTGATAATAATCATCATTCACTTCCACCTCCGCTGGCAAAGCGGGTGGATTAGGGCTCTTTTCCGCCTCCGACGGCGGAAAAGCCTCAGGTGGCCCCAGTTCTCCGTCGCCGCCATCTAGCTAGATATGTTTCGCGGATTGCTCCGTTACCTTTGCCGCATGATATACTGACAGGTTCATAGTCTGCGTTTGGCAGAGCCTTCTTCCGAGAAGACGTGTGACAGGGTCAATCCGCTGCATCTCGTGGATCGGGCTCAACATCAAACAAGAAGTCACGAGATGAGGGCTTTTGAAACTGATACAGCAAGCTACTCGTACCAATTTGCAGTACTCCTATTTTTTATAGTAAACTTATAGTATTTTTAAGAATTATTATTTTACTGCTTAACAGACCGTCTTTTTTTCTAACTAATCCTAATATAAAAATTATATATAAGATTTTGTAATAAAGAATTCTAATTTATTAATATCTTTGGTCTAAAATATTCTAAGACTCTGATAATTCTAATAATTCTAATATAACTTATAGTTGTATATCTTTATCAAAACTAGACAGTTTAAAAGACTAAAATAATACTGTCGGCAGAATTGGGTTATTGCAAATTGGCACGAGTAGCCCACTGTAACTGGAGGCAATGATATTTGTGGAGACCGGTGGGAGGTGAAGCAGGGCCTGTTGATTCCTCTACATGTCACTGCAGCCGGGTAGGCGGTGAGCTGGCACTTCAGGCACCAAGGCCCAGGGCCGCCGTCAATATTATCTGGGTAGTCGTGGCAATCCGTTAAGAAGAACCACATCCCTAAGAATACACCGGGATCGCGACAATTGTCTCATAATTGAGGAAACATTACATATGCTCCATTGATCAAGGGTGTAAGCACACATCCTGGCACCACAAATTATCTCAGCAAGCTTTGTGAGATTGACTGGTCAGGGTTGAATTCCATTTTCACCTCAGTTGCCCTGCAGGTAAGGTATCTCTGTACTGATTCTCTCATGAGACTATCCGACTCCGATTCTGGTGTTCAGTGCAGACCGTCTGTACTCTGCCCTGCCAGGTTGATCTCCAGCCTTGTCTTTTTGGGTTCTCATGCTTCAACTTCCGCATCCTCAATCCATCAATCATTGACGTCAATAATACCGGCACAAATCACACGAGGCAGTGGCGGCTCTCAGCACGCTAGCACGCCAAGTGGTCTATCTTCATCCGAGGATACAAGCTGCCATTGATAATAAAAAGCTATTCATTTGGACATTCTCAGGCCAAAGGCCACCGAGGTTGGCGGCGAGACGCAGCATGGCCACTGAGGCCGCAGGGACGCCAACTGATTCCAAGGTGTACACAACGCGTGTGTTTCTCTAATGACCGCCCACTGCGAGGTTCAAACCTGACAAACTGGGAATCTTGTCCACTAAGTCCGTCATAATCTCTTTCCAGACTATGCCCCTGACTTTTAAAGCAGTCTGGCTGCGTAGGTTGGGTGCTGATAACCTGAGGTTCTGACATGTTAATTGATCGTCTAAGGCACAACTTAAGAGGTGAACGGAGCCGGAGCAGCCATACCTGCGGTACTCGTCTTCCGTAAACAGGGACTGGATGTATTTACCCTGCCGGACCCGCGTTAGCCATCGCCCGATAAAGTCTACCATAGAACGCGTCATAGTCAGAAAGAGGACTCACATGTTCATCGATAGATGTCCTCGCCGCCTTGACGTAGAACCTCGCCCCGAAGTCCGCAGACTTGCCGAGAAGCCTTTGATGAATTGGTACGAGGACCTTCAGCCAGCGAGAGCTTTCCGCCATTGACCGGCCAAGGCTAGTTGATACGAGCCCGGGGCAAACGGTGTTGACGACCACATTGACTCTGCTCAAAACAATTTAGCACATGCATGGAAAGAGGATATGGGGAAGAGGAATGATCTTACCTTCCGTCCGCCCTCACAGCTCTCTCGCACAGGCTCTCGACCGCGTAGGTCAGCGCGAGCTTGCTGACTGCGTAGTTTGGATCCAGCACACCGCGGGGCCAATTCTGCTCGTCGCTAAAGTATTTCAGGAGTCCGCCTGTTTGGGCGGCGTATTCCTCCCAGGGGGTGATGTCAGGGTCGAGGTGGTCGCGCGAGGTCACGAAGACGATGTGCGGTGGGCCGCTTTCGGCCTGAGAGGTTGGTTGCTGACCCATCCACTCCAGCAGAAGAAGTCCCAGGAGCGTGGTGCTCAATGTATTGACTTGGATTGTTTGCTCCCTTCACCAGACATACTGAGCTTGCATTAATCTGTGAACCAGAGACGCTGAACGTACCAGCCTTCTGGGCTGAGCTTGAAGTCAACGTTGATCAGACCCGCGTTTAGAACCGCGACATCAAGATGCCCTGCGCAACTTGCCGTCTGTTGCTTCAACTGAGAGACGAAAGAGACACAGGATGAGTATCGGCTCATATCCAACTCCAGAACCTGGACTCTTCCCTGGCCGACGATCCCCGCGCATGTCTCGACATATTCGGCTGCTGTGTGACCGTTAACTAGGTTTCGCGCGGTGAGGATGAGGTTTGCGCCCAGGTTTGCGAAGTGAACGGCGGCTGCGCGACCGAGACCGGAACTTACCCCTGTGGTGAGGACTGTCTGGCCCTGGAATGAGTCTGAGGGAGGGAGAGGCTCGCCCCAGAGCTTATCGCGTACGCGCCGGGGTAGGAGGAATACCATGATTCGAGGATGCGTCGGCAAAGAAGGGTGCTTCGTTGATTGACTTCAACAAAGTAGGTACTGTACACGACCTTGGGACTGTACATCTTCTCGACTCGAGATGGTGGGCGGCTTTCGGTTGTCTGGGAGTCCTGACAACGCTACTGTGTTGTCATCCCGTCAGCCAGTGCTTTACTCGGCTTATGCTGTCAGCCAGAGATAGATCTCCCGGTCAGACTCGGCTGATTCCTTGTAAGCGATGGTATTCTGCGAGCAGTCATCATATTATCATTGTTGGGGGTTCATTGTACATAAGCTACTAGTGTACAGCACCCACATGTTCTCGCAATAGTGCATGATGGCAGATACCACTATTCACAGCGAGGGCTTCACCTCCGAAACCATTCTCGTCCGTGTCTCAGACAATGCAGGTATAGCGCCCTGTTCAACGCCACAAAGGACAACAGACTTAAAATTACAATGCTGACATGTTTCTTCCTTGATACGCAGTTCCCGAAAGCGTTTTCTGTCGCTGGCGAAGATGCGCAACAGCCTCGAGTGAATACTTCCACGCCATTGACCTCTTCTTCAGAGTCAGCCATCCACAGACCGAGCGGTCTGAGCAAGCCAAATCCCTCGAAGGAGAAGGAAGCGCACTGGAAACGCTAGTGCGCCAAGCTCGCAAGATCGTCGACAACGGACATAGCCCCCGGCGAAGCGACATTGTTGCCAAGGTGATCCTATCACCCAGGGCCGGATACCTTTGTCGAAGCGACATTCTCGACCTTCGCATGCGCCATTCTGAGTTCATCTCCGCGGTGATCCGATTCACAGACTGCCAAGACTATCTCCTCGGATCAGGTGGGAGAGAAGGAGAAGAAGAAGCAAGCATTCTCCCACTCCTCGCCTCGTCGCCTGGAGCACTGCTACTCAAGCAGTCGACGCACGACTCCTCTCCCCTCGACACCCTGCAACTGCTCCAAGACGACCTCGCGATGCGGCTATCCTTCCCATGGATACTTCCCACCCAGCCCAAGCCGCGCAGGGTAGCCGTTATCGGTGGACGGGGCATGTACGACGTCCACGGGAGAACCTACGGGTCGCAGGGCTTCTTCGAGGCGGCGCACGCGCTGGGGGTGTCGCTGATTGTCCTGGACCAGCATGACCACTGGCTCGCGGGCGAGGCTTACGCGCATCTTCGCGAGGAGTTCATCGCACTGGACCTCTCCGCTCGGGCGAACCTCCCCGAGCGCATCGCCGCAGCCGTCCGTGGCCGGGCCATCGACGGGATTGTCACTTTTACCGACGAGTACGTCGTGACAACGGCCGAGGCGGCCGAATTTCTAGGGTTGCCGACTGAGCCAGCGGCGGCGATGCGGCAGGCGCATCACAAGCACGAGATGCGACGGTTGCTGCTCTCGCAGCAGCAGCAGACCGACAACAACAAGAACAACAATGCCAGGAGCACCCAAGTTCAGGCGATCCACCTCCATAGCGCGGCCCAACTGGACCACCCTCCCCCTGCCCTCGCCAACCAGCTCGCCGCCCTGCAGTACCCGCTGGTCGTCAAGCCCTGCCGGGGCCAGTTCTCCACCGGCGTGATGAAGGTCGCCGACGAGGCCAGCCTGCGGCAGGCGGCTGCAATCCTAGGGCGAAAGGATCCCCGCCTCGCCGAGCAAGGCATCCTGCTTGAAACGTACGTCGCGGGGCCAGAGCTGGACGCCAACTTCGTCCTCCTGGACGGCGTCGTGCTGTTTCTGGAGGTGACGGACAACTTTCCGTGCTCCGGTGACGATCGATCGGCCACGCTGGAGGCCAACTTCGCCGAGACGCTGCAGATCTCCAACACGCGGCTCCCAGCCCGCGAGATCGAGGTGATCCGCGAGAAGCTCGGCCGGAGTCTCCGGGCGCTGGGCTTGCGGTCAGGCGTGTTCCACGTCGAGGCGCGCATGCGCAATTCCGCCATGCGGTATGAACGGGTGGTGGAGAGTGTTGTGCGGGACGACAGCAGCGAGGGGAAAGGTGGTGGTGCTGGTATCAGCGACAGCGGCAGCGGCCGCATCATGATCATGGATCTCATTCTAGGTGGAGAATCCGAGGAGCTCACGCCTCCCCCGTCACCCCCAGTTCCCCAACCCGACCCCTTCCTCATTGAGGTCAACGTCCGTCCTCCCGGCACGGGAGGTACTTGGTCGACCCTGTATACTTACGGTGTAGACCTTGGCGCCCTCCAGCTCCTGCGCGCGCTGAACGATCACGAACGTTTCCGCGCGCTGTCGAGCCCGTTTCGCGTTCCTAGAGGGCAGCATCATCCCGGCGACGGCGGGGGCGCGCAGTACTGGAACGCGCACTGCATGGTTCCCGTGCATCGCGACTGGGTGCGGGTCCCCGCCGACTTCTTTGAACGGGTGTACCAAGCGATCCCCGAAATCGTGCCGTACGTGTCACGGGCGGAGTTGTCGGTCGAACCAGGAACACTGGTCCCGTCGGCTGGGGAGGTCCCGTGGATTGGCTATCTGCTGATGCATTCCAGAGTCAGTCGACGGCATTTGCTAGGGATGTATGCGCGGTTTGCGGGGGCTTGTAGGGCAGTTTTGGACGCTACGAGTGGGGATAAGCTTCTTGTCTCTTAGTGCTTGGTTTTTGTTGGACTTATCTCGCCATCGAGGGTGCAAATAGACATCACCACGATTCCATCCACGACTCCAGTGAGATTCAATTAGCTAGTGCCAGGATGGAAGCTAGTGATAAGAAACAAAATATTACATGGTCGTTACGCACCAGCAGCGGCCACTAGTTCCCCGAACCTCGTCCCAGGCGCCTCTTTTAGGGCTACGGGATTCCCCACCTCGACCACCTCCCCACGGTCCATCACCACCACCTGGTCAAAGTCCATAATCATTTCGAGCCGATGGCTAACCGCAAGAATCGTGTACGCCTCGAACTCTGCCCGAATGATCTCCTGCATCGTCCGCTCGGTCTCGCGGTCCACGCTGGAGCTGACCTCATCCAAGAGGAGGATCCCCCTTTGCTCTGCACTGCTGGATCCCGCGTCCGGGGAGGAAGGAGAATGTGCACGCTGGCGGATCTTAGCACGGAGAACAGCCCGTCCCAGCGAGAAAAGCTGCCTCTGCCCGGCGCTCATGGTCCCCGCCGTGACCGGTGCCAACAGCCCCTCCGTCCGTTCTTGCACGAACTCCCACATCCGGACCGCTTCTAGAACCTGCTGGCATTCCGCCTGGGTGGCTGTATTGGTTGGGTCGAGATTCGCCAGGAAGGACGAGCCGTCGGGCAGGAAAACCGGGTCCTGGGGGACGGCGATGAGGCGTTCGCGAAGGGTCGCACGGTGGATGCGGTGCAGCGGGAGTTTGTCGATCAGAATCGGAGACCTCTGGTCTTGGCCATCACCAAGGTTGCTCTCGGGGTCGATCGGGGCCGGCAGTGGATCGAGGAGCTTCAACAGGAGAGCGAGGAAGCTGGATTTGCCGCTGCCGGTGCGGCCGCAGATGGCAACCTTTTCCCCTGGGTAGATGGTGAAGGTGATATTCCTGAGAGCTAAGGTTTGCAATTTGGTCGTGGCGCCAGAGACTCTCACGGAGTTAGAATCGGACTCAGAGTCGGATTCAGACCCGGTGGTAGACTGATATCTGGCGGATACACCACGCAACTCGACCAGCCCGCGATCCGGCCACTTGGCGTCTGGCACGATGTCCTCCTCTCCGGGAGCGTCACGGTCCTCCGGCATGACGGTCTCGTTGAAGGTCTTCAGTCTGGCGATCGCGCCGATGGAGGTCTCGAGTCGGGTGTAATAAATCACGATCCCGGATAAGCTCTCGCCGAAGGTCATGAGCGAGTACATGGATGCACCGGCGAAGGCCGAGTTAGAATGCAGCCGGACAGCCAGCGTCGTCAGGACCGCCGCGATGACCATTACAACAAGATTAAGAACCAGATTCAGCCACTCCTGAATCATAAGGAGCAGATACGCCGCGCGCTGGCTGGAGTCCACGAGACGGGCGTTCTTGTGGATGTCCTCCGGGACGAACCCGAAGGCGCGCAGTGTGGCGATTCCTTTGAGAGTGTCAAGAAAATGGGTGTAGAGCGGGCTCTTGGCCTCTAGGTCGAGCAGTCGCAGCTGTCGCGACGTGCGGAGGTAGTACTTTTGCACGAAGTAGAGCAACGCGCCTAGGATCGGGTAGCTGATGGCCAGGTAGACCGATGAGGTGAGCATCACCGCGGCTTGGCCGATCGACTGAAAGACGCAAAAGAGGGTGTTGAGGGTCGCCTCGGGGAGTTCGGTGTCGATCAGGTTGAGATCTTGGGAGAAGAGGTTCGTGACCACCCCGGTGTCGGTATTAGTGAAGAAGGCGAGTGGTGCACGAATTAGAGTACGTAGGGCTTGCTGGTGGAGGTTGGCGCCGGCTTTCTTTACAGAGATGATGAAGAGTGTTACCCCCAGGAGGAGGAGGGCTATGATGGCACAGATCTGCAAGACGGCATAGATCCCCGCATAGTAGGAGTCGGAGTGTGCAGGATGAGTGGACTCGGCGGCGTCACTCCAGTATGTGAGCCCTGCATTTATCAAATTAGTTGTTGAGTATATTGGAGATAGAGGGGAGCGGAGACGCACAGATGGTTGGGTAATTGGTGAACAGACCCCACAGGGCCGCAAAGAAAAGGCTACAAACCGCCACAAACCATCCCATGCTTTTGAGATATAGCTTATAGACGGTGGCGTCACCTACCTGCCGCGCGGCGGCCGCGGCTGGGGCAATTGGGGTAGATGATTGCGTGCTGTGGACAGTGATCGCACGTTCGAGTTTCTTGTCAGCCCCCGGTTGGCTCTCATTTTCGGGATGAAGGCCAGGACTAGGCTCATCGCCAGCAATGATATCCTCGCCTCCCTGCTTTAGTCCCACCTCCAAACACTGAACATAACCCCCGCGGGTCGACAAATCGACGAAGGTGCCCTGCTCTGCAACGCTGCCATTTCCGAGCGCAATGATGTAGTCCGCAGTCGGGAGATGCCGAACACTGTGGGTGCACAAGACCACCGTCGACCCCCGTCGTCGCATGAGACCATCCGGTCCAAAGACCTGACGAAAGACTTTCTCCTCGGTATCAGCGTCCAGGCCGCTAAATACATCGTCCAAGACCAAAAGGTCGGACGGTAAGTATAATGCTCGCGCAAGAGACAGACGCTGCTTCTGCCCGCCCGACAACGCTACACCATCCGACCCGATGTTCGTCTGATCCCCCTGGGATAGAGTGGCAAGATCGAAGCGCAGGGAAGTGGCTTCAATGACTTGGTCATACCGCTCGCGGTCAAAAGGAGTGAATCCGATGATGTTCTCTCGGATCGTACCATTCCAGAGAAAAGCGGTTTGTTCACAGAAGCCGACGTGGCGTGGGGAAGTCTGCGTAGCGATGCTACCTTCGCTGAAGGGCATTTCACCTAGAAGGGCCTTGCAGAACGTGGATTTACCAGAGCCGACAGGGCCGACGACCATCGTAAGGGCCGAACCGGGGATATGAGTATTGATATTGTTCAAGACAAACTTGTCTGCTTTCCATCCAAATTTCGCGTCTCGAATGACAATGGAGTTGGAATTCTTCTCCATGCCGCGGGTCTGGGCTTCGACCATGGGCTGTCGATAGTCCCGACGAGGCTCCAGTTCCAAAAATGCTTGAATCCGACCCAAGCAGGCCAGGCCCGAAACAAGCTCTGGGACGGACTGGAAGAGCTGCGACAGCGGCTGAGTCAACAGAGTCAGGAATGAAAGACCGGTGAACATGGTCGAAGCATTTAGCGTCTTCTGGGCAAAGGCGAAGGTCAGCGGAGGGCTGATCAACTGCGGCATAAAAGCGAAGACGGCGGCGATAATCATTATCCTGCGGTATCGGGCACCAGCGGCTAGTTCGTCGACACGGAGCTGCTGCACGTACGCTGCCACGGGACCAGCGAGGCCGGATATCTTGAGTGGTTTCATGCTGGCGATGACGGTGGCTGTAAGCCCAACTCGCTTCTGCACCCCGGACATCCAGGATCGCTGTGAGTCCCCGGTGAAGTTGATTAGGATTCCTAATCCAACGAAGCAAACTATCACCACGCCTACGGGGGCCACGAACACTACCCCGAGTTGCCGATAGAGCATCCAGGCGGCGATACCGGCCTGAATCAAGCTCGCCCATGTCTCGTGCACGAAGCGAAGACCCATTCGGATGCGTTCCATATCGGTGCTCATGAGTGTCAGCGCAGCGCTATCGTCACCTGATCCCAGCCGAGCTCTCGTGGCGGCTCTAAACGTCTCGGTGACTAGTATGGAGCGGACCATTGTTCGCAGTCGGTGGTGGCAGTACCAGTACAAGCCGTAGGAGATTCCAATCCCGGAGTAGATGAGTATGGCAGCGCCGATAAGCCCATATCCTGCATTCGGATCGGGCTCTGCCTGAGACAGATACGTGACGAGACTCTCGATAAATAGAGGTTGGCAGATGTAGAACGCAATCAAAGCCGCCCGCGGAGGAATAGGCAGGAGCAGTTGCACCCACAGTGTACGTACTAGTACCTTCAGAAGGCCGAATTTATCCCCCTTCAGTTTATTGTAGTCCATCTTCTTTGCGAATTCCTCATGCAGCGCTTGTGCGGCGAAAGTGCTATCGAGCGGGTAGAGGCTTTCGATGGTGAAGGTATGTCTATAACCAGCCAAAAAGAGCTTGTTTAGCCAGAAGAAAACGCCTAGGGAGAATATTCCGCTCGTTTCTTCGGGGCTGTGTTTCGTTGCATCCCAGGTCACCCATCTCGCCTTTTGCCAGGCCTCCAATACCAGGATAGCGGTCTTGAGCCCGACCGATGCACAGAAAATACTGCTATACGCGACCTCGAAATCATGGTCTGACGACAGGAATAGAGTTCTTGCTCGGGAAATGTCCAGGAGAAGGGTAAGAAATAAGTAGCTGTTGAGCAGCATCGAGGGTCTAGGGCTGCGGCTGTGGTCCACCACACTCATCGTGAGCATGAAGAGGGCCGATAGCAGCTGAAGGATGGAAGAAGCGATGAACATGCGGCTAATATGGAAGGATCCGACCGCGGCGAAAATGAGGAGAGCAAGTTCCAAGCCAGCGTAGATTACGATGGCACCCTAAGCAGTCAGTGGGGAGAAACTGTTTACATAGTAATAGAGGACATACTGTTTTGATGAACTGCAGAAGGGGCGCATTCACCACGACGGGCTTGCGTATCCGTGTTAGAGTTCGCCATAGCGATGATGGAATAAACAAGATGGAGGGAATAATCGAGAAAAAGAGACTCTCAAATTGAAGGTTGAAGTCAAATTGTTTTTGGTTGAGGTGGAGCATGTTGCCCTCCCCATTTGTGAAGGGCATTTTGTGGACAGTGACTCCCGCTCCTGCGGATTTCTGCTCTCGGGGGCAGAAACAGGGGAAGGAAGAGTTTCGGCGTGGGGAGAGTAAGAACTGACGGTGGGGTCGCATTATATTGAAGTGCAGTGGCTAGCGCACACGCCATTGTGTGTGACAAGCCCCAATCACCAGTCGGGAGTTGATGCAGGGGTCAGTTAGTACATACAAGTACTGTACCTAGTACTATTATGTGGGCAATTTCTTATCTGGCACTCGCTATAGGCCAACGGAACAAGACGCTCCGACTTATTTTTTCAGGCGCTCGATCAAGATCAGTATTGTGAGATGTCTACGGAGTACTAGGTACCTAGTCGTAAATTAGTCTCTCTAGTCAGGCAGTTAGTCTGAATCTAGACCCTCGGGGCACATACATAGTATCAGGCAATTCGTACCCGTCAGCAGCGCCTTTTTCAGCTGTCAGCCACCGGGTGTCAGCCACCGGGTGTCAGCCGTGAAACTGCCCATCTAAACTTATCCTAGACGGATACGCCAAGACACTGAAGTGGATATAATCAATGTATAAAGAGAATCAAGCTATTTGCTTAATTGCCGAAAAAGCCTACGTGGATGCTCCGCAAACCACCCCCCCCCCCCCCGGCTCACCTCCGCATACGACTAATCTATGTCCAATCTCACCACTCCAGCAATGAACGGTTCACCCTCCTCAGATCCACTAGACGGTACCGTCGTCGACCTCTTCGACCAATGGGCCGAGAAATCCCCGGAGCGGGTCGCAGCGGAGTGGCAAGGCGAATCTCTCACCTACGGGGCTCTTCGCGATGCCTCTCTCCATGTTAGTTGCGCCCTCATATTGGCTGGGATACTGCCACGCGCCCGAGTGCCGCTATTGACCCAAATGTCGTTGGAAATGCTTCCGGCAGTGATTGGGATTTTGAGGGTAGGGGCCTGCTATGTACCGATGGATGTGGCCGCCTGGAGCCGTACTCGTATCGAGGCCGCACTCTCCGAGCTGGATTCCCCGGTAGCGATCATAACAAGTTCCTGTCCCGACCTCCGACTACCTGTCATCACTGTCAACTTTCAGAGAGAATGGCTCGTCTCGTCACCACCAGACAAGGGTGGCCTACGACTGGAGTTGGAGGCACGCCGACGGGGAATACAGGCCGATGACCTTGCGTGGATTATTTTCACCTCGGGCACGACGGGCAAGCCCAAAGGAGTGATGGTGTATCACAGGAGTATATATGCAGTCTGTACCGTGCAGCACGGCCAGGAGCTAGAAGAGGCCGCGCAACAAGGCGGTCGCTGCCTTCTTGCGTTCTCCATTGCTTTCGATGGCTGTGCTGCAGTAGTCTGGACGACTTTGGCCAAGGGTGCCACGCTAGTGATGGCCTCGCCATCAGACTTCCCACAGGTTGCGACAACCTGCCAATCCTTAAACCTCACACCTTCTATGCTGGCCGCGTTGGATCCGTTGGGCTCTTACAACCGAGTGCGCTATATATTCCTGGGGGCTGAAGCGCCAAAGCTGGAGGTTGTGCGACGGTGGATTACGAAAAGCAGAAAAGTCTTCACCACGTACGGTCCGTCAGAAACAACTTGTGTGATCAGCTTTGGGGAGCTGCATCCGGACCGCGAGGTGCCTTTTGGTGAACTTATCCCCGGGGTGAGGGTTGTCTTGGTCGATAAGGAGATGAAGGAGTCCAACTATGGCGAGGTCCTGATATCCGGGCCTGGTCTAGCTGCTGGATACCTCAACAATCCTACACTCACAGCGAAAAAGTTCATCGACTGGGAAGGCAGTCGCTTCTATAGGACTGGGGATCTCGCACGCAGGTCCGAAGATGGAAAGCTATTATGGGCAGGCCGCGCGGATTCACTCATCAAGAATCGCGGCTTCTTGATTGATCTGGAGACTGAAGTTGAACCGGCGATGCAGGCTTATCCTCAAGTCAACTTAGCCGTGGCTTTCCAGTGGCGTGATAGGCTTGTGGGCTGTGTACAGCCGTCCACCGTCGACGTGGAAGAACTACGCAAATTCCTGCAGAATCGTGAGGATCCCTTTGTCATCCCCGATATGATCTTCGCCATGGACAATTTCCCACTCAATGTCAATAGTAAAACGGATCGCTTGGCACTCAAGGCCCAATTGGATGAGAAGCTGGGCCAAGATGATGCTGCTGACGGAATCGTTTCTGTTCTCGAGACAGACAGACTCACGGCTTACGACGCGTTACGTTTGGCCTTTTCCCGATGTCTGCAGAACAGATTCAAGACTATGGACCGGGGCTCGTCTTTCACGCGACTGGGAGGAAATTCGTTGACAGCCATTCAAGTTTCAAACTTTCTGAAGCAGCGGGGATACATGATTCCGGCCGCGCAAATCCTCAAACTAGACACGATCGAACGGCTGGAGGGCCGCCTGAGAAGACACTCTGACGTCGATGTCACGGAAAGAGAGATCACGAGCTTGCGAGCTACGGCGACACCTGTGCAGCAGCTCTTCCTCAACCGGTCTTTGGAGACACCACATACCTTTGCTATCATTGGCCTGACCAAGTATATCGGCGACCCCTGCCGAACTCCTACCTCCAGTGACCTGCGTGGTGCCCTGGAAAAGACGCTCTCAGCGCACAGCATCTTCCGCACGAGATTTGATCTAACGGACTTCACACTCTCCGATCTAGGCCGACTCAATCTCACCTGGACCGAGATCAGTGTGCCTGAGAACGAGTTCGAGCAGGCCTGTGAGGCAGCTGAAGAAGAATCATGGCAAGCCGTGAGCAGGACCACGCGCTCCGACAACGAAGTCCCGTACTGTGCTGTGATCTGCATCTCTGTTCCCGGCCGCAGAGCACTGGCCTTTGTGACGCGGATTCATCATGTCCTCACCGATGTGTTCTCCTCTGCCATCTTGTCGCAGGACCTGGAAACCGCCCTCGCGGGTGGCGAACTAGCACCTGGCCCCCAATTTGAGGACTTCGCGCGCTTCATGCAATATTACACACAAGCCAACATCAAGCGCGCGACGCAATGTTTCACAAAGATGCTCGAGCCCCTACCAGCCTCATGTGTCCTGCAACCCCCGGTTCCAAAGGTACCTCCCCCACCGGACGCCTTCAACCTCATTCGTTTCCAGTCGTCCCCGTCCACCATCACCCGGGCTGCTCTTGACGCCGCATCTCGCCGTCTCTCCGTGACCCCTAGCACATTGATCTACGCTGCATGGGCGCTCTTCCTCCATAAAATTACCCTGTGGCCCCGCGTCGGCTTCTCCGTCAGTCTTTCAGGCCGCACAGCTCCATGGCCATTGGCCCCCGCCGTTGTCGGACCCCTTCTCTGTCGCTCTTTGTTCAGCACCAGCATTGACAGAGACGCAACAGTCCATGGCTGGCTCGCGACCGTGCACAAAATAACTCTCGATATTATCGAGTTCGATGGGCTCACGCATTCCCTGCCTGCATCTCTGATGGCCGACCCCCGCACGAACACATCCAACGTGCTCTGCTTCCTGGATGTCCCGGCGCCGTCGCAGAATTGGAGTCACAAGGATCGCCAGAAGCATTACTATACCCTTTCGTGGTACATCACCCAGCGGGGTGAATATGTGGCAACGGAGTTGGAGGTTCAGTTGGAGAAGGTGGATCTAGACTGGGCAAAGGCCGTGGCTGGTCTGCCTGAGGAGATCTTGTCGGGACTTATCACCGCGACGGAGTCTACTCGTGTCGCGGAGTTAATTACCACTAAGTAGCCAAAGCCACTTTCTATACATCCAAGTACTGTACATCAAGTGGGGCTCGTGGGTAGCATCTCAGACAATCGAAGCAGTAGTCCTCGCACTTGTGCACTCGGGTATCCGGAAGCTTGCCACTCGGAACCACCCAAGTCGCACCACGAACAATGATACCATAGGTTCCGCGGCAGGATCACGCCACTGGAACAATAGCACTCAGAGACATATCAACAGATTAGTTGGAGGCACTCCCGCGTGTTACCAGTCAAGTCCCGCCGTTGCTTATATAGAAAGAAGTAGATTCTGCTTTAGGTAGCCCAATTGAGGCTACATCAGTTTTGTATCTATAAGTCGAACCCGATGGAATTAAAGGGGCGGCCTTCTAGAGTGACACTTGGCACTCTTTCTCTTATGAATTTTTCGTGCCAACCTCGTAGTAATCGGCCTGTCCACTAGTCTACCTGGCTCAGCTCACTGCAGTATTATATATATCTTCTTGGCCCATGTGCACCGGTGATTGATATAGAAACAACGGCACAACCCGGGTTTGTGATCACTATTTCATAACCGTTTCGCATCTAATTAGTGTTTAGAATTGGGCTTTACTCCCTGCAAAATATATTTCTACGGGGCGGTCTTGCAAGCTGGCGTCTCACTTTTTTTTCCTGATAAGAGATATAGTAACAAGACCTTACATTTACACATATCTTCTTGTTCATTTTGACAGTCTAGGCTATAATCATATCTGTATATATATGAGTTCCCACCTAAACGTCTTTATCTTGGGCGGCAGACACCTGCGGGGAAAGGGAGGGGGCGTCTGCTGATCCGCTAGATAAGTCAATTAACTTACCGTACAGTACCAGCGATCTCGGCGTAAAGAAGAGCCAGATCGCGCAGGGGCTCGGCCCGCAGCGCTCTTTGATCGCGACTATTGCCTCTTCAAGGAAGGGCACACAAGGTAAGTCGTAAATCTTAGCCATTGTTACTTCAGTCATGTAAAATAAGCCCTTATCTTGTCATTTCGCCTACAGATAGGATCCGTCGGGCTCCGAGAGTCTATCGGAGCCGAAAAGCCTAGCTCTGGGCTTGGCCTTGACTCTGATTGACAGGAATAATTCTTGTTATCCTCTAGGGCTAGCTTAGCCACCCTCCGGTCCTGCAGTAAGCAAGTTAGTCCTCTTGTGATTGCGTCAGCGCAGGGGTGTCAGCTCTGAGGGGGGTCACAATTGCTGGGACCCTCTGTAAACACCTCCCCTCGGAGCTCCCCGGATTACATCCTGACCCCTTTAAGATTTCCTGGGGCTCCCAGAGCACCTTTAAATCCACCTAACATAGGCCATTGGAAGCATTGTTGGAGTTTTGTTGAAACCGAAGGCTATGTCTGAAGTTTATATGATGGATCGGCTTTCATTTTTCGTTGTTATTGTGGTTCTGAAAGTGTAGGTATACATGTTCCAGAAGTCCTTGATCAGGCCTACGAAGTAAAGAATATTTTCTACGATTTCGAGTCATTCTAACCTACGCCAGAAGCATCTCGTGGCTTGATTCTAGCCCCTCGCACTAATTTCCTCCCGAGCTGATAGTCCGCCAGCACATTGGCATTGTATGGTCACTATGAGATTTCCCCATCCCCTTCCCCCTCAGTGGCTCATTTTACCCTAGATTAGTACAGTCCAAAAGGTCCGGTAGGAAATGAGGTGCTCTGTCTATGGTGGTGAGATGAGTTGGAAACGGTTAATAAATAAGCGGACCTCTAGCCATGCTTTTCCAATTGCTGGTACAGCAGCAGCAGCAGCAGCAGCAGCAGCAGCACAAGACTATCGCTTCACAGGATAAGACTAGATAGCATGCCACCGACTGCGGAGTCACCTAAAGCTACCAAGAAGAAGTCAGGTCGGTCGACTAGCCCCAGGGCTGTGGAGAGAAGGCGGTAGGTGGGTTCCACTCGTTTCCCCTCGGAATTACGAACTGACCCGTGGATCCGATGTGTGGATCAGACTCCAGAACAGACTGTCGCAGCGCAAACACCGTATGAAAATTCTACATTGACGGCCCCTTCTTCAATGCGCACGACACACAGCTGAGTGAGAAGCTCGAGACAGGACAGAGGGTCAAAGAGGGTACCCAGACTGCGGAGGCAACAGGTGGAAGCCAGACCGACAGTGATACGCAGGACTTGCAGAGGAGCAACGACCCACTTGAGGCGATTGAGAACTACTCACGGCCCGTACCAGCTGTTTCTAGAAGTAGGATGCAGCGTCCACCGAGTGAGAATGATCATGACCCGTTCTGGCTGTCCGTGGACCCAACAATGATGCTACCGACAGTGGGGAACGAGAGCAGAGGGTCACAGCCGGCCTCGATCTCTTCAATCTGTGCCTGTGGCAGCGGCGTCATTACGCCCGGTAGCCATGCGGCCTCCCACCATGACTACTTTTCAACAGACAGTGCTCCACAGAGGCGACAAAGTCACTACACACTCTCTGACCCAAGGTGCGCCTCCTAGCCAGTGTACTAACCGCTACCACTCCCCTGCCCTCCCTTCTAAAATTGAAACGTCGTTAGCTCGTCGTCCTGTCCCTCCTCCGTTGCCGGGTCCCGCGCCAATTGCAATGTCTCCCATCGAACGACCTGCGCAAAGAATTCATCTGCGTCTACATTCACCATGGACGCGACCTTACGCAAACTTTTTGATCAGTCGCAGTCGCAGATGCGCCCTACCCCTCTTCTGTCGCCGACCAGCGAACTCCACTCAATCCCTTGCGCATCAGGGCAACCAGATCCGCTGGGGGGCGCCCAAGAGCTCGCAGCCGCCGCAGAGCTCGGCGCCGCTGAAGCGACGGACATCACGCGTCGGCTGGCGATCGTGCTCGAAGCAATACGGACCGCCGGATTCCAAGGCTTCGATGAAACGGCGGCAGCGTACTACACCGCGCATTTGGACAAAGGGAGCTTCCCGGCCATGGTACAATGCGCCAGTCGTGGCCGTCGGTTGAAGACGATGCTACAGGCCCTGCAGCAAAGTAGCCAGCAGTGGCGGCGGTGGGAGTCGAGAGGGCTCCAGGAGAGTATTTGCGAAGGTTCAGGTAAGCTAGTTCCGCGACACTATGCTCGACTATATAGATATGTGTACGCAAAGCTCGGTGTGGGAATGGTAGTAACAGGCTATTCGCCGCGTCGAACTACAGCATCCCTCTGCGTGGCGGAGATGGACCGTTTTAGCGGTCGCAGCGTATAGGTCCGCGACGAGAACGAGCCGGCCTCCCTAATTGCAGCGCTGGAGTCGCTACTGTCTATCCACAAGGCGGGCACACTTGGGGAGACGAGAGTCTCAAGCCCGACACCTCTAGAGGAATCGGGGCTCATGGAGCAGATGGATAACGCACCGGATTTGGTAAGTGAGCCCAGCTTTGGGAGACTATGTACGGCTTCACTAACGGGGCTGAATGTGGCGTGTAGATGCCGTTGCTCTGGTCGCTGCTGACGGAGCTCGCCGGCACGAGGAGCGTGTATTGCGACAGAGTCGCACGCCTTATTCTTACGATCTTGCTCTATACTAGGAGTCCCCAATAGCATATGCAGATAGACCACGTTCTCTCATGAATTGTATGTCTCATCATGCCTGCTAGTGTACTGTACTGTACATAACATGCAGCTAGTTCTCGGTCCTAATGTCAAATGTACACGCATAGATCAAGTCTCAATGGCCCACCGCGGCCGTGTGCTGTCGCGCCACCATGTCCCTACACGATTGGCCACTGGACAACAGTGTAGATGACGTGCTTACAGGGGTTCATTACCTGGATGCCAGGTTCTGATACCGTACCATTAAGACTAGTCCAACCTCTAGCTACAGCAGACTAACCGCAATTCGGGCAATCTCATCCCCTCAATCTAAATGTAAGCCATAAGTTACTACTAGCTCGACAATCCCATGGAGTATGCCACCCTCGCCGCCCTCGGAACAGCATGCTTTGATCCACTGCGCTGCAGCTCCAGCATCTCCGTCACCCAGTCCGCCACCGTTTGCACCAGTTGATCCACCTCCTTCTCGGTATTATGAGCATGGAACACGAGCCGGATGCGGCCCGTTCCCTTGGGTACAATGGGGTACGAGATGGCGTAAGCGTTCATGTTCGACATGGCCAGGTGGGCGAACAGGTAGTGCTCGTGACCATTTCTAGTCCGCAATGGCACGATGTGACTGTGGAAGGCTCGGTCTTCCCAGCCCTCGGCGAGGGGGACATCGAGAAGACCCTCGTCCATACCTTCTCCCCAGATGGGATGATCCAGGAGGGTCTGCAAGAAATATTTCACAATGGTCTGGATGGCGGCTTGTTCCTGAGACAGCGGGCGTCAGTCAGCATCAGCAGCATAATCCCGGCACACACACCGTGGGAGGAAAACGAAAAACACCCTCAAATACCTTCTGGGTCTCGCCACTCATCAGCAGCTGATAGCCCGCGCGGATAGAGGCCACCATCGGCACCGACGGCGCACCGCTGTATGTCAAGGATCGCGCTGAGTTCACGAGAGCGCTGCGCACCGTTCTATTGCACAAGATCACACCTCCCGTCGCCCCAAGCGCCTTACTGCAGACGTGGACCCGGATAGCAATCTCTTTCTCCAACCCCAGCAATTGGACCTAGTAGAGAGCCCCAGTCAGTCATTCTCTGTCTCTCACACACACGAACACGAAAGAGGCACGCAGTTATTTCACAGAAAGTAAACCAACAGAGAAGAAAAAGAAAAGAAGACAATAGAAAGGAGAAGACGCACCAAGCCCGCCCCCTTCGGCCCCAATACTCCACTACTATGCGCCTCATCGATGAGAAACTGGGCATTTCCCGCTGGGAACATTTCTTTGACGACCTGCACAAACTCGCGAAGGGGACAGATATCCCCGTCCATGCTATACACCGACTCGACGCAAACCAGGATATTCTTCTCGCCGAAGCGGAACCCCGGATCGGCGTCTCGAAGGCTGGCCAGCACCTCGCGCAAGGAGTCGACGCTGTTGTGCTGGAAGGAGACCTTGTGCGCCGCGACGCTGAGCTTGATACCAAGGCTCGTGCTCGCGTGTGAGAGCTCGTCCCACACGATCGCGTCCCCGGGAAGCGGGATCGCCTCGAGCACCGCCATGTTGGCCAGGAGGCCCGAATGGGCGATCCACGCCGTCTCCGCACGGTGAAAGGCCGCCACCTCGCGCTCCACCTCTAGCAGGTAGTCGTAGTTGCCGTACTGCGTGCGCGACCCGGAGGCGCTGAGCCGGAACTCCCCCCGGCTGGCGAGCTCGCGCTGGAACTCCTCGCGGATCCGCCCCGTGCGGTTGAGCGACAGGAAGTCGCTGGTCGTCAGGTCCAGCACGCTGTCGGGCCATCGTGGTTTGGTCGTGTTGAGGGCGTGGCGCTCGCGCACCACGTCCATGGACTGTTCCAGGCGCCGGTAGAAGGCCGGCGCGTTCTTCATATTGGGTCCGCGCAGGACTTGCGCGCCCAACACTTCTTTGAGCATGTCTTCGTAGTACATCGTGGTATCTTAAGAGGTTGTGAGGTTGAGATGTTGATGTGCTGTGGCAGTGGTACTGTTGGTTGGGTGGAGGTTAGGAACGGTAGAGATGTGGTTTTGGATCCGGCGGCGCATGTGCTAGACGACTACTCTTGCTGTGGATCTACCATCAAGCTGACATAACGACTAGGCGCGGGTCTCAGAACTGTGCATTCTATTCAACGTTGTAGATCCGTGTAATCTGTGCTTGGGTATCTGACCATGCAGCGACTTCCCCTGGCTGACAGTGCATGTGGCTGACACCAGGGGTCTGACACTGCTAGTATGACAAGCCGACAAGCAACTAGTTTTCCTTTTTCGCTTTTTTTTTTTCCGTTCTTCTTTTCGTCCCCTCTTCCCTGGCTGACACAATGCAGTGACGGGTGGCACACGTAGAGCGATGTTCATGCTTGATGCTAATCACACACATACCAATGGTTGTTGTGTATGGCATCATTCATCAAGTATGCGCATTGGCCATGAAGGCCAACCTAGCAGCGGTCAGCCCTGGTAGGGACTGACTGACAGTCACTGTTGGCATCATAGAGTACAGGCACATTGACCTAAGAGTGGTCGAGGTTATGGCATGTCAAGTCCTTGTAGATGGTATAACTACCGATGTGATGTAGCTATCTACGCACCAGGACTACGGACCACTCTCGCAAACACCTCTTTGACATTGGACCTCCTTTCAATCTTCTCACGGCCAGCTCTTTGTTATTTTCCTCTTTACAGTCTTCTACCGCAATCATGACTGGAAGTAACGGGATCGATAGTGACCATACTAATGGTACCAACGGTCACTCCAACGGCCACACCAACGGTCATACGAACGGTCATACGAACGGCCACACTAACGGTCATACCAATAGCACGGCCACCCATACCACAGAGTCGTCAACGCCCCGGTTCGAGCACATCGCCATCTGCGGCATGGCCTGCCGCCTCCCCGGAGGGGTGAGCTCTCCCAAAGAGCTCTGGTCCTTCCTGCTCTCCGGCCAAGACGGGCGCATCATCACCCCGAAGAGCCGCTTCAACATCGATGGGTACTACTCAGCGACGAAGCGCGCCGGCACCACCAACACCAAGTACGGATACTTCCTCGACGAGTCGGTTGACCTGGCCGGGCTGGATACCTCCATGTTTTCGATGAGCCGGATGGAGGTAGAATGGCTGGACCCGCAGCAAAGAATGATGCTTGAGGTGGCGCGGGAGTGTGTCGATGACGCCGGGGAGGTCGGCTGGAGAGGCTCCCAGATCGGAGTCTACATCGGCTCCTTCGGGCAGGATTGGTATGACATACTCAACAGAGACGGGTTGAGGCATAGTGTTGTGAGTGTAATTTCGAGTCACGACTTTATGATATCCGAGAGAATCTCGCATGAGATGGACCTTAAGGGGCCGAGGTATGTATTCCTCTTGTTCTTGTTTTCTTGTGTAGGGCAGGCTTGGATCCGGTGCTAAACACACGATTTTCTTGGGATAGTATGACCTTAAGAACCGCATGCTCGTCAGCACTCGTCGGTCTGAACGAGGCGTGCATGGCTATCGCCAAAGGTGACTGCGAATCTGCCATCGTCGGTGGCTCCAACCTGATCCTTGCCCCGGATCTGGTCACCCGCTTATCCGACCAGGGGATCCTCAGCCCTGACGGTTCGTGCAAGACTTTCTCCGCCGACGCCAATGGTTATGCCCGTGGGGAGGCGATCGTATCCGTCTACATCAAGTCTCTGAGCGCCGCTCTTCAAGACGGCAACCCCATCCGCTCTGTGATCACCGGTAGCGCTTCCAACTTTGACGGGCGCACGAATCCCCTGACGACACCAAGCGCCATTGCTCAGGAGGCCCTCATTCGACGCACCTACGAGGTTGCCGGAATCTCCGACTTTTCTAAGACCGGTCTGTTTGAATGTCACGGCACGGGCACGGCTACCGGAGACCCCATTGAAGCTGAAGCGATTGCGAAGGTCTTTGGAGACCAGGGAGTCTACTTGGGCGCGATCAAGCCCAATGTCGGACACTCCGAAGGGGCATCGGGATTGACGGCTGTGCTGAAGGCCACCCTGGCGCTAGAGCATCGGACCATCCCCCCGAATATCAAATACGCGCCCTTGAACCCAAAGATTCCCTTCGAGCAGGCCAAGCTTCGGATCCCGAAGCAGCCGACTCCATGGCCCGCAGGAAGGGCTGAGCGCGTGAGCATCAACTCCTTTGGAGTGGGCGGATCTAATGCCCATGCGATTGTGGAATCTGCGGATAGCTTCTTCGCCTCGCGCGGTGCAACGGTCACAGCAAAGGTAGAGACAGGCAATAAGGCACAGCTGTTAGTCTTCTCCGCCAACACCGCCCAGTCACTGAAGGAGATGGTTGCAGGCTACCAGTCACTGCTGCTTGGCGGTGAATTATCCTCGATCAATCTCGGCGATCTAGCGTATACCCTCGCAACCCGACGAGAACATCTCCCCCACCGATCCTTCGCAATTGCGTCACAGGACAAGTTCGAACTCCCTGTGTCAGTGCCCATTGCTAGCACCGGCAGTAGTCACACCCCATCCCTGGTCATGGTTTTCACTGGTCAGGGAGCGGCCTCGCCTCAAATGGGCCGGGACCTGCTCCTCTCTGACGAAACATACGCCAACAGCATCAAGTCCCTCGACAAGCGTCTGCGCAGCCTTGGCGCCGACTGGTCTCTAGAGGAGGAGCTCTTGAAATCAACCCGCGCCAGCCGCGTGTACGAGGCCGAATTCGCTCAGCCCCTGTCGACTGCGCTCCAGATCGCTCTTGTTGACACACTAGCAGCCGCTGGAGTCAAGCCGTCGGCTGTCGTCGGCCATTCCAGCGGCGAGATTGTAGCCGCCTATGCCGCTGGTGCGCTGTCGGCCCAGGAAGCCATCGCCGTGGCTTACCATCGCGGGGCCACTGCTAGAGCCCAAACAGCCCCTGGGGGCATGGCGGCTGTCGGCCTGGGCTGGGAACACGTGCAGGACTTTCTCACGGAAGGTGTTGTCGCAGCTTGTGACAATTCACTCAACAGCGTGACGCTCTCTGGGGACGCGGACCAGCTGGAGGTTGTTGTGGCTGAAATCAAGAAAGCTCACCCAGATGTCTCAACCACAATGCTAAAAGTCGGGAAAGCGTACCACTCCCATCACATGCTTGCCCTAGGCCCGGACTACCACCGCGCCATGACTGAGTCCGGGGTACTAGGGACGAACCCCTCGATTCCTTTCTTCTCCAGCGTGCGGGGCCAGTTATTGGGAGACACGAAAGCCGACCGGCTTGGCCCGGACTACTGGCAAGCCAACCTGGAGCGGCCGGTGCTCTTCCGTGCAGCTCTCACCGAGATCTTGCGGGCCAAGCAGCAATTCAAGAACCCTGTCCTCCTGAAGATCGGCCCGCACTCGGCCCTCGCCGGTCCTATCCGGCAGACATTAGCCTCCGAGTCGAGCAAAGCTTCGTACATCCCCACGCTGACTCGCCGTCAGAACAGTGTCGAGAGCCTGCTTCAGGCCATAGGCAAGCTCTACACCCTCCACGTGCCGATCGACTTCAAGTCCCTCGTGCCGGCGGGCTCGGTAATCTCAGATCTCCCTCGGTACCCTTGGGATCACAGCCGCCGGTTCTGGTTCGAGTCCCGCGTCGCCAAGGCATGGCGCGAGCGGGAATATGCAGACCACACCCTGCTCGGCGCGCGGGTGCCTGAGAGCACGGATCTGGAGCCCGTTTGGCGGAACTTCCTGAGCGTGGAGACGACGCCGTGGGTGGTCGACCACAAGATCGGGGAGTCGATCGTGTTCCCGTTCGCGGGGTACGTGTCGATCGCCGGTGAAGCGGCGCGCCAGGTCAGTGGGATTGATGATGGAGTCAGTTTTAAGGACGTGGCCGTGAACACGGCGCTGGTACTCGACGAGGAGGCTCCCACCGAGATCGTGACTACTCTGCGCAAGCACCGCTTGACCGACACGCTGAGCAGCGAGTGGTGGGAGTTCAACGTCTCCTCCTACAATGGCCATTCCTGGACGAAGCACTGCTCAGGCCAGGTCCGTGGCGAGGCGCTACCGTACACGGCACTGGAGCAAGATGACGGCCAGGACTTGGTTGAAGAGGAACCACCACTACCGCGCAAGGTTGACGGTCCTCGGTGGTACGAGTCTGCCGCCAAAGAAGGTCTGGTTTACGGACCCAGCTTCGCAACCATGGATCAGATCCGCTCGTCGACCGGCTGGCCACATCGCGCCACCGCCGTCATGCGTAACAGCCGCTGGGGCGACGAGGCACAGTACCACCTCCACCCGATTATCCTGGATACCTGGTTCCAGTTGATGAGTTGCGCCGTCAATGACGGGATCGGCCACGCCTACCGGCGCCTGGTCGCTTCAAGGGTTGACAATCTGACAATTTACCGGTCAGCGGCGGACCATCTCGATCTGAAGGTGAACTGCTGGCCCACAGACGCAGGCTACGTTGGGGAAGGAAGCGTGATGGTAAATGGTAAAACCGTCTTGCACAATAGGGGCTCGCACGCATCCCTGTTTCAGGAGGTTGATGCTTCCGAGGACAAGAGTGTTCCGATCACGGCAAGGTGCCAGTGGGTGCCTCACGTCGACTTCCAGCAGGATCTCGACAAGCTCATCAAGACGTCGCAAGATCACGTCCAGTTCGGGCCGGTACTGGCTGACCTGGCTCAGTTGGCAATTGATCTTGCTAGCAGAATCACCCAGGGCATCGACGTCCCTGATACAGCTGGACATCTGTTCAAGTACATGACGTGGCTTCACCAGACGGCTAGTCCCAACGCAGACGAGCCTGAGAAAGTCACTCTTCGCATCAACGACTTACTCAAGACCCTGGAGGGATCCTCTGCTGAAGCAGCAGCCAAAGCCATAGTTGCCGTATCTGGTGACATGCAAGCATTCCTCGGAGGCGAGAAGTCCGGACTAGAGATCCTGACCACGGACGGGAGATTGGACGCGCTTACCAAATTTCTGAGCGATGTGGACGACTTGGAGTATCTTCTCTGCGTTGCGAACAGCCAGCCCAACCTCCGTGTCCTCGAAGTTGGCGCCGGAACCGGCGAACGCGCCTCCTTGGTCCTAACCACCTTGACTCGTGAGGACGGACACCCTCTATACTCGCAATATGTCGTCGCGGACGCATCGTCCGGCCTGCTGAATAGCGCCAAGGCCCGACTGTCCGACACCGTCAACACCGAGTTCCTCGTGCTGGACATGAACAAGGACCTAGCAGAACAAGGCCTAGACGGTCGGCAATTCGACCTCATCATTGCAACTAATGTTCTCAATGCGTCGACGAACATCGCTTCCAGCCTGCGGAGTCTGCATGGGCTTTTGGCCCCGCGTGGAAGGTTGCTCCTGGAGGAGCCGCGGCCGGGTCTCACGTGGGCCAAATTTGCCCTGGCTGTGCTTCCAAGTTACTGGAACTATGCGTCAGATCTAGATCGTGTCGAGGAGCCTTTTCTCACCGAGACGGAATGGCAGGAGGCATTGGCCGCCGCGGGATTCGGCGATGTGGCGAGCGTTGGCTTCGCATCGGAGCACGCTGCAAATAGCGCTCTGGTCGCGAAACCGCAGGCCTTGAAGACGCCATCAAAACGCATTACCTTGCTGTCCGACCGCACCACCGAGCCAGTCCTGATTGTGCAGGAGCTCAAAAATCGCGGCTATGAAGTTGATCGGTGCTCGCTGAGGGAAGTACCGCCAGCAGACCAGGACGTCCTCGCCGTGCTTGAGGAAGAAGAACCGTTCCTCACGAATCTTGATTCTGCCAAGCTCTCCGAATTCCGGTCGTTCGTGGATGGTCTGGGCAATGCTGGCCTCTTATGGGTGACTCGGCCGTCCAGTGTCGGTTGCACCGACCCGCGATACGCGCAAGTGATCGGACTGACCCGAGTGCTCCGCGCCGAAATGGAGGTAGCTCTCGGAACGCTCGAGGTGGGCAGGGTCAGCTCGCCGGCCGATGCTGTTCGCGTCTTGGATGTGCTGGCCCATTTTCAGGGGCGAGAGAAGGACGGTGCCATGGGTCCAGATCATGAATATGTGATCCACGACGGCCAGACGCTCGTCAACCGCATCTTCCCCTTTTCTTTAGAAAAGGAGCTGCTGACGTTGGACGCATCTGAGGAGGCAGTGCTGACGCAGACTGATCCCGGGCGCCTCAACACGCTGACCTGGTCGACCAAGCAGGTGCAGTCGCCCAAGGAGGATGAGATCGAGGTCGAGGTGTATGCAAGCGGGTTAAATTTCAGGGTGGGTTCTTCCTTTCCTTCCGTGTTTCACTGTGAATACCAGCAAAAGCAATGCTTACGCTCTCTTAGGATGTGCTCGTGGGCATGCAAATTATTCCAGGCCGCCACGAGCCCAAGTTTGGCTACGAAGCAGCCGGCATTGTGAAACGAGTTGGGAGGAACGTCACAAAACTTCGCCCCGGTGACCGCGCCGTCGTGATTGGCATCAACACTTTCACGACCACTCTGACAGGCCATCAAGCCTACTACGAGAAACTGCCAAATCATATCAGCTTTATCGAGGGCGCCTGTATCCCTACCATCTTCATCACCGCCGTCTATGGACTCATGGACTTGGGCCATCTCTCAAAGGGCAAGGTGAGAATATGCTCAACTTCCTGTCTCAACATCTCTTCGTTGAATGATGCTGCTAACCCGCAAACAGTCCGTCCTCATCCACAGCGGCGCCGGAGGAGTTGGTCTAGCAGCCATTCAAGTGGCCTGTATGCTCGGTGCCGAAATCTATACCACTGTCGGAAGCGAGACGAAGGTAGGATACCTTATGGAAACATTCGACATCCCGCGCAACCGCATTTTCAACTCTCGCAACGCCTCCTTTGTGGACGACCTCCTGCGGGAGACCGGCGGCAAGGGCGTTGACGTGGCGCTGAACTCGCTATCAGGCGAACTGCTGCACGCGACCTGGAAATGCGTGGCCAAGTGGGGGACCATGGTGGAAATAGGAAAGCGAGACCTTCTGGGCAATGCCACGCTGGACATGGCGCCGTTCTTGGCGAATCGCAACTACTGTTGTCTGGACGTCGACCAGATGAGAGCGGAGAGGCCGGAGATGAGCACACGGTATGTTTGGCCCTGAATGAATTTTCAGTGACGAGGGGATGTATCCAGAGCTGACACACTCTTCCGACTGCATCAGGCTATTGAAGTTCACCATGGAATGCTTCGAGAAGGGCATCTTTAAGCCAATCCGGGTGGACCGGGTGTTCGACGCCCCATCCGTCCTCGACGCCTTCAGATACATGCAGCAAGGCAAGCACATCGGCAAGATCGTCCTCGAGATACGCGATAGCACGGAGGGGAAGCTTCTCGTTACCAACGTCGAGTCGACGAAGCGTGCTCGCCTTCAGCTTGATGAGACAGGCTCGTATCTGCTTGTTGGTGGACTGGGCGGCCTCGGTCGCTCGATCTCAATCTGGATGGTTCAGCACGGCGCCAGACACATTACCTATCTATCCCGCAGTGCGGGTCGTGGGAAGCACGATGCGGACTTTGTCCGTGAGATCCAAAGCATGGGGTGTAGCGTCAATCTCGTGGCGGGGGATGTCAGCAAGGCGGAAGACGTTGCGCGCGCGATCGATACGGCCAATTCCACGGCTGCCTTGAAGGGTATCGTGCAGATGTCGATGGTGCTGTGTGACCAGATGTTCGAGGGAATGAGCATCGAGGACTGGAACACCGTCACCGCGCCCAAGGTCCAGGGGACATGGAACCTCCACGAGATCACCACGGCCCGCGGAATTGACCCGGACTTCTTCCTCCTCTTCAGCTCCCTGTCGGGAATTCTGGGACAGATTGGACAGGCCAACTACGCCAGTGCGAATACCTTCCTCGATGCGTTTGTGCAATACCGCGCGAGCGCGGGTCTCCCGGCTGCGGCGATCGATCTGGGCGCGATGGAGGGCGTCGGGTATCTGTCTGAGAATCAGGAGCTGCTGAGAAAGATGCAGGGAACCGGGTGGAGGCCTGTGCAGGAAGTGGAACTTCTCAATGCGCTAGAGCTGGGGATGAAACCCACCTCAACCGAGACCTTCATCCTCGGTGTGGCTCCTAGCCTCCCTCTCAGCCATCCCGAGAGCAGCGCCCGCCTGCGCCGCGACACCCGGCTCGCCGCATACCATAATATCGGCCGCGGCGCCGGCCAAGCCAGCAGCTCGGCAACCGACGGATTGCGCGCGTTTATTGGCACAGTCAAGAAAGATCCGAGTGCGCTTCGATCCCCGGAGACGGTGGAGATGCTGGCCACGGAGATCGGGAAAAAGTTGTTCGGTCTGTTGTTACTTGGAAATTCAGAAGTGGACATCACGATGAGCACGGCGGATATGGGGCTTGACTCGCTAGTGTCAGTTGAACTGAGGGCCTGGTGGAAGCTGACTTTTGGTTTTGATATTAGTACACTCGAGATGTTGAGCCTAGGGACGTTGGAGGCACTGGGAAGACGGGCGGTCGATGGGCTAAGTCAATTGTATGGGGTGTAAGGGCCCTGTTCGATCAATGAGGTAGTATTGTATGGATGAGGTGTTGTAAGTGGGGAACCTTCTATACTATAAGTTAAATACTAGACTCGCTAGGTACACGGGTGAGTGGTACTTACGGTGGTACTCAACTATACCAAGTTCGGTTCGGCGGGGAACGGATCATTTATCCGTAGACGAATCCACCGATCACATCCCTTCCTTGATCCTGTACTCCGCGTGGTTGATCTCAACTGTACCACCTCATCTCCACCCCCACGCCTTATTTATTATCATCCGTGTCCCTCGTTTTGTCTACCACCTTCCATAGCTACCCTCTGACTCCGCTCCCAATGAGTCTCAGGCCCCTTGCCCCTGCTCCACGGCCGTCTGCCGCTCACAATCCCTCGAATCCGAATCCGAATTCGAATTCTCCGTCCGAATCACCAATCTCGGTACCGAAACTTCGAAAGGCATCCGCAGCATGCACTCACTGCAAGCGCCAGAAGGCCAGGGTATCATGCTTCCATGCTTCCATTCACTTCAATTCTCTTTCACTGGACCCCCTTCATGCTGACGGATCCATAATAGTGCCAAATAGCCGACGGAGCCACGGCCTGCGAACGGTGCACGAAGCGGGAACTCTCCTGCGTGTTCGAACTGGACGATGATATGCGGCGGAAGCTGGCCCACAAACGGAAGATCGCGAAACTCGAAGAGGAGCGGGATGTCTTGCTTCAGCTGGTGCAGACGCTGCAGGACAGCCCGGACGCCAAGGCCACCCAGCTGCTGAATCTCATCCGCAGCAAGGCGCCCCTCGACGAGATCATGCTCTACATGGACCACAACGTGTCGGAGCGGGACCGAGAGACGAGCCCGCTGCTGGCGGAGATCTACGAGCGAACCCACGGGTCGAAGGAGGACAATAAACGGACCGCCTCCCACCCGGCACTCAGCAATTCAGCGCTTGATCGACATCCCGGTCTACCGGGTGCCTGCCGCGCCTTGGACCACGGTCACGAAAGATGACGAGCTAGTGTCCCATCTGATCTCGCTGTGGCTGACCTGGAGTCATCCGTTCTACAACTGGATCGATAAAGAGCTCTTTCTCCGTGACGCGCAAGCGGGCAAGCTGGACTCGAAGTTCTGCTCCCCATTCCTGGTGAACTGTATTCTGGCCGAAGCATGCGTACGATGATCCATGGTACTTCTTCTTTTGACTTGGTTCTTGGTGGACTAATGACTCGTGGAAACAGTTTCACTCGGACTACCCGGACGCGTATGCAGACCCCAACGACCCAGATTTCAAGGGCGTTCATTTCTACAAAGAGGCGCGACGGCTCTATGAGAAGATCGAAGGTCGACTCGATTTACCAACCATGCAGGGGTGCGGCGTTTTGTTTGTCTGGTGAGTATGATCGCCCCCATGAATTTGTAGAAGACAGTGTACTAATAGATTGATCCCATAGCATGGCGGCGATGGGCAAAGACCGTGTGGGGTGGTTGTACCTCGGCCACCTGCGCAGTATGGCAGATGATTATACCAAGAAGCACCCCCCGCCGCCCGCCGGAGTGACTCCATCCAGGGAAAGCCGGGCGATTGATAATACCATCTGGGGGATCTACAATCTTACCGCGTGCGTTCACTCTCCAAACATGATTTCTCGTGACCGGTCACAACTGACATTCGTCCCAGGACCGCTTCGATCTCGCTAATGAAGCATTTGGCGATCGACCGGCCGAATCGACCCCTGCTTCCATGCGACCATCCCGCCGACGACACCTGGACGCCGTACCCGCGCCGAATGGATCCGGTTCAATCCCACATCCCCTGCGTGCTGAACAGCTTCTGCGCGCTGAGCGAGATCAACGTCGATGCCAACCGCAAGGTCTTTGCGAGTGGGCACAAGCCCCCTCGGGACGAGCTGGAACAGACCCTGCAAGACGTGCAAACCCGACTCGATGAATGGAAGAGCAAACTACCTCCATGCCTGGCCCGGGAGAACCTGAGCGTCCCGCAATCGCTAAGCTTACAGTAAGCGGCCCCTACCTCTTTCAATATCCCCCACCACACACCAACACCCCCCCACCACAAAACCACCACTAACCCACCTTTTCCCCGGGGATACAGCATGCTCTACCACACCGTCGTAATCATGCTCTGGGGCCTCCTGAAAAAAGAAGACGCGGACCCGGACAGCACCGAGACAAGCACAATCTCCCGGGAGACGGCGCGCGGCACCTGCGTGGCCGCCGCGCTGGCGATCGTCGACCTGCTGCGCACGCACCGCGCCACCTGGGGGCCGGACTACATCTCGCCGACGACGATCCACTGGGTCAGCATGGCGCTGTTCACGCTGGTCGAGGAGCTGGACCACGGCGCCGACCGCCGCACCGCCTTCACGGAGCTGTGCGTCATCGCCCGCACCTTCGCCCGCAAGTGGACCCTCATGAAGGGCATCCTGCGCATGCTGCAGGTCTCGGCGCAGAAGGACGGCGTCGCGCTGCCGTCCGAGACCCAGGCCCTCTTCGTCGACTTCTCCGAGAAGATGTGGGGCCCCGCCCAGCGCGAGCGGTTCCGCAGTCTGTATCCGAACCCGAGCGCGTTGGCGGAGACCGGTGGCGACCGCACCAGGGAGGAGGCGGAGCTGGATAGCTTTCTGGAGAAGTGGGATACCCTTGAGATTCGGGAGGAGCAGCGGGGCTAGGTCGGTGGAATGGACTTACGGCTACATGGAGGGAAAAGCGGTATTGGTAGCTCTCATCCTCTCTTCATGCTATATAGATCATGAATACGTTGTTGAGGTAATCCCCTGAACAGATTGGGGGGGTCATCGTCGATACCTAAATCGTGTCATTCTTGGACAGAAAGCACCGCTCTACCGAAGCTACTGCTAACCCCCCCCCTCACAGCATCTCCTTCGGCCCTTTCTCCCGCACCGACACCTTCACCAAAAAATCCAACGGCTTCACAAACCACTTGTTATCCGTGTCCCACGTGCGGTTGACGAGCTCGAAGTCGAAATCCCGGACCATCTGCGGGATCAGCTTCGACATCTCCAGGATGGAGATGTGCTTGCCGAGACATGTGCGCGAGCCCAGGCCGAACTAGCATTGCATCAGACATCAGTCATTATTCCGATCACCTCGGTGAAAGGGGGGAAGGCTTACAGGCATATACATCTCATTCATCAGCTGCAAGCGCGCCGGATCCCTATTCTCCGCCTCGATCCACCGTTCGGGCCGGAAGCTCCGCGCATCGGGGAACACTCCCTCGTCGTAATGCGCGACCCAGGTGTTCACGCCCACGACACTCCCCTCCGGGAAACGGTACCCGCTGATCTCGGCCCCGCCGGCCGGCACCTCGCGCCACAGCGGCAGGCCCGTCGCGCTGTGCAGCCGGATCGCCTCCTTCATGACTGCCTGCAGGTACGGCATGGCCTGGCTTTCTTTGAAGGTCACGCGGGCGCTGCAGCGGTTTTGGGCCGTGAAGTCATCGATCTCCTGGCGTAGACGCGCCAGCGTGGCCGGGTTGCGTAGGAGGTGGTACAGAATGGCGGACAGGCTGATGGCGGTGGTGTCGGAGCCGGCGATGATGTTGGAGTTGCCCATCATGAAGAGGTGGTAGTCTGTGACTTTCTCGGGGTCTTTGTCGCGGGCCAGCGCCATCTTTTCGAGGAAGTCTTGCGTTTTGAGCGGGGTGGTGCTGGTGGTGGCTTCGTCTTTCTGTGGGTTGGTCTTGCGTTGCTCGTTGAGTTGTTGGATCTTTGCGGCGACATATCGCATCACAAAGGATCGGCCGGCCGGCCCAGTGGAGGTGAAGCGGCTGAGCGGTTCGTAGACACGGGGGTGCCATTCGGGGTAGATGCCGATCAGCGTGCTGTAGGCCATGACTTTCTGGAGGGCGCCGATTGCGCCTTCGATGTCTTCGCCTTTGTCGAGGAAGCCTTGTGGTTCTCTGGGTTAGTGGTTGTATGACTGGAATAGGACGGAGGGCGTACCGAAGCGCTGGCCGAAGGTGATATCCCCGATCACGTCGAAGGCGTAACATTGCAGCCAGTGGTGAAGGTCGACGGTTTGCCCGCTCCGCGCGAACTCGGTGAGTCGGTCGCGGAAGATGTCGGCGCATTGGTCGGCGAATTCTTCGTAGTGGAGGAGGGAGCTCATCGAGTAGAGGCTGGAGAATCGCTTGCGGGTTTCGGCTTGAGGGGGTCCACCGCTTTAGCAGAGATCTCTTTGAGCCATTTCACATTAGACCAGGTAGTACGTACAGTGTCTCTTGATGTTGCAATCCGGGAACAGAGTCCACCGATCAGGCGACGGATGCTTCCAGCCCTCGTACCAGGCGGACTTGGGGAACCGGCTCCCCGTGCCATAGACCGTCTTCACGGCGGCCCGCTCGCTGATACTGTAGTGGCCCGGGGCGATCCGCACGACGGGGCCGTAGCGCGCATGGAGACTGAGGTTGTCGGCCTCGAAGTGGCCTTTCCAGACTCTACTGAAGTACCAGAGTCGGGTGAACCGGGCGAGAAATGGGCCCGGGATGGACGTCAGGGAGGGACTTTTCCATGTTGTGTAGAGGAGTTGGAGGATGGTTTTGGTGAAGTAGATCAGGAGGGGAAGGCAAGCAAGAAGGAGCAGATTCATCGTGGCGTGGTTTCTGAGGGATCAAGTGAAGTGCGACGTTGACTGGGAAGTAATGTCATCTTATAAATAATTTGCGGTGTGGAGCCGGTACAGCAGCGAAAATCAACCCAACGATTAGTGCTGACACAGCTGATGCAAACTAAAGCTTAGTGGCGTAGGCTGACCCATCATATGTCCTTGGCTGGGCAAGATCAGCTCTAAGTTGTGTGTTGTCTCAAAAAAAGGGTCAAAGGGTTGAGGCGATGATGATGATGGCAGGATGGAGAAGATGGAGGTGGGGAGCCGTAGAGTGCGGGGAAAGCCGCATTGTCCCAAGTTTATGTTCGAGCCTGGCCGCATAGCCTCCTTTTATGCTGCTGCTTCCTTCCGATCGTCGGCTCCACCCTGCCTATGAGGGGGTTATCCAGATCAATTCATGCACCGGGGTTTATGCTTTACCAGCAGCATTCAGGTACCCCTGCACTCTACTGTACTTGTCACAAAAGGTAATCAACTATCGAATCGAATTCAACCCATGACTCCGTACCCACTTTCAGTTTTATACATACATCGATAACGTCATTAGAAGCGCCACGCACATACCACTACCCAGGCAACAGAGAAAAGAAACACGCCAAGAGCCAAGAACAGACAGGAGCCGTCGCAGCGCACGTTATACCGAGCCACCATGTTTAGAAGAGGCGAAGGATCCCGGACAAAGTCAGCCCTTAAGACCGACGATCACCCCAGAGGCCAACGATCCCCATCGCCAACGCCAGCCCCGAGAAGACCGCGCGCACCTGCTGCAGCCGCCGTTCCGTATTCATCTCCGTCTGCACGCTCTCGCCGTTCTCCTCCGCCTCGACCACCACCAGATCCTCCTCCTTCTTCTGCTGCTTGGGAGCGGCCGCCTGCGTCCAGAACCCGGTGTCGTGCAGCACCGCCTGAAACCAGGCCTTGACGCCCGCCTGGCGGTGGAACCAGAAATCCATGCCGTAGGTGCCGATGGTCGAAGCAACGCACATCCAGATCAGATAGGGGTGTTTGCGGTGGCGCGGAGAGATGCTGTACGCAAACAGCAGGCACCCGTTGGCGATATTGGTGAGCCGGATGCCGTGCTTGCGGTTAAGGCGTTTGATCTCGCTCAGCGAGCGCGAGCCGGTCGCCGAGGTCGGGAGTTGGGCCAGCGCGGGGATGGCGATCGTCGAGGCAGAGTACGAGATGCCCTGCGATGGTTGCGTCGTGTCAGTGCAGTGCTACAAGGAGGGGTGGGTGCATGATGCGACAGCATTCGGGTATGGAGTGGAGGAAAGGTTGGATGATCCAAGGCTTCGAGTTGGAGGATAGCGTGGCGATCGCAGCAAACATACCGTGAGCAGGCCCAGGGAAACGGTTCCCACAAACTTGGAAACGGTAATGGGACACGCCATGTTGATGCTGGTGGGTATCTATCTGTGTAGACAACAAAAGGCTGTGGAATGGTAAATGAACTGAATCGGATTGAGTTGGCGTGGTGATGAATTGCACCAGGCAGGGTGAAAAAGGAAAAAACAATGACGGAGTTGCCCGGACCTGCGAGAGTGAGTGACGTTGCGGGTCCGGCCTTGGCGGCCTGAGGCTTATCAGTGCCTGATTAATGCCTGAAGGCCGCACTCTCATTGGCTGATCGGTAGCTCCACACAGCACTTCCTATAATTACAGCATAGCATTGGTAACCGCAGTACTTGGTTCACAAGAAAAATACCTAGACAAGTGATTTGATATGAAATATTTCCAGATGTGACTAAAGACCTGATCGCGTTATAGAATGTTTCCAGAACAACAAAAAAAGATAACTCAAGCACCCTCAATCTAAGATCGACCCATCAAGTCCGAATCGCTTCTCTGGACGTGATACCAATAGGATTGCCGAGGAACCATTGTGTAAAGGTCTTGAACCCAGCTATGTTGAGGAATCTAAAGTCGTAGGATTTAGTGCGGCGAATCAACAGTTCCTGGCCATCAAAGTATGCCTCCATGACACGCGGATGCCGTTGGTTGAGCGAAAGGAGCAGGACCTATTATCATATATCAGACTTTTTTGCAATCAGTATGCTAAGACCAATCTAAACATACTGGTGCAATCATATCATTGACAAACATCTTCTGTTTGAGCTGGTCCAACATGATCCGAATGACAGTCAATACTTCCCCGCAAAGCAGATGATTGTCATCTACGTCGAGGTCGTTGTGCATGATACATTTCACATGCGGCTTGGAGGCCTTAGCAACATGAAGTATCGATAAGGTGCCATATTCAGGTTCCAACGTCCGGTACAGATTGCGAATATTGTAATTACCGATCCTGGTGACACGGAATGGATGAGTAAACAGAGGCCCAAACATGGGGTACTACCTTTGGTACTAGGGGCATACTGTTTGCTTGACCACGTTCGATGAACCTCTGGAAAGTCGACAATCATTTCGCTCACGTATGACTTAAGATAAAGGTAGATCAGTCGTCCGCGCTCACTAGACAGGGTCAGCTCGTCGGTGTTGTATTCTCTGTCGACAAATTCTGGCGTTGGCTCCGGCATGTCACTAGGGGCAAAAGAAGTGAAAAACTTTGGTGCGAGCGAGTCACCAGCATCAAGGCTTAGAGGCAAAGCTCGAACTCTGCACCGTGTCAGCACACTTTGGTCTAAGGTATGTATATCTTGCTCTTCCAGGGCTTTGATGTCCCTTTCGACACGGAGGAGTGCTTTACGGAGATTGAAGCGGTCGCGGGGCTCGGCGATGGGCTCCATGACCGCGATCTATGAGATGGATATGATGCAACGATGAGAGTCACAGGAGTTCTGGAGCAGCGGCTGTCTAGTCTGGTTGATACAAGTCAAGGATCTACAGTCTTGAATGCCCGAAATGCGCGGGTCTGCGAAAGTGACGTTGCGCTTGGCGGCCTGAGGCTACCATACGCCTTCTTGATGCCTGAACGCGGTACTCTAATGAGATGGTGAACAATGTTCCTCTATATAGTACTTCCTATGCGGCACAGCATAATATCTGAAGTTTAGTACTACTATACGGCAGGTGGAGATAATGTCTAGATAGGTAATGTCCAGATACTTGACCTCCCATACAAAGTCTCATTACGCTGGATCCTGCTAGGGTCGAATACTTGAGCGGATTGCGAACGCCAAGAAGTGGTCATTCCTTGACTATACAAAGGCAGATGATATTCTTGGTATCGACAGGACTCTCTCGCCACTAGATTTGTGGTGCTGAGCTATACGTGCTTACTTTTCCGGTGTATGTCCTGCTAATCTTGATTTATCAGCAGTCTTGCCCGAGTTCCACTTCCAAACTATAAAAGCCGCAATAAAAGCACCGAGTCTGCGGCAGTCGAGTTTACTCTTCTTTTACAACCGTGCTCTCTGAGCTCCTGTATCTATCCAAATTCGAATTCCATGATGTCGTCTCTCCCTGAGACTTATCAAGCGTTCCGCCGAACAGAAGGCACTGCACCCTTGACAATCGAGCAGGTCACAGAAAAGCTTCCGCCCATTGAGTCGCACGATGTCCTAGTTCGCATCCATGCAGTCTCGCTCAACTACCGCGACATCGCCATGCTGGACAACACTTATCCGCAACCCTGCCTTCCCCGCGGAATTCCCGCCTCGGATTGTGCCGCCGAGGTTGTATCCGTCGGATCTGCTGTCAGTGGCTTCAAGCCAGGCGACCGTGTTACCGCAATCTGGGACCTGACCAACGTGACCGGAACCGAGGAGCGGGCCCCAGAGGCTCTTGGTGGGGATGTTGATGGTGTGCTGCGACAGTATGCCGTGTTCAATGAACAAGTGCTTGTGCACTTGCCTGAGCACCTGTCCTGGGAAGAGGTAGGTCACCGCAGATTGGGACCAAGGTCGAACATGTTTGTAATGTTGATATAGGCATCTTGCATCACTTGTGCCGGAACCACGGCTTGGAACGCTCTTGAATTCCCTAGAAACAGTGGCACAGCTCTGCTCCAAGGTAAGCGGCCCTTCCAATGGAAGGTTTCAAGAAGCACAGGCTAGATACTGATTGAAATGTCCAGGCACCGGTGGTGTGAGCATGTTCGCGCTTCTGCTCTGTATTGCAGCGGGCCTGCAGTCCATCATCACCTCATCTTCCGATGAGAAACTTGATCAGGCTCGGTCGTTGGGCCCCAACATCAAGACCATCAATTACAAGAAGGTGGACAAGTGGGAAGACGAAGTGCTCCGTCTTACCAACGGTCGCGGTGCTGATGTCGCTATTGAGAACGTGGGCCCTGCCACCGTGCGGCAGAGTCTTGCCTCTCTTGCCCAGCGGGGTACCTTATCCTTGGTGGGATTCCTTGGAGGACTTGAGGCGAAAGAACTCCCCGATCTGTATCTCCCCGTCATGGTCAAGCGAGTGACTATGAGGTTCGTTCCCCCTCCCTTACATGTATGAGGATGGGTTCTGATGCAGATGCTTATTCCAGGGGTATCGTTGTGGGTTCCAAGCTCGATCAACAGGCTTTGTGTGACTTTTTGACGGAAAAGAAAGTATCCCTCAAGCCTTTGGTTGACGCTGTCTTTCCATTTGATCAGTCCAAGGAGGCTTTTGCTCGCCTCAAGTCTGGAAAGCACCAGGGAAAAATTGTCATTACCCTCTAGGGTGTGAGATGTAGTGAAATGTAGCGAAGGATCTTGTGAATGAGCTATTCCAGGGCGTTACTTAGCATGAGTATCAGGTGGACCTCTTGAATCCAAGCGCAGATGTAGGGTGTGTTGCGTCTACTTAGGCAGTAGTACTCAGGTAAGTACCTAGCCTGAGGTCGAGTGGGCTTACCACTTTAGGCAATTGCCCCCTCTCTCCAGGCTGGCACTGCACCTCTACCCGTGACCGAGGACGGTTCCAACTCTTCAAGGTTCCATGCTTCCGGTCCGTTTCCGCTTCATCTCCACTATTCTCTCTCTGCCCACTGCTCAATCATCATCATCTACTTGATGTCTATCATTCGTAATCTTGCTCCCCTTCCCAGTCATCGTCTTCCATTTCTCTCGTGTCGGTAACGGAGGGTGTTGATGGTCTCGAGATGCCTGCTGCGACCGACCGATCGGAAATCATGTGCAGCGACAGGTACTGAGAGCTCAAGGTGATGTGCTGCTCCAAATCAACTTGCTGGCGTAATCGCTTAGTGCTCTGGTCTGCATTCGTCATCAATATCTTGAACTGAGCTCTCAGCGAGTCATCCTGTACAATCGCACGTAAGTATTCGATGACGGTCGTCAGTTCCTGGAAGCTCATGTGGAGGTCTTTATCAAAGCAACACACCGCATCGATGATGCAGTATACGGTTACATCTGAGGGGAACTGGCGAGCTAGTTGATGCAACAACACACAGAGCTTGCCCAAATCGTGTTCTTCCAGCTGCTTGAGCAAGGCTCTTGAGTTTATGAACTCAATGCTCAGAAGGCCCCGTCGACGCAAGATCAGTAGAAGTTGACAGACGAGACTGCGAACCAGCCCGTTTGGTCCAGCCCAATGGTCCTTCGATGACTTGGTACAATGCAATCCGCAGAAGAAGTGTATTACCACATCCTCCGGTCGCACTTCCGCCATGCTCAACACAAATGTTGCACAGAAGACGGAGATAGGAGTGACGTTGTGGAGTGCAAAGGATCGGAGGTTCGCATCAACAAGGAGCAGGTCTGGGTGTTCTCGATTCATCCATTCCACGAAACGAACATTTTGCAACACGGACTGTGCCTGGCTTTGCGTCTGTGCGTCGAATGTTATGTTCTTTCCTAGAACAATCTCCAAATCGTCATTGGGCTGCCCGAATGCTGCACTGTAATCAGGCGGCTGGCCTCCATTTGAGGGCGATTGAACCAGAACTTCCAAGAGCCGAGAGAGGGAGACTACTGCCGCGGAGCTTCGTTCATCCCTGCGAGGAGAGCCTTCAGTCTCGGCCATATAAAGACGTTGCTGAAGTTGTAAGTTCAAGCTCCTCTCTTCTACGTATTGCAGTCAGCTTCTGAATCAGGTCAGCTTGACAAGAATCGCTTACTCCTCCAATCCTCGAGCAAGAATTGCAGCATTTGGTTCCTAGCATCCTGGCTGTTACCCATCATCCGTGATTGGGTCTCTATGAAATGGTTCAGCCTCTCCTCCTCTCTTCGAATCAATTGGATGATCTCGAGGTGCCGTTTCTCCCCGGCCTCAATCCCCGTCTTGACCTGTCTGACATTGATTGAGACGTTTTGTAGGATACCGTCCGTGTTCTGAGCGAACCTTTGGACCTCAGTCAACCCTCCGGATATCTCCTCGATTCCGCTCTTCACAACCTGCACGTCAGCATTAATTTGGCGTGTGTTGATCTCTGTTTCCTTTTGGGTCCAACGCATGACATGAACCTCGTGATGCGTATCCCTTGAATAGCGCTCAATCGCTTCTATATGCGTGTCTCGACATCTCTCAGCAGCGAGTGAGAGCATATCCGAAGCTTCTTTGACTCGCTGTAATGCTTGTTCTGGAAATTCATCATGCCTTCGAACTTTGGAGTTCGATGTTATTCGGAAATGCCTCTTTTCTTCCACGGTCCCGTTGCGATCCAGATGGCTTTTTGCAGGCAGAGAATTGAGAATAATCTCGATCGCATCGACGATGGCAATATAGAGATCCTTTGTGTGCTGGCTCACTTCCGGATCAGTATGGAAACTTCGCCGTTTGCGCTTCACTTCCACGATAGCGCGTTGGAGTTCATGAAATGTGGCGATTATTCTCTGCCTTCTTTCTGCCGACTTTGCTGCCAACTATATCAAAGAGTCAGCTGTGTACAGATTACATCTCATTATCTTACCTCCACGCCAGACTTACATTCAATGCAACCGCGATCCCAACTTTCACAACAGCTAGTCCGTAGCTGTCAGGGATGATATTAATCCAGGGATCGATCAGTTCCCGATTCTCTCCAACCTTCAGCCATGCCTTAGCGAAGATTGCACGCGCTCCTCTCTCTTTGGCGGGTTGCCAGTCCCTTTCAGCTTCCGTGACTCTGTCGAAGACTGCCTCCCATGCTGAAAAATCCTCCGGCTTTGCTCCAAGGATTCTTTGAACGTGCTCTTTGAGTACAGCCTCTAAGTTTCTATACCGATGTTATTTCTGAACCTTGCCCACCGGAACTCTTGCCACGGGCCCTGTTCAAAGATGTGCAGTTTGAGTTCCTTTAACCTTTAACGCCGATCAGAGAAGAAATATGCCTACCTGTACGGTTTCGCACTCTCAAACTGAGCTCGCTGGTCATTATATTCCGACCAACCTCCAAGACCTTGGTGCACCTTCACCCCCTCGTCGCTAATAAATTTCGCTGACGTTGCGGCTGCCGCGTCGCCAGCTCGATAATGACTTACTTCCATAGCAAAGTACTAGGGTAAGAAGTAGTTCTGATTTGCTTTGACGCTCATAGGGACTAACAGAACACTATAGAGTCAAGAGATGGGGTGAGCTCGCTTTCAATGCAGAAGACAGCAGCGGGCTCAGCTTCTTGGCGCTCCGATCCTTCAGGGTACAGCCACGAGCAAGGCGGACTCTATTCTGGTTGACCGACTGACTAATTCGGCCTGTAGCTGCCTTGTTCTCTGCGACTGGGTCTTCACATCTCAAATAGTCATTGGATGGAAGATAATTCAGAGAAGGGATTGTCGTGTGAGTTGCGGTTGAAAAAGACACCAACGCGAGAGTGCGGGGGAAATCGTCCCAGCCTTGCCGTCGGTTTGCTCAAGTCACGCTTGGCCACCTTTAATGTGGCATTTAAGGGGCGTAGGCGCTTACGCCTCGTATTCAGTGATTCGAGTGATAAATTCTAGCATCGAAAGCCGCCGTGGTCTTTTTTTCTTTCTTATTGTCCGAACGTGCACTTTTCTCGCCCAGAAACTTTGTTCTACAGTCCTGATTTCACCTGCCCTGCCACAGATGGATACTCTTCTTGTGTCGGAGAAGCCTCCACCACTGAGATTTGACCCAAGCGGCGGAAATGTCGTGAAGCATAAGCAGGACCTCAAAGAAGAGGTCGTAGGGACTCGACAGATTTCCGACAAGCCCAATGATATCGCAGAGCGCAGTCCTGACTTACCGGCGCCACGTATCAATGCCAGCGACCAAGCAGAACATCCTGTGTCGGTGACAAGAGACATTCCAAATCCGGATCCTGACAGTACGCCATACGATAATGCCAGGAGCAACGAACGATATAACAGTATAGGGGCGTTACCGGATCAAGACGACTGGCAGGACAAAATCAAAAATCTGCCCAGAATCCCCGCTGTCAAAATGATGAACTTTGACCAGTTCAAGAATCGGCATGGACTGGAGAATGGCGTCCACATCATTGAAGTTCTCCGGGCCGGGTCGGGTACGAGAAACGAGATAAACAACTCGCAATTGGAACACACCAGACAGGCACAGGGCCATACCGCAGAGAGCCCTGATCTACAGGGAACCTGGATTCAGCGGGTTCGAATCCAGTCGGAGCCCATCACGCGGTACATTCAATATGTGGCGGGCGCCAGTGGCATGGATGTCACGCGGCCATGGACTTTCTTTCGGCCATTTCACTTTTTCATTGTGTTTCGCTCAAAGATGAAAGAAGCACTCGAGAATTTGGAAGAGACATGGGCTTACGCCGAGAGGCTGGAGTCTTCTGGTCTGAAGCAAACGGCAATAGTGACAAGGGAGACACCGCCGGTTCAGGACAAGAAGGCTGGTGATGAGACGGATGAAAAGAAAGAAGCGGAGATGGATCCCACTGGCCCGGAGATGAGCAGTATCACCGCGTTGAGACATATGCGCTGCTATGTAGAATTTGTGGATAAGGAGATATATCCCCTATTCGAGCGCTTGAGAGGTTCAACACCACAAAAGATCCGCTTCGGTGATCTTTGGTTGCTTCTTAAATATGACGAAATGCTTTACTCTCCGCCCGAGGGAGAGGAGTCTCAGAGCTCGAGCCAGCCGATATCACCAAGATCAAAGTCGATGACTCAAACCGCCTGGAAACTGTGTGGAGAATGGATTCCTACCCCCAAAGATGGACATCCAAACGACCTTGGCGAAGAATCCCAAGAGTACCAAGCAATCTGCTACCATGTTGACCACGACGGTGAATCATACGGAGCAGTCAAGCACGTCTTCAAGATTCAGTACTTCGAAGGAGAGAGGGATATCACGTCGCTGCCTGTTTACCCGCTGCGGTTTGCAAAGGACTCCGAGCAGATCTTTGCGCGTCTAAAAGCACAAGGCGAGAGATTCCAATCACTGATTCATGAGCGACACCTGCGTTATGAGGGGTGGACGGTCATCAACACTCCTACCGGAAAACTGATGACGGACTTCAAGACACCAGAGCACATCGAGAGTGAGGTGATCATTGACTTGGCCGAGGGATACCAGCGGTACCCGGCATGCAAGCCCGAGTTTGTCAGATATTACCTGGACTCAGACTTTTGGTCACTGGGCGAAGATAATATCGAAATCAAACACTGGTCTGATGCGAAACGTACAAGGTTACTTCATTCCACCAAGGAGAGATTGGTTCTCGGAGACTGCTCATTCAACCGAAATTTCAACAATTGGCTGAAGAGTCAACCATCCTTCCAAATCGGTCTCGACACGAAACTTACTCAAGTCACGGGGGATGATGTTTCTCTTTTCCCGCGACGTCTCATGGCGTATGTATTACGAGAACGAAAGTTTGTGATGGTGGATATCTGGTCTCTACAGCCAGTAATGGCGCATACAAATGCCTTCCGAGATTTGAAAATCAAGCCCAGCCACAAGCGCACGGTGATGTCGCTGGTGCAGGCGCACTTCAAGCGTGAAGAATGGCGCAAGAAACACCCGCGAGTGGACCTCAGTCAAGACCTCATTCCGGGCAAAGGGAGCGGCTTGATTATCCTGCTGCACGGTGCCCCTGGCGTTGGTAAAACCGCCACCGCAGAAACCGTTGCGCAGGCGGCCAAAAGACCACTGTTTGCTATCACCTGCGGTGACTTGGGACTAACGCCTAGCGAGGTCGAGGAAGCGCTCAGCAATATTACCCGCCTGGCGCACCTCTGGGGCTGTGTGCTACTCTTAGATGAGGCTGATATCTTCCTGTCGAGAAGGGGGATCACTGACTTCAAACGAAATGCTCTTGTTTCAGGTATGTTGTTGTGGTTGCTTAAAAAAATCTCTGGTTCGGCGGACTGACTCCTGTCCAGTCTTTCTCCGTGTACTCGAATACTATAGCGGTATTCTCTTCCTGACCACGAATAGGGTGGGGTCGATTGACGAGGCATTCAAGTCCCGCATCCATATGAGCCTGTACTACGAGCCACTGAAACGGAATCAGACCTTAGCCATCTTCCAGACCAATATCGATCGGCTTAAGAGAATCGAAGCCAAAAGAAAAGAGCAGCCGCAGGTCGAGGAATGGAGGGAACCACCGTTGACAATCAACGAGGATGGCATTCTAGACTATGCCGGATGGTACTTCGATTCTTTTCCCGAGGCGCGATGGAACGGACGCCAGATCCGCAACGCATTTCAAGTCGCTTTCTCCCTGGCTCAGTACGACACACGGAAAAGCTCCCTGGATAATTGGGGAGATGGCCCAGAGCCCGAGGACGAAGAACCTGCTACCGGCCCTGTCCTGGATTGGATGCAGTTCGAACGAGTTGCGGAGGCGATCGACCAGTTCGACAACTATCTGCAGGAGGCGACTGGGGTCACTGACCTCGATGCTGCTCGAGTCGATCGCATCCGAGCTGACGATTTTGATTACCGTCGCACCGCACCCCGTCCGCGGTATCAGCCCGCACGCTTGGCTCGCGGAAGACCCGCTGACTCGCAGCTTGCTCGTCCTGACCACTATCGATCGAATGTTCGCTCCAATCCACCTAGACGTCCACCTCAAGATCGGGGACAGCCAGCAAGTCACGTTGATCGGAGAGAAAAACTGCCCGTAAGTCAGGGCGGACTGTACGAGCCAGGTCGGCGGCGCTATCAGCCAGGACAGGGCGCTTCTGGAAACCATCCACAGCGCCGACCGCAACCTCGAGGAGGAAATGTGGTTCCCATGGACTGGGATGATGAAGCATCGACTTATCCGGATGATCCCCCGGTGATGGAGGAAGCGGAACATAACGATGCCTCATATGATCATGGCGATGATTTCGAGGAGGATGATAGATACTAAGGGATATCATAAAATAGACCTATCAATTTTTGCTAGGTGAACACACAATGTATGACTGTGAGAGGGTGAGGTTGTACATTGGTTACAAGAGTATGATTAGTAGTATGATTACTATGCCACCCAGGCAGGCTACGACTAAAGGAGACTAGCAGAATGGAGATCAAAAGGCGGCAAAGCCGAGGTTGCCGAAGGTCCAAACAACACAACAACCGCGGCTTTCCACTGGGGCTCGCCCGCTTACTGTGGAGAAGAACACCGCATTAATGGAATGAACTGGCCTTCTTCTTACCCATCCCTCCTCTAACTCATTACATTTCCCACTCAAAACTCCACCAAACTCCACCATGCCGTTACCGAAAGAAGAATACCTCAGCGCCTCGTGGAAGGATGGCATTTTCGGTAAGTCCTCTCACAAGCTGAGCCAGGTCTTATCATGCAGGCTGACTGTGGCTGACCCCCCCTGGAAGCGAATAAGGTCGTCTTCTGTACGGGAGGCGCGGGCACAATCTGCAGCGCACAAGTGCGTGCTCTCGTACATCTAGGCGCCAACGCCTGTATTATCGGTCGGAATGTCGAGAAGACCGAGAAGGTTGCCAAAGACATTGCGACCGCCCGCCCTGGAGCCAAGGTGATCGGCATCGGAGCCGTGGATGTGCGAAAGGTAGAGAGCCTCAACGATGCCGCCAGCCGCTGTGTCAAGGAGTTGGGGGGCATCGACTATGTTATGTATGAATCCCGACATCTGAGACTTAGTCTATCTATTGTGCTTTTGCTGACTGACCCGCGTATAACTTATAGTGCTGGCGCAGCCGGCAATTTCCTGGCGTCGATCAACCAGCTGTCCGCCAATGCTTTCAAGTCGGTCATCGATATTGATGTCCTTGGGTCCTACAACACCCTAAAGGCGACGCTACCTTACTTGGTGGAGTCGGCAAAGAAGCACAGCATTAACTCGGATACACGTAAGTGAAGTCTCGGAATCTCGGAGTTATCGGAGCCTCCTGTTGCCGCATTCCGCGCTTTGTGCCTGATAATCGTGCTTCTAGTCAAACCATCTCCGCTGGGTACCGGAGGCCGGATCATCTTTGTTAGCGCCACCATCCACTATAGAACCATGCCATTCCAGACGCATGTGTCGGTTGCCAAGGCCGGCGTGGACGCGCTGTCGCATAGTGTGGCTATCGAATTCGGGCCGCTGGGGGTGACTTCGAACATCATTGCACCGGGTCCGATCGGCTCGACGGAGGTATGTTAATGCTTCGTGCTTGGAATCTAGTGAATCCAGTGCTGTCGGGGGCTAATACCTGGGTGTAGGGCATGGATCGTCTGCTGCCGACCGATAACAAGGAGGCCTATGTCAAGTCTCAGCCACTGGGGCGGCTGGGCTCCGTGCGCGACATTGCTGATGCCACTGTATATCTGTTTGCTGACACTGGCAGCTATGTCAGTGGGCAGACACTTGTTGGTAAGTTTTTTTCTGATTTGATTTGGTGGTGAGGTAAGATACTGATGGTGTGAGCTAGTCGATGGGGCATCATGGCGCATGACGGCCGGGGGAGCCGCTCAGGGCGCTCTTCAGTATCCCGATTTCCTCCTGTCCGGAGATGCGGTACCTAACGTTAAGGGACAGAAGACGTCGAAGCTTTGAGCGGATGGAATGGGTATGGAGATTTGAATAGAGATAGATAGAGCCTATTAGAATAGTGCAGCGGATCGTATTCGTATAAGAGTGCTGTTGCCTGGAGAAGAAATACGCGCTTTACCCGGACTTAATTACTGTATGGGGGATGAAATCAAGGAGAATCATGGATAGCTGAGATAATCAACCTTGGGCGTCAGATCTATTTCGAGCATTGTCGAGTCACGTGCATGATCTGACTGAAGAGGATGCGTCAGCTATTCTGGAAAAGGACTAGCGGCCAAGGACCAATGCGTCATCAGACCCGTCGCAGCGCTCCCTTCAACCAATCAGCAATCTAAATTGCCCCCCGAGACTGGCCCCAGGCATCCAAGCCCCTCCTCTCTCAGGCTCTCAGGCACTGATCCATAATGGCTCCTGAGTTTCAAGTGCTCGGCGGCAAAAAGAGGCCAAAAGCGCCGGCCGCTAAGCCCGTCCGCGCGCCCATCACCATTCAATCCCACTCCATTCACTCCATTCACTCCATTCATCCAGCCTTAATTGTCTTGTCTTTCTCCGACTAGTCTCTAGTCGCCTGCGCCGACTACGTACGACAACTGTATTTTTCTCCTTAGGTCACCCCCATCCCACCTTCCTCTTTCCCTTCTTCTACTCTGCTCTTTGTTCTTCATCTCATCTCTACTTCTGTCAACCACACTCTATCTATCCAACTCACTTACTTTACTTTGTGTTGAACAAACATCAATCCGCTCCTTTCATTTCATGTGCATGTCCTAAATCTCCCCCATCCCTTCCATATCCATCCACTATGCAGCTTCGCTCGTGCTTAGTAGGGGGCACTCTGGCCCTCGGTGCCAAAGCCCTGCTGGTCATCCCCGAAGTTGAGGGCGAGTCTATCGCCCCCGAAGCCGATTTCCCTCCCTTCCACCCGCTAGAGGCCTACGCCCCCCAGCAGTCGCAAGTTGAGCTTGCCTGCACCGAATGTCCTTTCCGTGAAGTTAGTGAGGATGGAACAGTCAGCTGGACTGACGGCCACAAGACCTCTCTTGTAAGTCACACCATCATGTGCATACTCTCATAGTGGGCGCTAACGTTCTCGTCCACTCTTACCAGACGCTCGACTTCACCATCGAAGACGGCTTCCTCCTGGCCAACGGTCGCCAGATTTTCCCTCCCCCTCCTCCGACCTTGATCACCGCCGTTCAGCACCGACTCTCCGATGGTGCAGAGTCCGACCCTATCGCCGTCGGCTATGCCGTCGAGGAGATGCCTGTTCCGACCTTCCCGGAAGATTCGATGGATCTCGTGGAAGTTCGCTTCACAGTTCTCGACCTTGACAGCCACCCAGTTCCCCTCGACACTGTAGCCGTGACCCTCATCCACGACTCCAACACCGGTGAACTGTTCATGGCGAAGACCGAAATCGAAGAAACCACTCCCGACCGCGGCTCCTGGGCCCAGTGCCGTGGCAAGCCCAAGTGCCTCCGCAAGCTTCTGTTCGACCGCATGCGCTCCTTGTTCGCCGCGGCCAAGGCCCGGATGCTCGACTTCGCCCCCCGACCTAAGGGCCACCACTGTGGGGATGCCCACGGATTCGATCACGATCACCCTCCCCACCCTCACCACCACCACGGCGAGCACGGCCATGGAAAGCCCGACCCCGAGGGCTTCCCCGGAGGTTTCCTGCCCGGGATGGACGGAAAGGGTCACCATGGCTTTGAGGGTCATCACGGCTTTGAGGGTCACATGGGCAAGTTTGACGGTCCCCATGGTCATCACATGCACCACCACCACCATGACCGCTTGGCCCACACTCTTCACCGCGTCGTCCGCTTCATCGTCGTCCCCGCTATCCTCGGTGTCTTGGCTGGTTTGGCTGCCAGCGCCCTTGGTATGTTGGTCGGTCAGATCGTCGTCTTTATGTGGCAGCGGTACCGCCGCTCTGCTCCTAAGCAGTCCGTCGAGCAGGGCACCGTGTCCGAAAAGCAGGGTCTCATGACTGAAGCCTCCGACGAGTTCCCTCCCGCTTACAGTGACGAGGAAGCCGTGCTTGAGGACGTCTCCGGCAAGCACTGATTGTGGTTCTCATGAGTTGCAGCAGAGCCTCTCCCGGTTGGAACGATCGAAATCTCGTATCCCCATATGGCCACGATGTGATGCTGGGGGAGTAATGCAGCAAATTCTAGCAAATAGATTGATATCAACAAGTCCTCGTCTGTTGTTTTTCCGTTTGTGACAGATATAACCTTCGTTCAAAAATTCCTTTCCTTCTTCGTCCTGCAGGTGTCTTAGCAGTGATCTTGTATCTAGTCTTGAGTCTGTCAAAAGCAGGTCTGGACTTTTAGGATGTTAGTCTTTAGTGTAGCAACTATCCTTTTCTTTAACGGGTACCTTACGTATTTGAACTAGGAATAAACCATATTCTTAGGACTCTTGCAAGCCTTAAGCTGCCCATTACGATGACCCCACTGAGTCAGAGTCGACTTATTTTTCCATGTCTCACTTTCAGCAGTGATATGCATCACGTGATGGCGGATGCGGAAGGCGGCCAGGAACGATCATCGCCCGGAGACCTTCCCCTCCTCTTCCTGCTCTTCCTCCTCTTCCTCCTCCTCTTTCTCTCCAAACATCCTCGTTCCGAGTCCTTCTGTCACTCGCAGTTGGATCTCTAAACTCGAATGATGCTGCGCTGATCTTAGATTATGATTCATCTTGCCTAAATGACTACCATCGATCTTTCCTTACACCTTTCTGGCTCCGTCCTGCTCGCCGTCTGAGCTCCAGCAGCTCCCGCATCCGCCCGCCCGTCCGTCAGCCAGCCAGCCTGCCTGCCTGCCTGCCTTATACTGTCGACTCCGGCGCATTCGGACACATCTCTTTTCTCTCTTATATTCTCCTACTGCCATAAAGGAGCCTGTGCTGCTCTCCACTGAAGGCATGATGCAGTGGACGTCATTCGTTCAGAAGGCCCAGTCTTTCATCGACCCGGCCAATTTCACCCTGCCGGCGCTCACTTCCTCCGATCGCAACCCTTCCAAGGCCTCCTTGTTTCGCCAGCAATTCCGACTCCCAGACTCCCAGAATCCGCTGCAAGAGATCACCGCCGAACTCATCCTCCCTGTTCCGCATACCTCCGGAGATGGCCCTCGCAACCTCGACCACGCCGGCAACCGATATGCCGGGCGACTCCACCTGAGTGAGCGGTTTCTCTGCTTCTCCACACAGGCCACGAGCTTCCACCCCTCCGCTAGTCTCACGGCCTCGACACATTGGGCCGGCCAGACCAACGGCACAGGCCCATCTGGCAATGGGTTCACTATCCCGCTGTGCTGCATCCGGCGAGTGGAACGGCTGAACAGCCTCAGCCACATCTTCTCCCTGGCGCTGACGACATGGAACGGCGCGCTGGGCAAGCAACAACCCCCGGGCTTTATCCCCCAGAGATTCACCATCCAGCTGGCTGGAAGCAGGCAGGCCTGCGAGCGGTTCTGCGACGGGCTGAAGAAAGGACTGCGGGAGGGCATGAAGGAGATCGAGAATCTGCGCATAGTCGTAAATGATTGCTACTCGGAATATCTACTCTCCGGGGCCAAGGGGAAAGCCCAGGATGGCGATGCCTCCGACGTGCGGCAGCCGCCCGATGCCGGGCTGGGGATGATCTTTCGCTATCCCGGCGATGCTCGCAAACTTCGCGACCGCAGTAAAATGCGATTGTGGGGGGAGTACTTTCGAGGTATGACTCCTCCGTGTGGAACAGCCTTTAAAATGTCTGAGACGTATGTTGAGTATGACTTCTGTAGAAAACGGTCGCAACGCGACGCTCATCCGCCAGCCTACCTTCCATAAGCTGATCCGAGTTGGTCTTCCGAATCGCCTCCGTGGCGAGGTTTGGGAGGTCACGTCCGGTTCGTTGTACCTCCGGTTAAGGTCGCCGAAATTATACACAGACACGCTGGCCAAATTCTCGGGGCAAGAGTCCCTGGCGATTGACGAGATCGAGAAGGACTTGAACCGCAGTCTGCCTGAGTATGCCGGCTTCCAGAGCGAGGAAGGTATCGGGCGCCTTCGACGAGTCCTCACGGCCTACAGCTGGATCAATGCGGAGATCGGATATTGTCAGGCGATGAACATCGTCGTTGCGGCTCTTCTGATGTACGCGGTTTTGCCGTATCGTTGTCTCTTGTGACCATGGGCTAACCTATCTTTCCAGATACATGTCTGAAGCGCAAGCTTTCTTTCTGCTCTCTGTACTATGCGACCGGCTTTTGCCGGGCTACTATTCGACTACCATGTACGGTACTCTGCTCGACCAAAAGGTCTTCGAGTCTCTTGTCGAGAAGACTATGCCTGTGCTATGGGAGCACCTGACCAAGTCCGACGTCCAGCTTTCCGTGGTCTCCCTTCCCTGGTTTCTATCCCTTTACATCAACTCGATGCCTTTAGTCTTCGCTTTCCGCGTTCTAGATGTCTTCTTCCTAGAAGGGCCGAAGGTGCTGTTCCAGGTCGGGCTAGCTATCCTCCGAATCAATGGCGAGGAACTTTTGGATATCCAGGACGACGGATCTTTTATCTCTGTCCTCAAGTCGTACTTCTCACGCCTGGATGAGTCGGCTCACCCCAGATCAGAGAACCCCAAGCTACGCGCGATCACTCGATTCCAGGAGCTGATGGTGGTGGCCTTCAAGGAGTTCTCCCAGATTACGCATCAGACCATTATCGAGCAGCGAGAAAAGCACAAGGACGCCGTGCTGGAGAATATCGAAAGTTTCGCCAAACGTACCTCCATCCGGAACTTGGGTCCCGACAGCAAGAAACTCAGCATGGACGACCTTGGTGCCATCTATGACCGCTACTATGAAGTCTTGTATGACAACCAGCAGAGGCAGAAGTTACAGGAAGAAGAGAGAAGACGCCAGGAAAAGAAGAGGGTCGAAAGGACTTCCATTCTTGGGCCTCCCGTTGATCGAGAGGTTGGC